GGAGAGCCCCGCGCTACCCTCAAGGAGCAGCGATCATATCTTCTCCATATCAGCCAGGATTTCCAGACTCTCGTGAGATCTGGTCTAGATGGCAGTTATAATAGCTCCTTTTTTGAGAGTGCCCACTCAGAAAATGGATATCATAAGCGAATGCGTGCGGTCATCCAGAACCTGAATGAAGATTTCGCGCAGGACATCAACGAAAATGGGCATTACCGTCTCATATCCAACACGAAGGGCCGGCGAAGAGCATCGGACACACAGTTGTGTGTCTCTCGCGAAGAGTATCTCCAGCATATCGAAATGTTGCTGCGGCGAACCAGAGGGAGGGAGCTTCCGGGAACGTTCAACCCGATGATCATCAATGATTTGTTCAAGGAGCAATCCCAACCATGGCAAAGGATTGCAAATACTCACGTCGCTAAAGTCTGGGAAGCAACAAAAACATTCATTTACGCTGCTGTTGCGGACGTGAGCGATATGGCAACCTTAGGAGCGTTGTTGAAGGATGTCGTTGAGCCAGCCCTCAGTGGTCTTTTGAAAAGCATGGAGGCAAGGCTGACTGAATTGCTGGAGCCGCATCAAGCTGGACATACGATTACGTATAATCATTCCTTTACCGAGGATCTACAGAAGGCTCGCCGCGATATAATGGAGGACAGATTCTCCGGCGTTCTGACTGATTTCTTCAACGTGCCTAGCATTACAACATCAGTCGATATCTACAACAGAGACAACGACGAACCAGATGAAAAGCAAGAAGACTGCTGTTGCAACTGCAGCAACTATAACTCCTTTACCAGTTACAGTAGGGGAAAATTTAACCTCTGGATACTTTTAAACTCGCTGCTGAAATCCGCCGAAACGGACATGATCCGCTACGCGGCTCGGGAAGCTCTCGATTGTACACTGGCATACTACAAAGTATGTGTCTTGAAGCTTTGTCATTGGTCCTTGGAGTAGGAAATACTGACACAGTCCAGGTTGCACTCAAGCGATTCATCGATGGTGTCGCCACTGACGTCGTAGAAACTATCCTTACGAAGTCTCTTAACCAACTCCTTTCACCAATAGGGGTACACGACATGTCTGATGCACTGGTCTCCCGTATTGCAGGGGAATCGAAGGAAAATCGCGACTTGCGCGAACAACTTTCCAAAAAGCTCGAAATTCTAGAAAGTGGGTCGAAGACTTGTAGAAGGTTTGTCAATATCCAAGGGATAAGTATGCCATCATCCATATATCCGTGATATCTGAAAGCGATAGAGCTAATCAAAAGTAGCCATACCGAGCGTCGACATTCCCCAAGCCAGTGACTTGGAGAACCCTGGTATTAATGGTGGTGAAAGCCCATCATTCAGGATGGATTCTCCGGTACCCAGTGAGCCTAGTAAATGTGAGTCCTACGCATAATTTTGTGGATGGAAATAGTTACCGACATTCAGCTGTGCCTATTGCTTTTCCTCTAGAAGACCCGGCCCCTGAACCAGATGTCGGTTTTGCGTACTCTGAGCCCTCACCAGTCGAAGACAAGGACACGACCACAACAGTAATGAGGAGTGGTAAGAGGAAAAAGAAGAACTTCAAGAAAGCATCTAGTCCGGTGCCATCCGTCGACCCATAGAATTAATTTTAACTACTTATTTCTTAAATTGTCAATTCAAAGTATGGTTTTGATCAATTCGGATCCGTAATGATATAAGACCCATAGTCCTTTATTCTATTTTGTAGAGCCAGTCATTCTTCTACGGTATCTTAAGCCTGGAACTTCGATAATCAACAATTAGATGTGTGATAAAACAATGACTATCCCTTTAGTGGTCGAAATCATAGTTCTTGGGTATGGAAAGTCGATAGTGCATGATGGATGTGGAGGACGATATAAAAAGTATAACTCCGACCCACAGTCATCCACTCCTCACTAGTCAAATTTGTCGACCTGCTAATACGTGAAGAGTGAATTGTACAAGGAACAATCTCAAGACTTAGACTTCACGGCTGCTATCTGCTTCGGAAAGATCACGGAGGGCTTAAAGGTTAACGTTCTAAATCATCACCGCATAACATACAGGGTTCAGTTCCGTATAAGAACTAATAAATCTAAGAAGAATCAAGCGCTAGTGCACTATCGAAAACAAATGGCAATAGCCACAATAACAACAACAACAACAACAACAACAACGAACGAAATAGGTATCTTAGAGCCGAAAGACAAGCGAGAATAGAGAGCAAGAACACTAAGCCGACGCAATCCGATGCAACTGCGTAGTAGTATCATCCGATTGCCCACCCCGCCGTTCCATATTCCTCGGATTCAAGAGCTTCGAAGGATGATAGAAGCTCATAACAACCATAGTAAGGAACATCAGCATCGAATCAAAGACATACATGAAGACTTCATGACTGATCAGATATCCAGCATTACCTTGCGCGTACTCGATCAGACGGAAAATCGATCTCACAAGGATAAGCACACTGGACACGTAAAGTACGCCCATAATAGTTACCCAGGTAGTCTCCGTCCACTTGGGTTGGGTTTTGAGTAACGATTTCTCCGTGGGGTTCTTGTAAATTCGCCAGTGAAAGATTGTTGATGTGACGATGAAGACACTGAAGAATGCGAGTTGCACGGCAAGACCAATGATCGTGATGGTCTCGCCTGTGTTCATGGCGCTGAGTGTCCCGCTGGCCATTATACCGCCGCCTAGAGGTTTCATTTTGTTAGTTTTAGGCTGGATGGAAAACTGGGCGGAGATGATGCATACCAGCTGCTTGCATGACAAATGCGACTACGTCGCCGATCACGAATATTAAGGTTAACCATCTTATGGATACGACGCTAAGCGCTTCCGCGTCCAGGTACCGGATTAGTCGACCGAGGGTCATATATATCGATGCAGCGTAGAGAGGAGGGGCAAGGAGGATCATGATGGTTTGGATAGAATAGATGGGTATAGAGTTGGTATCGTTATGTGCTATTGTTCGGCAGATATAGCCGATGATCTGAACTATACATATATATTAGTATTTCCGTCATTTCTTTCTACTTCCTTTTGGCTCAGATTAGGGGGCGGAACTTACAAACTCCTCCAATAACGAACACAAGGAAATACCATGATTTTAAGCGAATGACTTGGTAGAGGTGATATAGAGTAATTAGAGTAAATAGAACAAGGAAGAGGACTGCCGCCGCAAGCGAGGGTGTGTAGCGGTACAGTTTGAAGTCGAATGTCCCTTCGGTGGAGTCCATCTCGGTCGAAACGTGAAGACTTGCGCTGTAACTATGACAGATGTCGACTAGCTTTATAGAAAAATCCAAGTTCTGCCCAGACTGCTTTCTCACACGAGTTTGAGATTAAAAGCTGAAGCAGAGATGGACCGAAAGGATTGAGAAGAGAAGTAGAGAGAAATAAATGACTGAAACATTCAGACGTTATCGTTGTTTCTTAATATATACTCTAACCTGTTAATCAGGCTGGTAGATTCTTCGCCATGACCCCACTTTGGCCCATCTAGCTTTTTACCCCGATCCATGACCAGTTAGGGCTTTGAACTTAACTTGACATTATATCTAAATTGATAGGCGTAGGCGGGACACCAAGGAATCCATAACACTGGCTTCGCCGAGGCCAAATATTTAGCCAATGATAGTCGCGTCAATAGACCGAGGGCAAGGTTTAGAAGAATGGACCATAGTGGCAACGAGACCTCAAGATCTTTCGACTAGAATTAAAAGTGACCCGCTCTCGGCATCCTTCTAAAAATGGTCGCCCGCGGCCATACGAGTATACGAGGGTACGAGAATGCGAAAATACGAATTGCAACAGAGATGGCCATAAATTTGGCATGATTATTCGATATAGTCCTCTTGATACCATTATTCGTCTACTTTCGAAGTAAAGTGAATTCTGTTGAGGTTCACTTGTTTTTATACTATAGCATTGATGTGATCTTAATTAGCAGCGCGGAACATAGTGTACTATAGTGCTTGCTGACAATGGTCCAAAAATGATATAAAGTAAAATAAGGCTATCCAGGCCCACACCGGGCAGTCATCACTTTTATTATAGTTTCTTCTAGTTCAAGTCTCGACTGACGAAATAATCGACTAGCAACCTCAGCATCTTTGTGCGGCACACAGTACACATCAATCTCCACCTTCCTCTGGGTCCCTCGGGCGATCGGTCCCGGATATGTGGATAGTTAAAAAACAATAATAGAATAATGAGATCCAAGATAAATCTTCATGATGCCACCATTTCCCCCTTTCATGGTCAAATAGACTTTGGCCTTCTGGTTCTTGGTATCCGGCACGTACAAAAGCCAAACTCATTGAGCCTCAGCCTTATTGAGGCTAGCATTCTACAATTACAGATGGCACTTATGGAGAACATGCTACAACAAGCTCTTGCTCCGCCTTCAAAGGTTGAGAAGGGTTGCCCACGTTCGGAGATATCTAGGATGGTTGAACATTAGTCTATGTCTGGTCCCTTTGGAGTCCGCAGAAAGTACTTATATGTTATATATTGCCTGCTTACTCAGAACATTCGCCCCTACAGCCTGCAGTGTGTATACAACAAACATGGCTAAGCATCCTTATCGACGTTGGTATGAAGTTGCGGTGGGCTGTTCGTATATTCGTATATTCGTATTAGGTTGTGGGTCGCCTAAGCCCTCAGTGCCGGGAATGAACCATAACCTAAAACCTAGGAAGATCCACACCTTCGGAGATCATCACCGAACGAGACTACGAGGATACGAGAGTACGAAAGTACGAGCCCCTTACCATTGATCAGATCGGTGAACATCGTGCCCGAGCGCATAGAACAAGAAGGATAAACTGGGAAGTTTTCCGAATAGTGGAGGTTAAATTATTATCCTGCTGTTGCTCTTTTTGTGAGCATGCTAAGTTCAGCAGTAATTACCGTTCCTTACGATGTGGCAAAGCGTCTCACGGAAGATGACCGGCCATGAATCGGCTGTAAAGATGGAACATTACTTCATTCCTTTTGGTCTGCTGCTATGACAGCCATCGGCCACTCCATGAGGGTCAGGAGTCGGTCATTGTTCAAATCACTGACAAGCCAAAAGATCTTTTTGATCTCCTCGTGAAAGCCCTTATTGAGATACCACAGATCCTCAAAGAGAACGAAGACTAGATAAAAATGGGCTAATATCGTGTACGAGAATCCCTCAGCAATCCCAACTTGGTCACATGGCTTGAGTGTAGCAATGAAGTCGTTCGATACCATCTGAGGCCAGGATAAGGCGGCAGCCTCTTCTAGATCGATCTGAAAATCCCGCGATGCAGAGCAATCACGTCCACTTTCCGCGAAGTGAAACACATTAAGAATACGCATATATATCTCCTCCAGTTTATCGATGGTATTATCATGTTCCTGGATCAATTCATCCGCCTTTCCATGAGTATCTGACGACACCTGGGGTGAGGGAGTATCAGCCTCGTGTACTGTACCGCTGGAAGATAATGTTGTTGCGTAGGTGCGTAGCATGGAAAGTCCTCGAGCGGCGCCTTGCACAAACATCAGCACCATACGCGAGCCATTAGTTAAACGCGGGACAGTGGCTAATGAAAGGGTATGTTTCCAATCATCGTTGGCGTAGTCGTAAAATAACATAGCTCTCAGTCTGCCGAGTTTAAGGGTAGGCCAGTGCTCGTGAACCACACTTGTCAGCCCTCGAACCAAATGGAGCCAGTCAGTAAACGGACTTTCGTAATTGTCTTCGTTCATCGGTCCCGGTTCTATCCTGTTTAAATCTCGAATGGATAAAGAAGCAAAGGCAAAGCCAACGATCAAGAGTGAGCCGCAAAAGACATATTCTGCCGTGGCAGCAGTCATGTCGGATAGAGCCTCTCGGAATCCTTGGAGCCCCCTTTGGTGATGTTCAATAATGCGATGAAGGTCGTGGATCGCGGGATCGTCAATAGAGGAACGAGTTAATTGATTATCGTCCATACCCAATGCTCCGCATTTTGCTATGTCTGACTCATATAAAGCATGTGCCCCAGCGAGCGCCAAGAGTAGGTGCATCAGGTATTCCCTTTTTGCCGCCATGTCTGGGATAACTTGCTGCCAAATTAACATCCGTCTCGGATGGAGACTCATCTTTTTCGATGTCTGCAGCATAAACTTCGTCAAGAGATTCATGTCAGCCATGTTGATCGTTTGTCCATCCAGTAATGGTACTGGCGTCGCGGACAACCTGGGCAGATGGAATTCCAACGGCTGCAAGGGGAGCGGTACAGGAACCACCCGCTTAGGTTTTCGCAAGCGCCGGGAGCCATCTGAATCTACCGACCTATGATATCTCATGTCAATATATTGGCCTGAGCAGGAGCTTTGCAATAAAAGGTTCAGATATGCCCTTTATTAACTGGGCCGGTGGGACTAGGTATACATACATGGATGGCGCTGGAGGAGGATATGAACATGATTCACCGCGAAACGAGCATGCGCCACAAACAGGTCTTACCTCATCACACTGCAATACGAGGTCAATAGAAAATCCAATATGATACAATGCGATGAATGACGGACCTTCACTCTTCGTTGCTTGCAGATGTAGCAGCCATTACGGGATTTAAGGTGGCGCGCCCTGTGTCTTTTCCCCTGCCGTGCATGCGACGTGCCGCTCGGTGTAGTAGCAGTAGTTGATGGGGATGGAGTATCAGACATATTTTGCTCAGTAGAAGACCGATCCATCGACCTTGGATCAAATCTGATTCGCGGAGTCTGGGGGACGGAGGATGAGCTGCACGATGTCGGAATTTCTTCGGGGCTTTCAGTCGACTTGTCCCTACGGAGGGCCAAGCAATCCAGAGCTGCACATGCCCCCGTTGGTATCGGCGAGGAGAAAAAGAAGAACATCGTGATCAATCATCCCCTACTGGAATATTTAGGGGCATGTTTACTAAATTGGAGACTCCTTCTTGATTTGCGTGAATGAATTAGGATTATTCAACCGCCCTGGTAAATCAGGTAAGGAAATATAGTAGTAGTAGGACATAGACAACAATCCAATGGGACTTGAAGTAGTCTTAACATACATTGGAGCAGACTTGAGTGATCATGGAGTGTGATCACTAGAGGACTATCCTATTTATCAATTAAAGGTCGCCTGACTTGGTCTGCCGGGGCGAGCTTCCTTAAAGCACCATACATACAATGCTCTCTTCAACCGGAACTCGCTTATCTACCCGCCTTATACACATATGGAGACATTATGTGTAAAACAATCTTGACAACTACGGCTTGGCTCTGAGTCGGAGAACAGTCTCTGTCCGATGGATTATGGTTGTGAAAGAGCGGATGATATGCGAGTGGCAATATACGAAGATACGAAGATACGAGGATACGAAGTGGATCCCAAATCAGTAGGGGCCGTAAATTCAATAGCCCTATCTCTTTTGAAACGGTGTCCATGGTGCCCTAGTATACTATCAATTGAGATTTTTAGTAATATAATCCAATTTACTCCGTACTCCTTTTTGGATTGCGAGTCGACTAGGCTAGTACTCTGGTTTTGCAGCCCTCTGTACATGCTACATAAGTCTATTGCTACCCCGAGGACAAAAGTAGGAGAACACTCCAGCCTTGATTGACCTCCTTGCACCGGAAATCCTCAAAACACCCAAGATGGGGAGAAGTGATGATGCTCCAGATGCAGCAACAAACGAGGCGTCGATGTTCGCTTTCTATCGATATGATCCAAGTATGGCCGGCGCCGTGATCTTCACTATCCTGTTTACGATAACGACGATATGGCACGCGGTGCAACTGTTCCGGACTCGAACTTGGTTTTTCATCCCATTCGTGGTGGGCGGCATATGTCAGTAATTACTTGTTTCCACGGTTATTGTGGGTTCAATCCTTTTCTCACATGGGTTGTACTCACTCCTGCAGTTGAAATCATCGGCTACATCGGACGCGCCTTATCAAGCCATGAGAGTCCAAACTGGACTCTCGGTCCCTACTTGATCCAGACTCTGTTCCTCCTTCTTGCACCGGCCCTCCTCGCCGCATCGGTTTATATGCTTCTTGGGCGCATCATCTTGATTCTGCGAGCAGAGTCCCATGCCATCCTGAGAAAAAAATGGCTGACCAAGATCTTCGTAACGGGAGATGTCCTTTCATTCTTCCTGCAAGGTGCCGGTAAGTCAGCCTTAAGAGAGATTTCCCACCAATCCAACTCGACTTGCCCTCAAAACCTCCAGCGAAAGTACTAACGCCCTTCCAGGTGGCGGCATCCAAAGTAGCGGCAGCCTAGACAACATGAAACTGGGCGAAAAGATCATTGTGGTGGGACTCTTCGTCCAGATCTTCTTTTTCGGCATCTTTATAGTTACAGCAGGCAGCTTTGACCTGAAGCTGAAGAAATACCCGATCCCACGGTGCCACGATCCGTCGATCCCGTGGAGAAAGCATCTGAATATCCTATATGCGACTAGCTTCTTGATTATGATACGATCGGTGTTCCGCTTGGTGGAGTATATTCAGGGAAATAATGGGTTTCTTCTGCATCACGAGATATTTCTATATATCTTTGATGCTGTATTGATCTTCGTGGCTATGATTGCTTTTAACGTTTTTCATCCTAGTGAATTGGCGCATCTGCTGAGGGAGGCACATGAGTACGAGTTGCAGAGTATATATGATAAATATGGGGCGTAATGTGCTTGTTGTGCCCTTGTATTAATGGTGGGATGTGTGAGGCTGTTCTTACCATTGTGCTGAATAGAGATAGAACGCCTATTAATTGATTAATGTTTGGTAAATGTATATATGCAAAGGTCATCCAAATAAGTTACGTGTGACTGAGAGTATATTGAAGGTTGTTTCAGCGTATCTCAAGTAAGAAGTAGCTCCCTTGGTACGTACCTTAGCTGCCATAGTCTAAGTAGCGATATGGAGCTTTCGAAGTATCCTAGATTACCCTAGGGCAACACATAATTTGAAACTCCAAGAAGAGGACATCGTGATGTATCGCTAGTCCTTTTGACTCATGAAGCGTTCTTCTGACTACGACACAGATCATAGTGACAGAGACTAATAGGGTAGTAGAGTTGGCACAACAATAGTCTTCTACGCGCTAAACCACGTTCTTACCACATGTAGGGCCCGCCCATACTGGCCAGTATCCAATTAATATATCCATGAGCTCAACCCAACATGCACGGCCGTGCATTTCCGCATCGAGACGGGCAATCAATGGCAATATCAGACGAAGCCGATCTGGGACTCCATATTTACTGAACTTACTGGTCGCGATGAAGATCACTGTGATGGACCCTGCATTGCATAGCGCTCTGGCAGATCGCCTCGCTGCTGTTCCTGCTACCCCGCCCATCACTTGTCGCTTGTGGCTCAAGCGAGCAACTGCTTGAACTTGATGAGGGGGGGTCCATTCAACTCACGGGAAAGGCTGATGATATCGAACAGGAGGCGCTTATACAAGCGGCGGAGAATCAGCCACGGAGAATCCATACTGGGCTTCGTAGTCGGTATTGTGTTGTTGTTTAGCGTATTCATCGGTTTTCTCTTCAAAGTAGGTTACCCTATCGATTGCTTCCGTATCTGAAGATATCCAGCAAAGGGATGAGGGTTAGATTACACTTCCCGTGCTGGATGGATGCCTCAGGCCTTTAACGTGTTGCAACCTTGAAGTCAAATTGAATTTCATCCCCACAACTTACAACGTCCAACTTCCGAGACTTCATGTAAACCTACAGTGGTATACAAGACTTTCCATGCGCCATGAATCGAAGTATTCTATGCCTATCTTCCGTGTATTGTCATCGTTATACCACAGATATGAGACTCCATAGGTGCTTCGAGCAATAATCGGCTGAGAGACACCCTGCACCCAAAGAATTACAGTTCAACATGAATGAAAAAGCCGGCGATGGAAATAATTCAAAAACACCAAAATCTCCAGCAAAGGTCCCCATGTGGGAGAAGCTTCAAGATAAATTCAATCCGAGACCTCCGGACGATGACGAGCCGCAAGATTGGTGGTTCGCTTCAACCGCCATCCCCTTGATAGCTGCAACCACCAGTCCCTTTGCAAACGTGATGTCGGTGGTCGCTCTGGCTATGTCTTGGAAAAGTGAAATCCATCCTGAACAACAGGACCCGGAGGGGAACCCGGTGCAGGTGTTGCTGGCTGATCCTAGATGGTATACATAACCCGATATTCCCTAGTAGCGATGTGGCCCACACTAACTGTGCCAGGTGTATTGGGCTGAATGCCACCTCTCTTGCCTTTGGGGTGCTAGGGAACCTTTTCCTTTTGTTCAACTTCACCCGGACTATCCGGTATATTATAGCCTTGCCTGCTTCTATTATTCTTTGGTCCTTAGCGACCGCCATTGTAAGTGCTGACCATAAGTCTCACCGACTATGGCTAACGCGCACAGTTGGTCGGAATCACCAGCTCAGTGCATATCTATGCCAGCCCAATACCTCCAAACCAGACCTACTCGCAGGCATACTGGTATGCGGTAATCGCGGCGATCCACTATTTTATCCTCACCACTATTTTAATGATCAACATGCTGGGATACTTTCTTGGACATTATCCCCAATATTTTGCATTGACAGATGGTCAGCGGACCTTGATTCTCCAGACCACTGCTTTTGGGATCTGGTTAATAGTAGGCGCCGCTGTCTTCCAGAAGGTCATAGGGATATCAATCGCAGAAGCACTGTATTTCTGTGATATAACAATTCTGACCCTTGGATTTGGCGATGTCACCCCCAAAACCCCCGTTGGAAGAGGTCTTGTCTTCCCTTACGCCGTGATTGGGATAATCATCTTGGGTCTGGTAGTGGGGAGTATCAACAAAATCATCCGAGACCTCCAAGACACAAACGTCGTGCAAAAGCACACCGAACGACGACGGGAAGCGACAATCTCACGATCTCTCATGGAAGAAGACCTCCAAAACAGACTGAGACTGACACCCAACACATCCAGAATTGCATATCGACCCAAACACACCCGAAAGACACCCATCATGAGTAAAGTGACGGCCATCTACCGCGACGCGATCGGTCGACCAAAGGACATCGTCATGAAAGAGGAAAAGGACAGGTTCGACGCCATGCGCGCCATTCAATACGAAAGCGTAGTCTTCCGTCGATGGTACCGGCTCATACTCAGTCTTATTGCCTTTGGAATCCTGTGGACCTGCGGCGCCGTTGTATTCTGGGCCTTGGAGGAGCAGTTCACGTACTTTCAGGCTTTGTATTTTGCTTTCTGTTCTCTGTTGACTATTGGGTACGGGGACATCACTCCCACTACCAACGCGGCAAAGCCTTTCTTCGTCGTGTGGTCGCTCATCGCCATCCCGACTATGACCTCGCTTATCTCCGAGATGAGCAATACCGTCGTTGCCGTGTTCAAGCACGCCACCAGTCAAGTCGCGGACTACACCGTCCTCCCCCATACCGGGAAATACAAGTCCTTCATTACCAAGGTTCCCCCAATTCTGGCCTATCTGGAGAAACGCGAGCAGAACAAACGCATCGCCCGGGGGTTTCAAACCGGTCCAGATGACGTAGAAGGGACCCAGAACGGCGAGTCCGCCAGCGGCGCCAGGAACATACAACCGATCCGGAAAGAAGATGAGAAAGAACCTTCGGACTTCGAGCTAGCCCAGCGCCTTGCATTCGCCATACGTCGGACGACCCGGGATGCCGTCCATGGCCATCCAAAGCGCTACAGCTACGAGGAGTGGGTGGAGTTTACCCGAATGATTCGATTCACGGATCCGAGTCCGGGGGATACGGTTTTATATGAGGATGAATATGGGCTTCTGAATTGGGACTGGATGGGTGAGAATAGCCCCATGCTGGCTTCACAGACAGAGCCGGAGTGGGTTCTTGATCGTCTTTGCGAGAGTATGATCCGGTTTATCTCCACGCAGGCTCAAAAGAGACCGTCGGACGGAGGTGTAGGGGACGTAGACGAGGATGAGCCGACATTGAGGAAGGAGAAGGATATTTGATGTTATTTATCATGATGAAGAATTGGATATCATACCCACCAGAGAGTATATGCACAACGAAATATATCCCCATCGATCAGGCACAATCCCATAAAAAGCCAATTCGAACCCACTCTTGAACCAAGGATATCTAAAAGCCACCACCCCCGAAACCAATAGAAACGCCAGTAAGCCTCTTGCATCATCGACATCCATCCTGACGACACCCTCCCCCAAGACAACTTAAAAGGTTAAGTAACAACCCTAACCTAAACTCTAAAGTCACTTTCCATACTCCATATTAAACCTGATACTTGAGAACCTCAATAAAATCATAAACAGACAAAAAGAAAAACCCCCCTTCTTCCCCCATCATGATTCTTCATCAGTTAATAATGTCTCCATCCACGATGGGATACTCGGCAACCCCACTCTCACTCACAGCGGCTAATTCCGCGGGGGAAAACAAACCGTGGATTTGTCATCCAAGACCGAAAGCTTAGGAAGCAATTGGATTTCGGGTCGGACGAACTTCTCGGAAATGGGAACTCCGCAGAGAGAATTATAAATATCAAGGTATACTTACCTTCAGGTAAACAATTCTATTGAACAGCAACAAATTCCAGTTGAGATTCCCTTTGAAACAGACCGGAACCAGGTTAATACAACAACATCACAAAATAGTCAAGATGACTTCCTTCGGAAAGATTTATACTTATCCTAATAACCCTCGGGTTATGAAGGTATGTTATGTTATGGTTTTATTATTTATCCATATTATTGTGATGATATTGCCCCTCTTTGCCCCTCACCGCCATACATATAATCCAACACAACCCAACATATCAACAATAACTATAACGACAACCACAAACCAAACCAAACCAAACAAACCATACTAATGTAATAAACCCCAGATCCAAGCCGTCGGCAACCTCAACTCCCTCGAAATAACCACCGTCCCGGACTTCCAAATGGGCGTCACAAACCGCAGCCCCGAATACCTCTCCAAATTCCCCATGGGCAAGGCCCCCGCATTCGAAGGTGCAGACGGCACCCTGCTCTTCGAATCGGACGCCATAGCCCAATACGTCGCCGAGAGTGGTCCGGCCAAGGACCAGCTGCTGGGTGTATCTGCGGCGGAGCGCGCGCATATCCGGCAGTGGATTTGCTTCGCGGAGGGAGATGCTATGGGCGCCCTGGTGCCGTTTGCATTGTGGCATATGAAGATGGCGGAGTATACGGCGGAGGAACTGGAGAAGCATTTGGCGAAGGTAGAGAGGGCGGTCGGGGCTGTTGAGGCGCATTTGAAGACTGGTGGAGGTAGGAAGTGGTTGGCCACGGAGGAGAAGTTGAGCTTGGCGGATATTAGTCTCGTGGCGGCACTGAATTGGGGATTTGCTATTGTTTTGGATGAAGAGATGAGGGCGAAGTATCCGAATGTTGTGGCCTGGTATGAGAGGACGGTTGAGAGTGAGGGAGTGAAGCAAGCATTCGGCGAGAAGAAGTTTGTTGAGAAGAGGGCTGCTTTCTAATTAAGTGACCTTTCTTTCTCTACCTCTGGTGGGATTGGGCTGGTAGCGTAGTCTGGATTATGAGGAATGAATATGGACATGAAATAATAAATAAGAAAAATAACAATTTAAAAAAATAATCGTGTAACACTGCTGTCATTGACACGGGATAGAAGATATCTTGAACAATAAGAATGACACTAATAATGACACTTCATGACTGTCATACTCGGGCGAAGCAAGACCCATCAAACTGTACACTGACTACGCCAATCAAAGACGCGCCATGACACCTCCCACCTTGTCCTCCTTGCTCAACGACCGGGCAATGTTCTGACTGGCCCAATCGGCAATCGCCATGTTGGTTACCATGGGATTGACGCCACTGGCACTGGGGAATACGGATGCATCGACCACATACAATCCACGCGTCCCCCAGACCTGACAATCAGGGTCCACCACGCTCGTCCGCGGGGTGCTGCCCATGCGACAGGTGCCCATCTGGTGCGCCGCGGCATATGTAGTCTTTTCGGGGTCGAGTGTCTTGCTGCGGGCTTCCGCAATCCATGCCTGCAGGGCAGCATTGTTGGTGCCCTCGGGCGATGCAGGGTCCGATGCATCCTCGGACCGGATAAAAGGCGGGATTTCGCGGCTCGAGGTGTGAAACTCCTTAGCCCCGGAGATGTATGCCATCTTCGCAGTGGCTATAACTGCCTCGAGGATATGCTTGCGATCGAAGGTGGAAACCGTATAGTCAACCCGGGGTCGTCCATCGACAGGGTCCGGATATACGCGACCGCTGTCCCGATCCTTCGTGAGGCTGATGAAGCCGGCCATGTGGGGGAGCTTGGCCACAAATCGCTTCCAATCCAGCCCGTCGCGCCAGGGGAAGGCCGGAAGGAAGGCTGGAGGCAACATCGTGAGACACTCGATCTTGACCCCATGGCCTTGTTGGTCGAGGTTCTCAAACTCATTGACAACGGCTGTCAGGGCGGCCCCTTCCCACGGACGAGTCTGTTCATCAAACACGGCTCCCGAGATCATGACTAGAAATGCGATTAGCATGCTACCTACAAAGGGATGGATGACGCGTACCTGGATGTAGGTGAAGGTTTCGGCCAATTTGAGGGTTCTTAAGACCACTGCGTAACAGCAGAAGAGGGCTTTGCAGCGTGCCACAAGAGACAACAACCCTCTTGGCGTTGATGATCAGCTTGCGCTTCACGGCACTCACTCCGGACACGCCGAGGTATGCGTCCCGTGAGGTCCATACACCCTCCACGCCCGAGGCCACCCTACCGCCCCGTGTCTCTGTGAACAGGACCTTTTCTGCGCGGAAGCCTTCCACGAAGGTGGCACCAGCATGGGCAGCATCCGCCAAAAACGATTCCGTGGGACCCTTCTTGCCCGCCGAATGGCACCCCATCGTGCAATGGCCACAGTAATGCTCGGTGCCGCCAGTGTTTTGCGGTACAGGGTTCGCTGCATAGCCTAGTTTGTGCGCTCCTTCCAGCAAAACACGGTTCTGCTTGTTATGAGTCGTGTGATCTGCGCTGACACCCATCCGATCACACACGCGATCCAGTGAATTTTGAAACTCCAGGGACGTGAAAAAGGGCAAACCGCCCTTCGCCCATTCCTCACGGACATAGTTCTGCGTCTGGAGAGCCGCCGACCAGTTGACGGTACCGCCACCTCCCCAGGTTGCGCCGGCGAAGATCCCGATTGAACCGTCGTTGGTCGAGACAGCACCCCCGCCCTCAAACATACTCACTGATCCCTCGCTAAAGTTCATGGGAAAGTACTTGGTTGAGTATTGATAGGCCTTTTCAACCACCATGACCTTATAGCCTGCTTCGGCGAGGTTCTTCGCGGTTACGCTACCTCCACAACCGCTTCCGACGATGACTACGTCGGTCTCGATTGTCTCTGGACCATCTCCCGGCGGGAATTGCAGAAACTCGTACTCGTAGCCATCGGCGGGACTTCCGTGCACCGGGACCCGGGGGAATCCAATGGTGGGGCAAAGCGTCGGGCTATAAGTAAGCCAGGTCCTCTTGCAAATAGCTGACAGTGCTCGGTATATGACACGTAGAGGCTTGAGCCTGGATGTTTCCCAGCCACGAAATATTCTCTCCCGGACATGGAACGGCTGGTCCTGGAGAGGGGTAGTTGATCCCGTCAAAATCAATGAACCAGCTTTCGAGCTAGAATCATGTCAACTGCATTGTCCTTCCGAACCGGACATCCAAGAACACATACTTGAGGGTATTCAATATGAAACCCAAGCCATTCCTGCCTTCCTCATGAACATATTCAGAGATAAGGCGCTGTAGCCCCGGCCGGAAATGGGGATTCGACGAGGCATTCTCTTCGAGGTACTGGGTTGCCAGGGCCGTGGGATCCGAGCCAGAGATGTTGGCAGTTAATGAGGAGAGGCTGGCATCGAACTGGGCCTGCGGAATCACTTTGGCGGTGAACGACTTAGGAGCATTAGGACCACGAATTGATGGAATGACCGTATCCGCTATTGACATAAGAGTGGCCCATTGCAGTTCGGAGAAGATTTCCTTGGTAGGCACCGGAGGAATAGGAACCTCCAGGGGAGTGTAAGCCACGGCTTGTTCGGTCATGTCGGACGTTGACCGACCAGATGAAAATGGCGGGTAAAAATGTTGCAATGTAGAGATGGTGGAAAAAGGTGAGGACTTTTATGACACCGATGGAAGAATCAAACGAGAGAATAAGGGGGTATCATAGGACCGGAGGTGAGGGTAACAAAGTTTAGTTATAGAACAAAGACTGACACATTCGCGTCAGTGCGCCTTCCCTGCCATGACAATCACCCAGAAGAGTAGTGCTTGCGACGAAACGGCCACGGCGGGGCCCCAAGTGGATTTTAGTCTCGGTTCCCAGACCACCCAATTTTGAAGACACCCAATTGTTCTCGTGGATCTGAGCCTCTACCCCAGACCACGACCGTACCTGCCAATGCATCCTGGCCATCCTCCAGGATCCATCGGACAATTAAGGGAGGAACCGAGGCTATTGCAGACAGCCTGGCGGGCCATGTGGGTCAGTGCCTTCACACTGGTTGGAGCAGGATTCAATCAGCCTATCGTTGCGATGATCATTGCAGGGACTAATCTCGAGTTGTATGAGCCAGTGCGGGGGGGAAAAGAGCCGGTTCCATGTGAAATCATGGCTCGGATGAACCAGAACTGCAAGCAATGAACCAACGAATGAACTTCACTGGATCATCCGACTGCATCTGTCACCAATGGAAATGTCTCAAGGTGGCCTGACTCTCGTCCATCACCCCTAGTAGCGTTCTTCTTGCACTGCTGATGGGGAATAATAGTTTTGTGCAGGGTCCAAGAAGAGGTTCCCAATCGTGGATCACGCAGGAGAGACGAATTACTAAAATCGACTACGGCGGACCATAGCGACCAAAACAGCCAAAAATACTTTTGCTCTTCTGAACACGTCCATTGCCGCTTTAAATGCCACGAACCTCTTATAACACCACCGATATTGATTTCGATAGAGAATTATATGAACCGTAGATGGGCCCAGCAGGATAGGATATAGATATATATATATATATATATATATATACTATTCTTATGTTTAAGTAATTTACAGAAATATTCAGTAAATATCTCCCATGAGAGATTTGTATTCTACTGGATAGGTTTAGAAGTTCCTGGATTAAATGAATACCAGTAACTTTTGATCGGTATAATAAAGCTTATCTTAGCCCGGGAACAGCTATACAGGGCTAGAAGGTTAAGAAAATGTTAATTAACTTGAATAATGCGTGTAGGATTATCGCGAAATAGGTAATAAAGAATTTGTTAATTTGATGTCTTTGGGTGTGTAACGAAACGCCAATGTAGCCAATTGGCAACGTAACCACTACCGGCACACCGTCTATAATCTAAACTATATACCCACCAATTTTTTCTTTTCTATCATTCCCTCCTTGAAATCGAAGTTTCCATCGTCCCAGTTCATGTTTTCTCATATCGACATTAATGAAGTGGCGAAGCATATTCGCTGTATCTTACTGGAGCTACAGTCCAGCGTACCTCAAAGTAGTTCCTTATACCGAATTGGAGTTGTCTGCACAGGACCATGCCGCGGAGCCTCCGGACTCGTTATAATTCTTGATGATTTCCACGACAGATCCATAGGTACCGGCAACCATGAGGAAAAAGCCAACCGCAATGACGAAGACGGACCAACACACCATGATATACCAACGAATGGTTCGCTCACGCTTACTCTTACTCCAATTGTCATAGAGCCACATGCATCCCATCGGCTGAAAGGACATCAAGGTGCCAAAGAATGCCCCAATGAGTGAGACGAGGCTGTTGAAAACAGGGATCGCGCTCGCAATAATATAGGCGATCAAGGTGGCACCAAAGGTGCAGCTGAGCCAGGTGATCCAATGCCGGGGAGTATTGGCGGCCAAATGTTCCGTACCACGGAGGAGGCGGACGAAGGTATACTTGCTCGGCAACTAATAGGAAGAAAGAAAGGAAAGATTAGACTCTGGGGCTGTAGGGTGGCGGGTACGGCGGGAGTAGACTTACATGGCAGACGATGACAGTCGAGACAAGGATCCCTGGAATCCCGATGCCGTAGGAGACCTTCTTCATAAGAGGACCAGCGGATCCCAGGGCAGGGGAGGCAACGTACGACCCACAGAAGTAGTATAGGACGATACCAATACTAAGGTAGGTCCCCGTGACAACACTTTGACATACAACAAGTGCACGGGTGTAGTGCTCAGGCTCACGCATCTCCGCTGCAATGGCAAAAAAACCACTGGTCCCGGCATAGGCAAAGACCATAGAGGAGACCGCTGAAATGGCCTCCAAAAAGGATGGCTTTTTAAAAAGCTCGTAATCAGACACCCATATACCCTCTTGGGGCGCCGCAGCAGGTCGATCCTGAACGCCGACAGCCACAGTCACGATGATGACTGTGGTAAAATTAGCAGACGTCTTCCGAGGCGAAAACTGCAGAGAATCCACTTACTAGCACTCAGAATGCTGACTAGCCCAATCCAAGCGATCCAACCCATACGGCTCAAGGTACGGATGCTACTCAGGAGGAATGTTGCGATAGCAGCAACAGCGACAAACACCGCAGTACAGGTTCCATGGGTTGAGATGGCATTCAAGGCAATTGATATACTGAGCATCCCAGAGCCAGAAACGAAGATCCAGTCTGGTCATCCTTGTTAGTAGAGAGAAGTCATCCGGGCGGTCCTCATCCTATACTTCAACTTACAGACGCAGAAAGCGGTGCCGAGAAACTCTCGCCCAAAGACACCAAATAATTTGTAACCAACGTCATCTATACCATACACCTCACGATGATTAATCTTAAACACCCCAACAATATGCATTGACCAGGTGGCAATCGTCGCAATGGCAAGGAGAGAGATGACACCAGGAATCAGTCCCAGCACGCCCAAGGCATTCGGAATGGACAGGACCCCTAGCCCAAGCATGCTCTTGGTCATGAGCGCAGCGGTACCGACCCATCCTACCTAGTCTACCGTTAGTCACTTTACAGCACAGGAGACCCAGTTTCTTGTCATGGCAGGTGCATACATCACGGTAGTTGGGGCTATCCTCTGTAATATCTCCAAAAACTGCATCTGTGGTGATGTTGTGAATGGACGCCGCCTTGGAAGGCGGTTCGAGGGATTCGGGGTCTTCCGGTTTCATTTTGGATATTTCGCAAGAGACCCAAAAGTGCGAAAGGTGTTGCAAGTCGAACGGGGAAATTTTTTATTGTCCTCCTCCACGCTAGCCAACTTATCGAAATACTAGCTAGCCCTTGAACCCCACATCCCCCTCATACTCCGGAGTATGTTCTCCGGGGCCCCATAGGAGGCCCATAGGAAACCGGGGTTAGGGCCCGAGAGGACAACAAGACCCCAAGGCCTGTTTAAAGCATAGAGGTCAATAGTCATATAAGCCACCCTAGCAAAGAATCCCGTCCTTGGTCCTTTTCATATCATATGGTACTTTCACGTCTTGGATTTGCTGCGCTTCATGAATCGGACCAGATGCAGTGGGCGAGTTCGCGAATAGACCGATGCGTCCGGTACATCACTGCGCCTCAGCTGATAAGAATTTTATGTATCTATTTGGATCATCGGGGTGTCTCCCGAAACATCACCAGCCTCTCTTATCTGAAAAGGTGGGTCCACCCATTGTTAACATGTTAGTGATATTGTACGGAGTATAGCACTCGATTTGGGAGGTGTCTTGAAAGATATGTCACGACGAGACCTAACCTGGCCATGACGCCTGCTCATCTAGAGACGTTCAAGATGACCCTTGGAGTAGAAGCGACCCATGATTACCTGAACTCTCAGTGCCCTCGACTCTTACGATGCCTCGGAAATTTCACCAGCTCTTATCTGCGATGTATAGAAGATCATCACAAATTACAATGAAAAACCTTCTGGAAACCTCAAATCTCACATTAGTCTCTAATAAGGTTTGTTGAGATAATAATGAAGATTAGACGGCTACGGGCCAAAGTCAATTCTAACAAAAGATGATAATGATACATGTTAACATACATGGCTAAGTTGCTTCCTTTTTCCTATAAAAGTCAAAGGAGTGTTCAGCACGTCGATGGGTATTGAGTCCTGACCAGTGCTCTTTATGGGTATAATACTATCACGCAATTGTTGGCCAATATATTTATGCAAAGAAAGGGGGAAAAAGAAAAGAACAAAAAAAGAGAGAAAAAAAGCTTAGCGCAATTAACGACCCACCGAGTTGACCTTCTATTTGTCAAATCTACAATATTGGTCATTGAACTTGAGAACTTCCACGAACAATGCAGTTGCGGTCTTACTCTTCAGTTACGCAGGATCATGACCATTATTCAGTACTTATCTACGTACGTCCAATTTTCGTAGAAAAATATCAGGGAAGATTGTGCATCCTTTGCCATAGCTTCGCAAAGGGACTGGTATGCGTTTAGCCGGGACCGGCATCACTACCCGTTACGCTCCACCACGGCTGGAATACCGGCCACGCATCGGCACCATTGCCGATGCTGTTAGATAAACAAAGATAACTGACTATATGTAATTTACACAAGAGCCCTTCGCGCTATGTGGGTATCTTGGAAGAGTGTTCACCGAGCCTACCCAGTCCGTCATAGTGGATTTCATGCTTGGCCTTGTTTCTGTTCTGAGTCCTGATAGCGTTCGGGGAGACAAGCCCCAATATCAGTCATAAAGATAGACAAAGCTAGTCGTCTTGATATAGAAAGAAACAATACCTATCTTGCCATGAGCATTTCTATATAAAAGCACATGATCGCAGCGGACTCGAGAATGGCAGATAGCAAGATCTTGGTGAATATCCACAAGACCGTGCCGGACCTCATAATATCAGGATTGAGTTAAATTATTCAATACCCCGTGGAACTCACCTCTCGACAGATAAAGGAGATTAGTATGCAACTCCTGCAGCTAGATTAAATTGTAAATAGATGGAACCAGATCTTCATTAAACTTTAGATCTATAAGGTTAAAATGACGCGGAGGACAATTGCCATTAAGGAGTAGCCTCAGATACATGCTTATAGTCAATACTAAGGTTCGTAAACTTTATAAAATATCATATTTAGGCTATTGCTAACACTTTTTATAAGTTAATATGTCAAACACGGATGATCTATCGTCTACTTTAAAATAGTATCACAAAACTAGTAGTTATATATGAATATTATGACATGGGTGCTATACTCCCTATATTAATTGACAAAGCTCTGCACCAAGCTGCTCTTTTTATCCTCTTATCGACTGGCCATGCCTGAAAACTACCTCGTTCAAGCTCTAATAGTGATAAAGCTACTATATGTCACCGGGCCGATGCAAACAATGCAGATAAAATTGTAGGTATCAAAGACATGGTCTAATATAAAAAAAAAAAATTCATTTATCAAATTAATAATTCACGATTAATAAATAAATGTGTTGTCCGTGGGGATTGAAGCTATGGGAAGTACGAAATCTTCGATGGATAAGTCCGAAGCAGAATAACTCCCCAGTGATCTTGTGTGCCTGAAATTGCAGCACTTTACTAGCAACTAGCTTGGCACATTCCGCAAAGTACCAGACGTTATACATGAGTCATGCAGATAGAACATATTAAACGAGACTGCTCTATTCCCTTAGCATGTTTGGTACTGTCAAAGCCCACTACATCCATCGTTCTTCGTAGAAAGGACCACGCCGGCTTTGTAGGCATTCAGTGGCGATCTGAACTATTCCATAATGTTCAGTTTCCCAGAAAGTCTCAAACATCGCTGAGACCAGAGCTCCAGAGCAAGATATTCACAATCAAAGTATTCCAATTTCAAGTTCAAATGTGTAGCCAAGTCAAGTAAAATATTCCAACGGCCACCTACTCAACACCCAACCCCCCCCCCCCCCCCGAAACACTAGCGACTCACAAGGGACATCTGCACATGTCTCATCTGCGCATGATCCAAATTGGCCGCCCCTTGAATCCTACACCGCAAATTCTGTCTCGCCTTAAGAACCAGAGTCGTACTGATAAGCTGAATGGTTCTGCTGGTCAAGCGCAACCTGCACAGCTCATTCGCACCGGACAGATCAAACGTAAGTTCCTGCAGACCATGGTCCCTTGGTATAAGTCGACAGGCAACTCTCCAGTTCTCCATGAGTGCCTGCAGGTCGACACGTTTGGAATTGTCGTCCAAGGCTTCTTTGAGAGTCACCTTTCCCTCTGCGAAGTACTGTAGGAGATCGAGTCGTAGTCTTTTTATGCCCTGGCAGATGGCCACGCTGACAGGGTCGGGGTCTTCGAGGAGCTTGTGCAGGTCGAGTGGATTTTGGAAGATGAAGCGATAGGTTGAAAGGTTTTGGAGGACTTTCTCAATGGGAACAGGCATGCGTTCTGTTTTAGTGCGGTAGAGACGCGCGAAACTGATCGTGCCATTGTTGGCAACAGTTGTTAGAACATCTATTATACGCATCTCTTTGGTAATTTTCTGATATGAGATGTGGGAGGGAATGAGTAGGATGGTGCTGAGATACTCAGCTTTTTGATAGTAAAGAGTTCTGTAGTGTTATAGTGAGGAAGGTCTTCTTGGAAGGTTCAGGTCAAAGCTTGAAGAGGGCGGACTCAGTGTTACTACATTAGGTCTATGTCTGGGCTTCTATATGTATAACTACGTCCCTCTGTCCCGCCTCCATGCAGTGTACCAATCTAACGTGTACATTTCGAATACGGTGAATTGAATCGCCAAGCTTGATTGCATTGTGAATAATATAAAAATCTTTCTTTCTTAGAGTTGCAAAGAAGAGCTATTTTAAACAGAAGAGTCCAGGAGGTTGCCGCTTAACTCAGGACATAATACTAGTTTCTCATATCCAAGTATTGAGGAGAAGCTGCTATTCAACCCTCTTCTGGTCTGCTTGTCTGTAGTCATAAACATTTCCCTCTACAAAGCCCAACAGGAATGACGAGCCATCACGGTTATAGTATGGCAACTCATCAACTACAGAACTATCATATTGAATGGTGGCTATTTTAAGCCTTGCTCTGTTTGCCAAGTGATTGTCCCAGTGGAGATTTGCTCTATCGCTTGAAATGGCAACTTGTTTCCTTTGTTCGACAACAATGCCAGTTACCTTCGAAACTGGCTTAACAAATACTCTATGCGTAAGAAAAAACATGCTCTCCTATTTTATTAGATAGTACATACATGTCACACCCCTGAAAGCGCATCTTAAAGGCAAGTTCTAGCTCCTGGAACTTCAATACTTATATGCTTTAGCTTTATCTTCTTACCTTTCACGGATTATACTCCATCGATGAATGCTCAACCGTTCATATATAGCTGGATGAGAACTGTTTATCATGGACGATACATTTTCAATTAAATCATTGAGAGTTGTGCATATCCCTTAGTAATATTATGTTATTGAGCTATTATTAAAGCTGTTTACTAGCTGGACGTGAATACAAAGACTGCACTCTATATATATTGATGGAAGACAGCTATACTACGTTGAGACAAATTAAGCTACGTTGGGATCTGCTCTCAATTCCTTCCGTACTTCGTACATTCTCATTCAGGAAATAGAACGCTCTTCAAGATATCTTATTGTTCTGAATGGACGTCTTGGTATGGCTATCAATGTCCAAATGTATACATTGATTGATAATGCACGTGCACAGACCAAGCAGCCGATAAGCCTAGCTCCATACGTCAACCGACACCGCCTTCCCTTCTCTTCTTTCTATTCTCATCAACTGCTGCGAATCAGCGCAAAGCTACAGCTACGGTATGACACCCTTTCTTGTCCTAATTGAAATCCCTTGAAGGTGGGCTTGAGTTAGAAGCATGTAATGCTAACACTGGGTTGCAATTACACCCAGAGACAGTCATGAGCGACCGATCTACATCCACACCGCAGCGCGGTCCATCCCCGTCCAAACCACGACCGAAATGCACACTGCCCCCTGAGAAGGTCTTCTCCATTCAGATAGGAACCGAGCTCTTCCGTGTCTCAGGAGCTTCGATAGCGTCCGATGGTCAGTGGCTCTCCGATCTCAGTGACTGATCCCCGCTAAAGTCTTGGAGCTCCGTCCTACTTCTCTCAATTCTTCGAGGAGCAACTGCTCCACACACCCGACGGCGCGAAGGCCAGGACACTGTACATTGATCGTGATCCGAACACGTTTAAAGCGATCGTAAGGCATCTACAGGGTAGGCGCGACACAGTGGAATCGAATTATGCTCGGTGTTGACGTTCTCGCCCAATGCGACAGGCTATCATATTCGGCCCAAAGATGGCACCGAGTTCGTCCAATTCTTCGCGGACGCGCAGTTCTATAGTTGTATGTCTATCGCATTTACCGGGAATATTGAAATCGACAACTAATCCATATTGACCGTAGTGCCGCGCCTCATCTCTCAGCTCTTTGAATCAGAGATCTTCATTCGAATCGGCGACAAGGATTTCCAAATCCCGCGCGACATCTTCTCTAGTCCCGGCGACTCTCCAAACTTCTTCACTCTAGGCTTCGGTGCCTTCTTTGCCTCCCCCACTGAGATCTTCCCCGGACTAAATCGCCACGGTCTTTTACGTCCCCCAGCCATTGTCCCACCAAGCGTGCCCAATCGATCGGGAGAAGTTTTCGCGCAGCTCCTTCATCTCCTGCGCGGGTATCCTTTGGAGATAAAGAATGAAACGCACCGCGCCGAACTGCTACGCGATTGCCGCTACTTTCATCTACGCGGGTTAGAGCAAAAGCTGATTCCACACCATATCAGTTTCAATCCGATCCGACAACGATCGGAAATCCTCATCCGCCTGGAGGATGTGCGCCGCTCAGGAGTAAGCGTTGCCCACGGCTCAACCCCGTCCAGCGGCTGGGTCACGTACTCGCGCCCGTTCGTCGATGAGGAGACATACGACCTGATTCTTGAGATCGGTGACGAAACCACCATCGTCGACCTTGACACCAAGCTTGTTGCATTCCTGAACTCGACCAAGGCGCGCTTCTCCAGCTTGCTGCAGATTATAACGGGAAAGGTAGACTTGCCAGACCTGTCAGAAGGCAGTGTCAAGGTATCTATCGAACGAGATACAGACTTGACTGTCGACGGACAAGCCCACTACTCAGAAGCCTTCGGACATGGGTCGGAAGAGGCCGAAGTGTCGCAACCTGCGGCTAAACGCAGACGAGTGGAAGGATCCTCAAACGAGGGTGGACGGTATATCGTCCGGAATGGCCATTGGCGTCTGCGCTTCCACCCTAATGCTACCGGCGACAGACTCGAGTTTATTTTGGTGGCGGTGAAACTAGATGCATATACAGAGCAACGGAGTCGGAATCATACACGGGCGTTTCTGGGATCTTAGCATTGATATCTTCTTGAATGGTCACACGCATCATCTTCTACTTACGCCCTGCCACACTATTATACATTTACATATGCCACATCAGAACAAGAGTAAGTGTCATTGTCAAACATACAACATCCACCCACTCCCCTCAAGGAATACCTCTCCATCAACACCCTTAAAAAAGGCCAATATCACCCCCTATCAAAACATCCCCCATCATCGTTATCACCATAATAATCATGAATTACGCCCCGAAGAAGACACTCCCCCCCAATGCATCCCATAAAACAGAAGAAACACCAATCGCACCTCATCACTATCATCATCCTCAGCCAACGCCTTCAGAATCATTAACCCCTCCTCCGCATCCTCGTCATTATACGGTTTCAACCCCCAGCTGAAGAGGAATTATGTCCATCCACCGTAGGACTTGACGATGGATCGTTCGGCGGTTGTGAGGGGTGGTTCTGGTTGGTTTCTGTTAGATTGATTTCTTGGGATGATGGGGATGTGTTGCTTTATAGAGGGAGAGAGGGGGAAGGGATTGGACGTACGGAGACAGTCAGTTAAGGGCATTTTGGAAGTTTTGGTATTGTTTTGGTATGAATTTGTTGATTTGGGACTTGGTGGATGTTGTGATGATGTTGTTGTTTGGTGTTATTAGTAGTATGGAGGTTGGAGGTTGGAGGTTTGAGGTCAAGTTGTTGTCTTGGTTAGGGAAGTGATAGATCATAGGGTAAGTATTCCAGGGGGGTGTGCATACAGGGCAAACATTGCGTTGTTTTGTAGTTGGTGCTTTGCTATCTAGGTTGTTTGTATGTATACCTAGGGTATAAGGGTGGTTTGCATGTATGTATAGGGGAGTGTCTTTTATTTGTTACGGGTATTGGGATGTTCGCTCTGGTATTTATTGTTTTTAATGAAATAGGAATGTATTAACATTATTTACAAGGTCAAGTTACTGGGCTTGGTGACAAGAGGATCTTTGGTAGTAGATATGCATGAAGTATATATACTGGAGGCTTGGTGTAAGGTCCACAGACCACTGCAGGTCTAATCGGAAAAGCCTGCCCATTCGTCTTCCTCTTCCTCTTCCTCATCCTCTTCGTCTTCGCCATCTTCATCCTCACTCTTGTTCTCATGTCCACGCTGAGAATCCTCCACTTTTCCAGCTGAACTCTCGTCTCTCACGAATCCAGCAACGAAGAATCCACCGAGCCCCTCGTCATCGCCGGGCCAACATCTCAAGCAACCCTCCAGCTCTTCATCAGAAAGGTCGACCTTGAGCTCGGCGCTCTGGGTACCGTCCTGCGTCTGGCTGTCGCCGGAACTCCGGCTTTCAGTCCGGACACCCCGATGTTTCCACGCCCTCAATCCCTCCGGCTGCTCGTCCCTGCGCATAATCCTCCATCCACGCCGCCTGGCCACTTCCGACGCCAAAAGCCGCTCGACAACCGACTCATTCTCAGTCAGATGAATCGAACAGGTACTGTACGTAATGCGCGTCGCATTCGGAAACGACATGGCATGCTCCACAATGCGCGTCTGCAGATTCGACAACTTCGTCAACCGTTCCAGGTCCAAATGCGTACTGGCCATCTCGTTCTCGTCCGTAGCTGACATCGACACCGACCCATCAGCCGCCCCCTCGGTTTCATCCTGTCCCCTCTTCCGCTTCTTGCCCTGCTTCTTCCTCTCCTCCGCCGGCGACACTGGAAGAGCAAACTTCGGAACATCATCCCGCCCAATAATCCCACTCCCCGAACAACTGGGATCCAGCAACAACGCAGAAACCTTCTCAAACCGCTCATCCTCGGGATCCAGCGCCAAAAAGTCCTGCCCAGGAAGCACCGTGGTAAAGTGATCCGCGCCCGCCGCCGAAACCATTTTCTGGAGCGTCTTCGCGCGCACCTGTGACGCATCCATTGAAATAATCCGCTGCCTCGGCTTCTTCCTCTTCTCATTCTTGCACAGCAGCGACGCCAAATGCGTCGTCTTATTCCCCGGCGCAGCACACCCATCTACCAAATCCCCACCACTCCATACACTCCCCTCTCCGAACAAAAGGTACGCGGGAAAGCACGACGCCTTATCCTGCAGGATGATCTCCCCATTCTTATACGCCGGGGTGGCCGTGAAGTCAACTCCGGGAGCCACCGCAACCAAGTCCGGGATATTGGGGTCGACGTAGATCCTCTTCGTATCGTCCTTGACCACCAGCTCCGACAACGCATGGACCCGTTTATATGACGCGAATGTACTCTCGAACTGTTTCTCCGCCGTCGTGCGCACATTGTTGATCCGTATCCACCGCGGGTAAAACGCCGCTGCACCCAGCGGTTGTTTCTCCTTCTGCACGGCGTCCTTCAGTTGCTCAATGGACGCGCATCCGCGGCGCACCCGCGCCTTGATGAATTCCCCCTTTAGTCGCGTCTTGTGGCGCTCAATGGCCTGACGGATAGGATGTGAACTGGGCGCCGCGATGCCATTCTTCGCGAGAAGGTGATCATGGACCAGGAGGAGAGCGAGAAGGGGTGTGAGCTATAATTTCCGGAAGAAAAGAGATTAGATCACTTGCGTCCGTCAGCCGGGATAAATTGATCTCGCATTATCCGGTTTTCCTTCCTCCTCTTGAATGCACTCCTGTCAAAAATAGGAACAGTAGGGAAGGCGTAAGACGAACCTTGGGCTCGAGTTTCAGGATGCCTGCATGGTCGATTACTTCCTTGAGGACGGGGTCCCATTTCGAGGCTTCGATGGTTAGGGCGTAGATTTGCGCGGGGTTGGCTTTGATGTTGCGGGCGTTGTAGATGCGGGATTTGAAGGAGCCGCCGGTTGGGGAGGGGCTTGTGAGAATTTTGACGGCATCATAGTATAGAGACATTTTTCGTTGTTGCTCTTTTGGAGAGCCTTTGGGGAAGTTGGTTGATCTGGGAATATTTTTCGTTGCGATTGATTAAATTCAGTTGAAAAAAAAAAGTGGTGTTTGCTTTGTTTGCAGGTGTTATCTTCGATTCGAATTGTATCGTTGGTACTACTAAACTCGTAGTGCTGTCAATAAAGACAGTTTTTCTTTTGAGTTTTTTTAGTTTGATTTATGTATGTTGATTTTGACTCTGTCGATAGTAATCCAGGGTGTTGAGTTTCAAGAACTATCCGATAATGCGCTCATCGTGCATGTCAAGATATCCACCACCCAAAGTCCCTTATCTCCGCATCTCCGAATTCGATATCCATACCACATACCACGAGTATCCAACAGTCCCCCTTCCATGGACAACCATTCACTCTATTCTAAATGTATTACTCTGCCAATACATCTCCCCAATATTCTCAACCCAATCCAGAACATGAAACAAATCCCAATCCCCCTATTCAACTGGAAGAGAACCAGAAGAATGCCTGATAGATGAGCGATAGGAGATGGGAGGGGGAGGAGCCGTGGGTGAAGATCACGAGGGTTGTGGTAGGAAGTTGTGTTTTGAGGTCCAAGGCTTGTATCGGCGGATCCAAAGTGTCTATTTTGGGGTGGAGCGAATAATGATGAGATTGAGCAGGTTGGATTGTGGAAGAGGGTGCAGTGACAGGATGCAAAGAAGCCGAATGTAGATAATATTACACTTATAATATACTACAGTGTTTACATATGGATAGACGTAGCTTGATAGATAGATTCTTGGATTGCATGACCAACACCTGTATTACCATCAGATCCATAAGCGCCAGAGAGTAAATCGTAAAAAAAGATCGCCGTGCATAAGCAACATGACGGGGTATCCAGTAAGCGAGCAGAACGAAGATTAGAAAGAACAATCCCCCCGTTTCTATGACGATCGAGTGGTAGCGAGCTGAACGCCGGAAGAAGAAAACCATAAGCCGTAAAGTAAAGAACCAGATCCGAACTCCGTGCAGAAGTAACCGAAATGCTAAATCCCAGATGGTACACCGAAGCGAAAACCAAGTATGTTCTAGAACGCGTATATGTAGAGCATGTCTGCCAAAGCAGATGCGTCAAAAAAGAGTGGGATCGATGGCACCAAAGTGCATCGATAGCAAGTCTCAAGGAGTCGAGTCACTTAGAAGGTGCTCCAGTTCCAGCCCCGAGGGATGCTGGCAGCAATCTCAGTGCTCTGACCCAGCATCGCGGTGAGTGCCTTTCTCGATTCCTCGTCGACGTTGTCCACATGCTCCGTCGTCTCCTCAGCCACTTCCTCGGTCTTGATGTTCTGTGCCTCGATCAAGGTCTGGATCTTGTTGAGCCGCTCGCTACGCGACTCCTCCCAGCGCTGGAAGGCAAGCCAGCACAGGTCGCACGCACGAGAGGGGACGCCTTCGGGGTGGAAGCGAGCCTCTTGGTCGAGAGGAACGACGTGGGGAGTGTGAGAAGAACAGAAGACATGACCGCAGTGGCGGCAGTGATGACGACGAAGGAAGAGACCGAACGAGGAGCGGCATGTGGGCGAGTCACAGTTGGGAGAGGCTGAGTCCGCCTGTGATATGTTTCGTTAGCCACTGTAGTTCTGGTCGAGTGGGACACAAGGGAGGCTCCGCCCGGTCGGTGATATCAGATCACGCCATCATTCGCGATCCGATGATCCACGCGACATCCCAAGCCGTGCGCACGCCATACACGCCATATAAAGCACGCACGACCCCAGATCGACCGGGCTTTCCTTTTGACAGAAAATAGAATTCTCGAATTGAACGTACCTTCCAGTGATCTCGAGTAGGAAGACCAGTGACTTCACCAAGATGCTCATGCTTCATCAATTCATCCTGGGCTAACTTGCTGATTCCATCGCTCACCGCACTCTCAATGGTGGAACGACGGGTCAGGGCAGGCTGGGGTTCCTCGCTGCCGTCATTCAAGCTGTCGAGCGAACCATGGACACTGCGAGGGGGGGAAGGCGGAGACGGCTTCTGAGGACGCTCGGTCGGGCGCAAGGCAGCGGGAACATAGAGGGGTCCCTTCGGGGGCCGTAACTGACGAGTCTGCAAGGGAAGATACTGCTGACGGGGAGACGTCGGAGAGTTATTGGCGGTATTCACCGGGGACGGCTGGCCGTAGACCGAGATCTGGTTGGCAGGAGACGTGGTGGCGGTGAGAACGTGAGTAGCCATGATAACGTTTCGGTCAGGATCACGGGATATCAAGTGATGATGGTGGATCAATAGCGATCGAAGAGAAGACCAGATAGATAAATAAGATCGCAAGTGGACAGAGGAACAGAAAGTCGTCGTAATCGAGGTATCGTGGAGAGTAGTATTATTATTATAACAATGGCAATCACAAGTGAATCTCTAGATCTGGAGTGGTGAATGGGGTAAAGTTGAAGTGAACCACTGAATCATTGCAAGTGGCAACCGAGATCGATGACGCTGTGAATGTCCCGAGCGGGTGGGGATTTGTTCGGCGGAAAGTAAATTCCCAGTAGATATTGGGTTTAGCAGGAAGATAGTGTGGTAGATATAGTTCTGGACGGAGATGATAGTGGCAAGTCGTGGAGGGTGGTCCAAGCAACACTATATGATATGTCGACTTCGTCCAGGAAGAGGGGGGGGGGGAAGACAGAGAGCGATAAGGGATGAAAAGGCAGAGAGACTGCAACGATAATAATAGCGGGGAGAGGGAGGGAGGAGGGGGAAGCATTAGACTTAAGAAGGACTCTCTCGAGTCTCGCGCGAGAGAAAGCCAGACAATGGAGATTAAAATAAAATCAACCACAGCGAGGCGAAGGTTGAGCACTGACTTGGGGGGACCTGGACCCAGGACGATTTTGCCATGCGTCGGTGGAGCAGGAGATAAAATCACTAGTGTCGTTTTTACCTATACTTCGGTTATTATTGGCGTTCCTCCCTCTCGTCGGAAAGAAAATCAATTCAAAAATCATAATCATTCAAATAATAATAATAATAATAATAATAATAATTAAAATAAGTAAATTCATTTGACGAAAATCCTCCCCCTCCAACCAACAAGACAAGACTTGCCCAAGCCCGGTAAGGTTAATGAAACTAGAAAGTCCCGAAGAAATGTAACGAGTGGAGCCCCTTTGGAGATCCCCATCCAGTCGTTGCATCTCCATCGGTGCAGTTCCATTCATCATTACTTCACCGATAACATGCTTTGCCTTGTTTTGTATAGATCTTGATTTCGACTCTTCTTTCTTTTCTCTCTCTCCCTTTTTTTTTTCAGAATGATGGACCATCCGCAAGGATCGTCGTATATTTTCTCCCGTCTATTTCTTCGGGCAACGATATGATTTCGTGTCTCTTCCGTTGTCAAGGAAAGATTCCGATGGAGGCAGCCACACACTAAACCACATTCGGAACGGTATTTTGCCGAGGATGTGGAAGAAGGAAATGATGGCCGTTTCTGGTTGGGCGGGATTCCGCCGAGCTTCAAACCCCTAGGAGTAGTAGTAATCTAATCAGGGAGGATTTTCCGTAATGTAATGTAGGATTATTCTTCCGTCCCTCCATGAAAGTCCCCGAGACAAAACATGATCCATAATCGAGAAATTGAGAATTAGTCCGTCGGAATTAATTTAATTTGACCAGGTACGGATGTCTCTGAGACAATGCTAAATTTCCGGAAAGAATGTTGTCGGATCGACTATCTCGTCGACAAAAGGAAAGAAAGGCAGTTCAGAATCAATAACGAACGGGTGGTACAGGAGATGCAACTCGGATCCCAGGAAACTCCAAAAGCGAATCAATCCCTTTTTCCCGAAAACAACTAAAAAAGTCATGATGACAACACTTCCCGATCCTGGGTCCAATCCCTGTCCCTCCCTTCTTGACCGCTTTTTACGTCCAGCATGCCTCTTGTACATTCCCTGGAAATCCTTCCATCGATCATCATGCTGGAGGATTGACAGTATCAATCGATCACTCTTGTGGCAAGAGGCGTGACGGGTTTCCGCTTTGAGGGTCATCTCCAACTGTCCACTGTCCACTCTCCCCACTTTTCAGATAGATCATGTACGGAACTATGTTTGATTATCTAGTGTGCCTCCTTCGAGAAGTATAAGATAGTCAAATGAAGTAATGTTATTAGTCGTGGCGCCTGTTCCACCGCTTACCGTCCCGGTTACCCCGTCACTATGATTGAGTGAAGTTTTGAGGTGGATCTCCAACTCCAAGCCGCCACTGGCAAATCAGCTGAAAGCCAGTCAGAGGAAGGACGGCGAGTGTCCGGTGTGCAGGAAAACGGATCCGCTAACCGAAATTACCTGAGCGGTGATTGGTCAGACCCGACGAGAGAGTCGCACATCGGGGTCTCCACATCCTGACGTCGGACCCACGGCTCAGCCTGACCGAAGGACTGGAGTCACTGCCTGGCTTTACTCTGTCGGGAAGAGTTCACGAGACTTTCGATCCCGTCGTTGCACCAAACGCGCCCCTCCGAATCACACCCGATGCTACCTTTTGTCCTGCCCACTACATTACAGGATGGATGAGAACTCTGTGGAAACGTTGGGAGGTCGTACTCCCGTAAGATGGAGTCAGAATGAATGAATGTAGAATGCGACAGGGGAAACAGTCGAGTCAGTCATATTAGTATATCCCTTGCGACAACCACAAACACCAAACAGGATGGCGGTGGAATTCTTGATGGTTTGTCCGACTCACGCCCGGTGCATTCCTCCTCCTCTTTACTAGTACGAGGATCGTCTCGCCGCGACCAGTTGGTCCAAACGGAACAAGTTCAAGAGGGAAGGGCTGAAGCAAGCAAAGGGCACCAGTTGGAGCGTTCCCACTTGAGTTAGTCCACGAGATGAAAGATAACGCTAACGGGGGTGGGAACCAATCAATCGAGGTGGGTCCCCTCTTGGCTCGCCTCCGGATTGGAGACCTCCTCATCTTGTTATCGTCCGTCGTTCATTGGTTGAAATTCATCAACCACGCTACGATTGGCCAGTGCTTCCGTGTCGTTCCTCGAGGTCAGCACGGACAGTCCCCGAAATGAAATGATGGAAACCTCGATCGCCTGCTCATCCTCGGGGCAAAGACATCCCATCGATAGAGGCGAACACTTTTCTCTCGAGAAAGATTATGTAACGAATACTGTTCACTAACTAACTACGGGCCCAGTCCCGACGGCCCACGACTGAACCCGGTTAGCCCTGCCGTAGCTTCTACCTCGGCCGTTTGATTGCCCTGGTCTCAAATGTCAGCCAGATGAGACGTTGATGTGCGACCTTGCCAATATCCCTGTCTAGTGTCCTGCGTCCGGATGCGCCCTGATTGGAACAGTTGTCGGGCTGAATGAATACCACCAACCACCGACTTTTCCCATGGTCCCGAATATTCTAGCACCCGAGTCTAAATGGGCTACCGCGCCTGTAAGACATCCGCGGACTTACATGTTTGTTGCTTATTGTGTCGTGCCGGCCGTTTGCCCGGAATCCAGCCCGGTCTGGAAGGCGATCCCTGACAAAGCACATCCGACCAAGACAACTGAGAGAGATGCGCTTTTCTCTCGTCTACTCTATCTGGATCTGTCCCTGGTTATCTTGATAGGTTGAAGTAAATCTTAAAAAAATTTTTATCCGGGAGCAATCACATCGACATCGTAGAGCGAGGGAGGCACACAGTTCTTTACTCAAAACAGCAGAACCACAACAACCTCCCCAAAGCGTACCTGAGACGACATGGAACCCAAAAACAAAAAAAAAAAAAAAAAAAAAAAAAAAAAAAAAAAAAAAAAAAAAAAAAAAAAAAAAAAAGCCACATGCGACCACGGGATCCTTCCATTCCCGTTCCATTCGCGTTCCATCAAACGCAGAACCAAAATAAAAAGAGCGAAAGCAAAACAACAACAGGGAGCCACACTATGGGTAATTAGTTGAAATAACTTACTCAATAACTACCCCTACGAACCATGGTTCAGCATTCTCCAAACCGCCCAACCACGACGCAAAGGATGGGAACTGACCGTCGATCGCCTCCCAGAAGGGCAATCTTAAAGAAGATTCGACACAACCTTCCATGACCACCTGGAAAGCTTAATCTGCCCCCCGAGGCGGTCAACGAAGAACGTTCACCGTTTGAGTCCACTTATCAACTGATTGAACCTTTCGGTCGGAAACCGCGGGAATGTGCAATGGATCTGCCCCTTGAGCTCTCATCTACTGAGACGAGGGATGATTATGCTTCCCATTCTTTGGAGACGGGGATCCACTGATTGACCGTTGTGAGCGGTGAGGAAACACTCCGGAGGAGCATTCATCATGAGACTCATATGAACACCGTGTACTCCGGACCTTTACCCAGCGACAATGTACTAGTTTGTAGATCCTCTCAACAGATTGCCTGTGCGGTGGATAGTGAGGCAACACACACGGGATCGAAAATCGGGTCAGCACTCCCAAAAGATTTGCGAGATTATCCCGAGACTCCGGATCAATAGATGGAAGACCATTCACCCGGCCTGTCGGGTTCGTGTTCTTCCCAATCTCCTCGATTTATTTTTAGCCTTCGCTTACCAGGAGAGGTACAGACGTATACGTATACGTAGTGATGTTGTCCCGACCGCCTCGACAACGACAACAACCACATACCGTCCACATTGCTTCAACGACGTAACTATGTAACTATCCAAAATACCCCAAACTGAAACTCACACCGAGACGATGGCCAGAGTCTCACAAATATAAAACAAAACAATCCAACCCCCGTTTTCAGATCTGCGTTACATTCCCCCCGTCGATCTCCTGCTCCTGGACTAGTCCTCTCTGAGTCCGAGTTGGCCGGTTTAGGGTTATCTTAACTTTCACTGCAAGGGGGTCGTTCATCAACGCAGTTGCATGAAAGAAAGCGTGGCTTTTTGGTCTTTTTTCTTTTCTTTTCTTTTTTCCAGTTCTTGCTTTGTTTCAATCCCGGTCGCAACTGTCGTGCGACTCAATTCACCGGCTTAGGATTTTGGCTAGTGCATGTAAGGAGTAGCAAGGTTTAGCCGTGGCTCTGTGTTTAGCGACGAGGCGATAATGATTATTGAATAGGTTCAGCATGTTACGCCTGCAGTCATTCAGGGGTCATATGGTCATGTGGGAATAGGAGGACATTCTTTCCGGGGTGACGATCATTGATAGCGTTGAGAATTGCTTTGTTGTGTGGGGAGCTAACTGGTCGTGGGTACGACGTACGAGTAACATGATTTTGGTCGCTTGGGGTAAATTTTTATATATCTGTATCGCCACGTGCATATGTACTCCCACATCATACGCGGCGACAGGGGATATTGACACTATCGACTCATAGAGGTCGTGCGTTGAATAGTCTGGATTCTTTATATCGATTATTTATATCAAAGCGACTAGCTCACGCAACTATCTATTTAATCATGGACACTAAGAGACTTGGACAAAGGATCCACTGCGCCTTGAATCAGCACACTTCCTTAACACGAGCTGCATTCGGCTAAATTACTTCTGGGCAATAATACAGCACGTAGAGAGAAACTTAGGCTCGAAAGACGTCGAGTAGATTTCTTGTAAAACTATCTATTAGCACAATGTATTGGCCCCTTTTATGACGTTAAATCAAGAACAGCTTCTTTGAGCTAACAGTACACCGGCCTAGACCTTACAAAATAGACTCTGTTTTTAACAGAGAGCATTATAGGTCTCTCGAGAGGTATAATGTATGCTAGCTCCCGCCTGACATGATATCTGGAGGTACATCAGTAGGGATACAACCTAGTAACAGCCTTGACCACTCCAAAGAAGAAGGTTGGAAGCTCTCCAAACCCACCCCAAGCGCCTTTCTACCTATAGGCTATACCATGAGATTCAACCGGTCCGAACAATTCAACTATGAGCGCAAAGACCTATTGCAGGAGTTGTAGATGCCTAAATGAGTGTGAACGGCGGTTTGAAGACCTTCGAATAACTGAACGTCAGCGGAGACATCGAATTTCTTCTGCAGGTAGTTCCACAGTTCCTTTAAGGTCTCCATCTTGATAACTTCATGTCTGATTGCGTATGATATTGATGAACAGATAGTGCCAATAGCCTTTTAATCGAGCTACTCCCATTCTACCTTCTTCATTTCGATCTTCTCGATTTCTGCAGTTGAGCGCTCTTTCTCCTTTCCTTTAGAGGATGGGAATGAAGATGAGGATCCTTCCGCGGCGGCTGATGCTGATCGAGTCACACGTGCTGTAGGTTGACTGGGTCCAGCCTCTGCAGACTTATGGTCGGTACGGATTTCAGGAGTAGATACTTTCCCGAGACGATTCTCTATCCGCCTTGGGATCTGAGGTAAGTGATAATAATCTCAAGAATCGACTGTCTGACTATGAGTACCAGCCGCCTGATGTTATCAAGCGCGGAGACTTTTAGACACTTGCTGATGAGGCAATATAGGGCGAAGGAACCCCTGGATCATATGAGTACTAGTGCCAGCCGCCTCCAGTGTATTCAGCACCTGGAGAAGGCTGACCAATAGATCCTTCAGGCTCTCTTCATCGAGCAGGGCGATATCTTCGTGGGTCGACCGGGTGGTGAGCCCGGCCGCCCGCAACGCCTGGACATAGGCCGCAGGGTAGTCTGGCATTTTTGCGAAATCTCGTTTCGACAATCTTCTGGCACCTTGGAGTAAAAGCATCACAATTTTCAAGCGATGACATAATGTTCAGAACCTAGCCAAGGCCAGAGGGCGAGTAATATCGAGCCGATTTAAGCTCCCATGATGAGTTCTTAAAGGTTTTGCAGGTCAATACCCAAGGCTACGAGAGCATGTTTCCAGGGCCCACTTGTGAAGTAGTAGCCACGGCAAGGAAGTGCTTCGATAGAAGGATTGTATCGTCTCTCGACGATAGGCCATGCGTTTGTCGTTGAGTAATAAGGTGGACCAGTGACTCGGGTCGATCTTCACAACATTTTAGACACTGTAGACTGTATCGCTGGGATTGATCTGCTTTATCAGATCTTTATAGGACTCTGTCATTTGCAGTTCCCGTCATGCTGCTCTGCGTCGACTTATTGGCGTGGCTAGTATATCTGCCGAATCGTCTTCCCCCATAAGTGTGTTGCCAGCCTTTACCATTGCGCCACGATCTTTAACCGCATCGTCAACCACGTCTTCCAAGATTAAGAACCCCCTCCGAGCAAGTGTCTCGGTAAGTGAGGATCACCCACTTCTCATCCTTCGTGACATACTTGCCAAACGGGAAGGTAAACATCGGCCCTATTACTCCCGCCACCATGGCCCATCTTCATTGTTGAATATAACAGTTGCCGCCCTTCCAACTAGATGGTCTGGGCAATAGTTGCCCACTTCCCAATGCTCAGGTCGACCTGGTCAAACGTGACTGCTTGATAACGCCGAAACTCGGGCCCAGTCCTTGGGTCAACGCCGAATTTGATCAACTCCTTCTTCCATGGACCATTTCAAACATGTCCACACAACGGTGGGGCTCCTTCGATATCAGTCGAACTTGTAGAGCTCATCCAATTCATCTAGCTTGCCCGTTGGTGTGCTTCGCCTATCATCGCATTGTATGAAGGGACCTTTTTGGTGCAACCACATGTGTATTGCTCCTTCATATATAAACACCTTCAATCTAAAATCTTTGGAGATCCGAATACTCTAACCTCCTGTGTAGCCCAATATCAACACTACCGGGCAATGATTGATCTCATCACAGGCGGCCTGGCGAGTAATATAGAGAGCATGAATAGAAAGAGGCCGTCGTTGATAGTGATAGCGAAGTAGAGCAACCTTGTCACGAACGATATTGTTGAAAGGCACGACTGGTAAGCAGGAAGGAGGTTCATGTGCTGTAGAGCTCGGGTGGTTACCAGCTTCTTCTGGCAATTTGGAGTGAAAGCATCGCAATTTTTTAGGTTGTATATCAAACAGAGAAGCTTGGAATACGGGCGATTCCTATCGGATAAAGCGCTGATTCTTGCTGCAGTACGTTCACAGCTTTCTGGCATATCTTCAAGATATCCTTGATAGATATCACGGTCTGGATAAATGTCGCTATCGTTCGTGCTTGCAGATGTAGCAGATTGGGGTAGTCGATCCCCTTCATGTCCCCGACGACATACAGGACGTGTAATGCGCGGCTAAAGCCCACGTTAAACGGGAAAGGCCATACATGAAGCCGGTTTGATCACCAACTCTCATGTTGAATCTAATGAGCTTGGGCTCACCACCATGGAAGGTATCGATCCTGCGTACAGCAATGTCCCCAAGGCTGAGCGGGAAGCTGGATGTGTAGATAGTCCAGTGCGATTGTATACTTCCTGAACTGGTAAGTTATACAATTTTCAAGGACCCGTTCATTTGCAGAGTTCAAAGCTTGTACTATCCTATGAGGAGTGTTAGCATATGGACTTTCTAAAAGTATTAGAGAAAAATCAATTTTGTTGGTGAACTCGGGACTTACCAAAAACGTTGCAGCCTCGCCACCATCATCCACGAACAAGCGGCCTATCGCTCGGGCAGACGGTTCACGTGGGGCTTCATCAGCACCATCTTACGTGCGCATGTCAAGGCACGGCCAGTCCCCAGCGTCCCCGGTGCTCGATCAATATCCCGGTGCCTAGTTGCCGGCGGGCCTGTTCTGGAGACTGCGTTCCTCTTCGTTTTCCCTCGTGGCATTCATCTCGAAAGACCCGTGACCAGACCACGGTGTCCCCATACCGACGCCGGTCTATATAGCTTCCATACTTGACTCCCTTCACTGTTCTTGCGGGCACCCTGACGGTCATATCGATACCCAGTGGGTGGGCTGTTCGTGTACTAAAGGATTTTATCGATGTGAGGCCAACAATCCCAGTTAGGCCTGCTCTCAATGTCGGTAGGTCTTCTATCGCGATTGCCTTTCGAATCTCTCCGGGAACTCGGTCTCCTATTCCCCTTTTTTTATATACGGTCACCGTTGTGTGGTCTTAATCTTGTTGGCAGAGTTCCTTGCTCTTTATACTGTCCAGGATTGTATGTGGAAGACTTTCTAGGTATGGAGGTTCTCCGTGCCAGTTGTCTTTGGTATACAATGTATACTGTTATCCCGGTCTGTTTTTTATTGATATTTTTGGCCCACTCCGAAGCCTATACCGGAAGGAGCTTTGCCGGCACTGTGTGGATTTGTAGCCTGGTTTTTGGTATTATCTTCGCGGTTGAGCTGTCTGCCACACAAGGACACTCCACGGGGTATGTATTGCTTGCAGTAGAGGGACACGGTCTTTCATTGTCGGTCTCGATATGGTGTTGCCCATCTTGGGCGACCCGGGATGCCTTGACTTCCTTGTGATTGAGATATATGTAATATGTGATCACGGACACTGTCTGGGTGATAAATATTTTTCCCAACTCTATCTTATCTGTCAGTATACTACTGTATTGTTCTTTTGCTTCTTGGCAGAGAACCTACCAAATCGCGAATAGCTGATAGGAATAGATAGGGCGAAGGAACCTCTTAATTAGGATGTCTGTTGTTGGGTCCCTACCGGTTGATGTATCGAGAGAGAAGAATCGGAGATATTTTGCCCACTTATCCTCGTTAGATAGGATATCTCGAGTCTGTCCTGGAGTGTCTGAAAGCTATAACTTATGTAAGTAACTTGGGTTTAACAATTTATTAGTATTGTCGTGTTATATTTTTATTCTCCTCTTCTGTGTTCTACTCGAATATCTCCGATTCCGTATAACTGTTTTCACTGCCGATTTCTCTGCCTTGACCGACATCGTCTCCGTCTGGTTTATAGATATCTTGGACGGGATTGGGTTCCTATTGAGGTCTGTGAGGTCCACCAGCGGGCTGCCGCGGGGAGCAGAGATCCGTGGCGCTTGTGGTTTTGGTATTGAAGTCGTACAGTTAACTGGGATCCATTCTATGTGAAATTGTGGCACACTCTCATCAGCGCCCAGGGGTGGATCGCGGGCTTCCTCGCTCGTGGGTACGCTGTTCACACAATCGTCTTTGGGCGGTTCTGGAATACTTGTGACGTGGACCTGCAGATATAGAAGTGGAGATGGTGCTCGGGGTAGCGTTCCGCAATGGCCTACAGATGCGTTCAGGTTTAGTATATGGTTAAGAATCCTGGCGCAGGGTGCTCACCAGATATACGATAAGCGCCACCACTGGATATTGGGTCATGATGATAAGCTTCTCCTTCGACCCCAAAGACAATCGGAAAGACGACTGCAGAGCGTGGTAGCCGGCGGCATCGATGAGAACGAGATCGCCCGGGTGGAGACACGTTCAGCAATCCATGAGAGACGGCAAGAACAAGATGGCAACGGCCAGCTTTGTTAGATCACCCATGTCACATGGGACCAGATAGTTTGGCACAATTCCTTGACAGGGCCGTAAGCTGATCACTTTCTAATCTGACAAACCACGGTCATGACGGATGTAAGTATGGACGTAAGTTGTTGAGTTACTCTTCTTGTGGTAGCTCCCTGCATATAACTCATACTAGTAGCTCCGCAGATTGGTTTGTTACTTCTGAATGTGGTCAGCAAACAGATGGTGATGTAGACAAAAGGCCTTGGTACACTCACTACCGGTAGCCTCTGGTGGAGGTGGCTGTATGACGCCTGTGATATTGTCGAGACCTTGGCTGCGTATCTCCCACATCGAAGAGATCATTACACAAATGTTCCACATCGTCTCAGGACCGGGGGTCTATCTCTAAGGATTAGAAGAGCCAGACTGATAGGCTAGGAAAGAGGAGAAGAAAGTATTACATGGACTTTCTGTGTCGTGCCCAGTTCCAGGTGCTTCTTGGGTTCATAATCTCACACACGGTATACACCATTGATTCCTTGCGACACACTCTGTTTGAGACATCTGGGAAGAAAGACTCTTGATAAATAGAAGAAAGAGACTATATAAGTCAAGTGGCAGGCAGGCTCATGACCTGTAGCAAAAGAAGATTTCTTGGCTTCCAACCGCAGAGCTCAGGGAGAGTGCTATCTCTTAAATATTCGTCTGCAAGACTCTGGGCTACGTGGCAACGGTGAAGTTAGACGCCATACTATTGAATTGACAATATAGGTGCATGGTCTGGACTCTCTTGTGTGTAACGTGCGATATACCGGGGCGGGTGAAGTTGCTTTGATTCCCCAAAATACGAGTACTAGATTTACAGATCGCAATGCAGGTGATCAAATCAGAATAATTCGCTCATTGCTTGATTGAATAGCTCATTCAATTATTTGGTTATATTGCATTGAATTGAAACAAAGAATATTGAATCAGAAAGGTACAAGGTAGAAGAAAGAAGGGTTACATGGAACGGCATCTACACGTCACCACCCCTCAGCCAAGCCCTAAAACGACGCAAGCAAGAATCAAGCCACGGTCATACCACCCACCTAATACTCAAACAAAATGAAATCAAAGCTCCCCCCCATCCATGTCAATGCGACTTCCCCGATTACCTGAAACAGAGAATATTCCTATCGTACAATATGAAGCTCGCAGTCTTCAGCGCCAAATCCTACGACAAGCACTACATTGACGTCACACTCCGCAAACAACACCCCACCCTTTGTGAGATAACCTACCATTCATTCGCCCTCTCATCCGAGACCGTATCTCTTGCACAAGACAGCGATGCAGTCTGCGTCTTTGTAAACGACCAGCTGGATGCCCCTGTCCTCCAAACTCTCTATGCAAACGGCGTGCGCGCCATTCTCCTCCGCTGTGCGGGCTTCAACAATATCAACCTGCAAGTCGCCGAAGACCTCGGCTTCTTTGTCGCCAACGTCCCCTCGTATTCCCCTGAAGCGGTCGCCGAGTTTGCAGTGGCGTTGATCCAGACCCTGAATCGCAAGACACATCGTGCGTTTAACCGCGTCCGGGAGGGGAACTTCAACCTTGAGGGGTTTTTGGGCCGTACGCTTTACGGGAAAACGGTGGGGATTGTAGGCGTGGGTCGCATCGGGCTGGCGTTTGCGAAGATAGTGCATGGGTTTGGGTGCAAGTTGCTGGCGTATGATCCGTTTGGAGGCGAGGAGTTCAAAAAGTATGGGGAGTTTGTGGAGCTAGGGGATCTACTGTCGCAAAGCGATGTGGTCAGTCTGCATTGTCCTCTCACAGATGGTACGAGGCATGTGATTAATGATGAGAATCTTGCACGGATGAAGAAGGGTGCGTTGTTGGTCAATACTTCCCGTGGAGGATTGGTCAACACTAAGGCTGTTATCAATGCGCTTAAGTCCGGTCAGCTTGGTGGTGTGGCGCTGGATGTGTATGAGGAAGAAGGGGCACTGTTCTACAATGACCATTCTGGCGAGATTATCCATGATGATGTGTTGATGCGGCTGATGACGTTCCCGAATGTGCTTGTTTGCGGCCATCAGGCTTTCTTCACGGAGGAGGCACTCAGTGAGATCGCCGGAGTTACGTTGGGGAACTTGGAGGACTTCGTTATGAAGAGGACTTGCAAGAACTCGCTGGTGCGTGAGGGTCATTTGGTGGTTCCAATAGACAAGGAGCCTGTGCGGTTGTAGTAGGTTGTTTGGCATCGACTGAAGTTGACAAGGATGTCATTTATTCTTGCTGGAGACGTTGAACTGCCGAACGCTGAATTTATTCTATTACCTGGACACCTGGATGCCTAGGATCCAGATCAAACTATCTATCATATGGTTATGACCGATATTCAAACGAAGATATTCATAATATTCATTAATTCATTTATAATCATCAACCAATGAGGAAAATATCAAGTTGCAATAATCGGACATCGTTCATGCTTCATAACATCAAACCAACTCAGCGTATAATCCTTAGCCTTGTCACGCGCTTCCCAAACCATCTGTGCAGTCTTGGCTGCGGCCGAAAAAGAAGAGAGAGATGTACGATGGCCGGTGGATACCAACCAGTCTAGTAACCCGCGTTGCAAGTCGGGATCCAATGCCTCACAGGCAGCTACAAAGCCAGGCCAAAGGATTGCTGTATCATTCGGCACGCTTTCAGCACGTGCGTTGTCACTGCGCTGCAGGAAATCCAGGCATTTCCGGACAGTATCTTGGAGAATCAGGGCGCTTATGTTAGGAATCCGACGATAGTAGAATAGAATTAGGGCTTGGTGCATCGCTCGCATCAATAGCTGGGATGTATTGTGGTCGCTATCCTCGCTATTCTCAATGGCCGTGTGACGTATTAAGGAGGGCTGGGGGCGGGATGGTGGCACCCAGGATAGAACGTACTGCTCGAGGAGGCTTGCGCGTTTTTCCAGGTCCTGGAGTATGTTCATGTCTACCGTAGTGTTGCGATGTAGTAGCTCACGTTCGTTGGCAATACGGATTGTCTGCGACAGAAGAGTCATCAATGATTCCGGAACTCCATAGATATCCGGGTAGAGCGTGTCTTTCCACTGGCCCATCACTTCCAAATGGATGTCGTTGTGGCCAACTTCGTCGCTTTTCTCCAAGGTGAGATCAATCTCTTCGTCCAGGCTGTCACGCGCCACACGGAAGCTGCGTAGGGAGAGAGGCGAGGATTCAATCGCAAGTAAACTGGAACTAGGGCGGTCGGGGCATATATCAAGGAGTGCGCAGCCGCACGTGCTCTCAGCCATGATACGTATGTATGTGTAGACATGGTGAAGAGAGCGAACTTTGAGTGACTTGTGTGGCTTGGGTAGCCCTCGTATGCGAATGAGATACTCCGCGTCGACTAAGAAGGCTTGAGCATTGGAATTTTCTCCGTGGAATATCTGAAGTTTATTAATGGTGTAATCGATGCTGAAAAAGGGAAGAGGGATATACCGAGAGCATGACCATCGAGAGAACAGCCATTAACAGTTCCTTATACTTTGCACGTCTTGATCCAAGAACTTCCTCATTGAGGGCCACCTCGAGATGTTGCTTGGCTATTTGTGTGAACCCCTTTGACGACATGTTCAGGTCTACGGCATTTGGATTGCGTGAAAACATATGGAGACAGCTGGCGGCAAGCAGTGAGTAGAATAGGGAGAGCCTGGTATGGCTAGCGGTCTGGTGGATGCTGAGCTCTGCGTATGTACTCATTGCGGTGGGAAGATGGATGGCCTGCCAGGGACATTTTTGACAATTCTTCAACGGGAATGATAGGGAGATAATGTTCTCTTTGAAATATCGGAGTAGTTCAGGGGCCTGTGATGGAATATACTTGCTCCTTGACAGTGCAAGGGAGGGATTGGGTATTAGAGACATTGGGAGGGAAGTCTGTTGACTGAGAAATCCATCGGAAATGATACCTAGAGCGTCTGGCAATAGCACCTCCAGATTATTGGGGATAGGGTCAATATCTAACGACAGGTCTGCTCTGGGCACGTCTTCCACATCTTCAGCTATGTTATAGAGCCCATCAAACAAATGGTCATCCTCTGCAATGGTAGGAGCGGAGTCCAATGGAGGCCAGAGGAAGTCCCAGTCCGCCTGGGATGACTCGGCCGGGTCTGGCTGAGATGCATCGTGGCCACTTGGAGATGCCACGCTCGGTGGTAGCTTCAGGACTCCGAAAGGACCTCGGAATGAATCATGCTCCCAGCGTGATTCAGCTCGTCCGTGCTCACCATCTAGCTTGGTCAACGCGGCAGTCGCGGATTGCCGACCGAGACTATCGACAGTCATTCGCGTCATCCGCTCTTGGTCCTCCACTGGCAAATGGGTTAGCCCCTTGCTCTTCGGTCGTCTATCATGAAATAATCGTTACCAGAGAATAATGGTCGGCGGAAAACCCGATCTGGATCCTGAGGACTGTCTTGTAGGCCATCTTTGGCCCACATCAGTTGGCGTTCGTAGCCCAGACATGTCAAACCCTGGTGCTGGCACTTCTGGCACACCGGACGACTTTCATCACATTTTACATGACGACTGCGACAGGTCCCACAGCCAGTAAGGGTGCGGTTACGTTGCAACATTCTGCATATTTCAGATGGTTTGCATGGAAGAGAAGGATTTGCGAGAAGATGGAAGGGATTCCAGATGATATTTAAATCGTAACCCATTAAATTAATTTAATGGGGTTTTGCCACCGGGTCTACTGAGCCCCACCACCATACTAAATCTAAAAAAATACCTTAATACTATTTAGGCTTCACAACCGCTAAAGAGATTTATATAGTCATAGCCATTCTACAGCTTGGAATTGGACTGGGATGCTTCCTCCTGCACAGCTCGCGGAATCTCCTCCTCTAGACTGGGACCCTGTGGCTGCCAACCCAGCAGCTCTCGTGCTCGAGCAGCAGTATATTGAGCATTCGTTCCCCACAGCACGGCACCATGGGCAGTCAGTTTGTCTGCAGCACTGGCATCGATACTCTTGACGGTGGGGTCTTTGATAAAGCCTTGTTCAGCAGCAAACGAAGATACCCGTTGAGAAATGTCCCCAAACGGCTATAGCCAATAATTAGAACGGCAAACTCCAATAATTATTCAAAAGGAAGGTGGCCTTGACTCACCATCTTTCCATTCTCAGCAAAATAAATCCCATTCTCATTCCAAATCAATGGATTTTGAGGGTTAGACGCTTCCTGCGCCAACCTCACAACCAATTGCGCAATATCCGAGACGTGCACATTGCTCCAGCAGCTGAGACCTCTGCCGACTTGGAGACCATGGCCGTGCTGAATAGTTGATTTTGCTAGATCTGGGAGCTGTATGCTGCGCTGGTTCACGGGGCCTCTTCCCCGACCGTAGATCAGTGGTCCGTATATAATGGCCGTTCTGATGTGAGGATTTGTGGCGGAGAGACCAAGGAGGAGGTTGTCGACGGCGCGCTTCGGCGAAGAAGTGATGATGCGTCGGATTTCGGATATGCCTTGTAAATCATTGAATTCTTGCGAGCGTGGTTCGCCGTAGGCATTGGCTGTGATGTCGGGTCCGGAGAGAAGGCTTGCACCGGAGATTTGGATCCATACTAGTGTTTTGTCAGAATGGTGGAGTTGTGGAAAGCAGGAAGGGTTAAGAGAAAGGTGGAGTGAATACCTGGCTTTTGACGCTTGCTTTCTGTCAACCCTTGTGCAATGGCAGTGGCGCTGGCTAGGTGATTTGAACTGGCGAGATCTTTCCCCCTGAGTTAGCTTGCCCATTACGATGAACAGGGGCAGGATCTTACGAAGAACAACGTCGGCCTCTGAGGCTTCACTTGTGATCTTGGCGGTGGAATCTAAGTCCCCAATGACCGGAGTTACGGACGGAAACGTCTTTGTGAGCTGAGATGCTCGACTTTCGCTCCGAACTAAGGCCGAGATATTCGACGTGCGAAAGGCTTGTGTGAGGGCAAAGAGAACATCCCCACCAATGTATCCTGTGGCACCGGTTCTGGTTGGAATAACCGCATTAGTGTGCTGTCTTCGATCTCTTCTTATGTCTTCATAGTACTCACATGAAGATGCGAGACATTGTGTAGGTAGAGCAGCAGCTGTAGTTATTAAGGGCAGAGGAAGGTAATTCAGTGCGAAATAATAAATGTGAAAAGCGTAGAAGGTTGTGTATTAGTGTTGAATTGAAGTTTAGTGCAAGTAGTTGCCAACTTAACATATATACCCAGTTGGAGTAGATAGACTTTAGGGTTGCCGGGGATTCCTGCCTAATTCTCATGGCCCTTAATCCGTAATTGGATCAAATGATGTAACGTGACCCACACCTGCTTAGAAATGAACCTACGAATTTGGCAGCTTATCGCGATGGCTGCAAATGTGGAGAACTTCATGGATGTCCGTATTTGGCCACTCCACGCTTGGCCAACCCTATTCGTACATCTCAATGTGTATTTAGTATACACCACGATAACCAAATGAGGTTGACTCATGGAAACTTATCAATCATCTCAACTGATCAAGAAGCTTATCACGATATATCGCAATAACTGGGTATAGGCTTGTCACGATATGCGTCATTTTAGCTGTGCGACATTGCAATACAATCGAAAGAATAGGCTATATAAACCCGTAGCCACCTCATACATAATGGATAAGATCAAACACCCCGAACTCATACATACTATTGAAGAGTTGAACTCCTTCTTATCTTTCCTACCTAGTCAAAATGTCAAAAAGCGACTTTCCCACCTCTCCTAGCCGTAACCACTACGACGTGGTAATTATCGGCGGTGCCACCAGCGGCTCCTCGATTGCATGGCATCTCAGCACAAACCCCAACTTCAAAGGCTCAGTGCTCGTCGTTGAGCGTGATCCTTCGTTGCAATTCTCCGCCACCAAAGCCAGCAACAACTGCATGCGACAACAATTTGCCACAGCCATCAACGTAAAGATCGCACAATATGCTGCCGACTTTGTCAAACGCTTTGGGGCTGAGTTTCCACCGGACAAATGCGTGCCGGATGGTCCTATTCGCAACTTCGGATACCTCTATCTGTCTGATTCCACGCAATTCACAGAGGTGCTGAAGAAGGATCAGCAATTGCAGGCCAGCTGCGGAGCGGGCACTCAGATTATTTCAACGACGGATATCAAGCAGAAGTACCCATTCTTCTACACGGATGATATCGACAGTGGAAGTCTCAATGTCATAGACGAGGGTGCATTCAATGCCCTCGGCATGGTCCAATGGCTCCGCCAAACGGCCCGCGAAAACGGGGTCGACTATATTGGAAATGAAGTGGTTGGCATGACCGTGGACGGGGATAAAATCCGTGGCATCACATTGAAAACTGGGGAAAAGGTCACGGTGGACACTCTTGTCAACGCCGCGGGGACTCGTGCCGCGACCATTTCTCGACTGGCAGGTATTGACCTGCCTATTGAGGCCAGACGGCGGTACACCTACATCTTCTCTGTCGACGAACCACTCCCCCAGGATCTGCCATTAACCATCGATCCAACTGGTGTCCATCTCCGCTCGTACGGAGCCAAGGACTATCTCGTCGGTTGCCCACCAATCGGACCGGATACAGCCGTGGATGTCGATGATTTCAGCTTCGCGGAGAATGCATGGGAGGAAAAGATTCTGCCCATAATCACTCGCCGTGTTCCAAAATTCGCCAGTGCCTGTGTTACAAATGCCTGGATGGGCCACTATGAGTTCAACACATTCGACCATAATGCCATTGTTGGGGCACACGACAAGGTCAATAACCTTTTCTTCTGCGTGGGCTTTTCGGGTCACGGCAGTCAACAGGCACCGGCATGTGGGCGTGGTATTGCCGAGTTGATTGTTCATGGAAGTTTCCAAACCCTTGATCTGAGTTCGCTTTCATACAAGAGGATTGTAGAGAATCAGCCTCTGACGGAGAGAGCGGTTATCTGAGCCATGAATAACAATTATACACTGACTAAATCAATGCAAACAATCTATAGCTATCTTCCAAACAGCAGCATACCGGACTGCCTATCACCGGGATTTAAGACGGTGATGGACCTGTAATATTTCTAACTGTTTCCATACTTTCTCTTACTAAAGGAACGGCGATTAGACAGTTCATAGTAAAACGACAGGGTTAATTATAAAGGTACAAATACATTTCTGTCCGCCTATATAGTACTAACCTAGAACAAGACTAGACAGCGGCAATCTCTCTATAATAAGCATACTAATTCGCCTCCATCCTATAGCAGAAGGTACCATATAAATACACTCAAAAATTGTCCACCTGCAGGTGCAGCATTACCCCAACTAGACACGAGGATAGACATCCAATGGACTAGGTCCCTGAGGAGTACCCAAAGTAGTCTCCAACTGGCTCTTCCACCAATCGACAACATTGCGCTGACTCATAAAGACCCGGAAGCCACCAACCTCACTGACATTCTGCTCGTAAAGTCTGCCCTGGTCCAGGCTAACCCGGGGAACGAAGCTGCCCGCATCAGCCTGAGCCTTCTGCCACTCGTCGCTGACCAAGAAGCTGAGCAGAAGCTTGGAGGTCTCCGGCTTCTTCGTGCTCGCAAGGATGGCTGCCGTCTGGGACCAGCTCATGCTCTCGTCCTTTTGAGGGTTCTTAATTCCCCACCAGTTCTCCGAACCATCGGCAGTGGTGAAAGTGATCGACCGAGGATTTCTTGTGCTGTTATGGGCGGCCGAGATAACGGCAGCGGGGGTGTAGGAGCCCCGTACCCACTGAACGTCGTTCGCTTGAAGGGCATTGAGCCACTCAAAGCCGTAGCGGCCGATGATCTTAGCAAAGAGATACAGAACGGCATCATCATCGTTGGGATAGGTGAGGACCAGCTTTCCGTGCCATTTAGGGTCAGTGAAGGATGCGTAGTCGTCGGGGACCTCGGATTCGTTCAGCTTGCTGCTGTCCCAAAAGATACCGCCGAAGCCATCTGTACACCTTGTCAGATCATATTTGAGTTCATGAAGAAGGGATAGCTTACACTCTGCGATAGGAAGATAAGCACCGTGAGGATCACGCTCAGAAGCATAAATATCGTTCCACACTGCTGGCTTGTAGTACATAAGGCGGTTCTGCGACTTCCAGCGAGGGAAATCCTGCAGGGTCTGCAGGATGACCACATCGGTTGTCTCCCCCTTGCCGTAGAAGCCACGGTCAATGCGGCTCGCGTGATACTTGGAGAGGTCGACTGTCCAGTTCACCTGGATATCAGGGAAGCGTTTCTGGAACGCATCGATGATGAAATCGTTCTGGTTACCGGCTAGCCAGGCTGTCAGCAATAGGTAGGGGCGAGAGCTGCATGGAAACTTACCATCTCCTCCAGAGGACACAACCAGAGGACCAGACTCCTTCTTTGCGGCTTCATAGATCTCGTCGAGAGTGCGAGTCTCCAAGGGAACATTTCGAGACCATTGAGCTTGACCGAGCGACAAAAGGCTCGACAGAGCGAGAAGACGATTCAAGTAAACCATGTTTTGATGGAGGTTGGGTCCAGTGTTGATGAGGTGAACACGAAGCAGATAGATGTGGTAGATATGAGAATAATGCCGGCTGCAGTCCGGGGATCGTCGCGCCTTTTAAGCAAGCCTTGAGTCTCTAGATATCCAAATGTGTCGAGTACCGTTTGAGAAATACTATCCCAATCGAATACCTCTAGAATCCTTCGAGCGTCCTTGGCGCCGAGCCACGGCACAGTTGCTGTACCATAATGGGCCATGATACAGTAACTGGTCAACTCAAATGATAAATGAAACTAAATGCACGGGTCACCTAGCAGACAACCGGCCGAAGACACAATCCCTCAAAACTACTCGAAACCATTAGAAACAATGTCCTTTTGCCTTCATTAGCGGATACGGTGATTTGCAAGGCCAATGTATCCATAATCAATGTCTATAGATTACAAACCATGACCCTACGCTGATAGTATAATCCTAGATCACGCTCGAGTCACGACACATTATGTGATACGTTAGAGGGACGTCCATATCTGAGACTAAGAAAAGTCGCCTGAATTGAAGGATCCCTGTATCCACATATGTGAATCCTACCTCAAACTATTAAGCCAGATAGATTGATAAGCACGGAATAATTCCGATATAGAAATTTACACTATTGAATGATCCTCGATCCCAACGGTCAGGCAGAGATAGGATCATAGAAGCTTCCTTGTGGCTGCTGCGCCACACGATCCACGGCGCATTATGCTTGGCTTGCACGAAGATTGCCAGATTACTAGTAAGAAACTCGTGGTTAATGCCAATTTGGGGCCGAACCCCTGTGGTGTTGCATCAGAAAGCTGGTAAACGTGTGGGGAGGCGCAGTCCAGACCCTCCTATATTTGGCCTTATTAAACCCTAATCCTATTCTTCCCAAACTTGGGCTTGGCACTGTCTTGGACGACGATCCTATTTCTACCGACTTGGCAATACGATCTACCGACCCAGGCTTCAACGTATATTCTTGGCATATCTAAGATACAGAGACTATGCTCTATCTAGCTCTGGTGCGGTCACTTGATTTTCACAGGAGGGATCACAGAGTACCAATGTGTGAAAGGACCCATTAACCAGTTACAAAATACTCTATAAAGACGCCTTGAGTGTCGGATATTCTTAGGTGGTTGAATGAGCTGACTCTTCAGTCAATAGGATTTATCTGAGGTCTTTGCCAGTCCTCAGACTATGATCATGCTAGCATAGCTGCTGGTGTAGATAGCTCGGCAATGGATGCTAATAGTCCAACGATAGCTTCGCTCTATCAATGGTTAGATTAATAGAGGTTATATATATTGTACTAGAAACCTGTATTGCAAATAACTCCAACTCCCATATACATACTATCTAGCTGGTACTAATATTACTACTCCCTCGACCTGTCGGGTAATATGAAGTCCGATATCATAGCATTCCAGGAAATAAGTACACAGTCGGCCCTGAAATACAGCCTCCCTCTTCGATCTTTCAATAGCCTTATGCTGATGTAACACTCTGACTATCACAGCTTCTCAGCTCTGTCTACTGTGCGAAAATCATCATAGAACTCCTGATAGATATATGATCTTACTTCCATGTCTCCTCATTAACCGCCCACGGCCCGTCCGGTACATTGTCATCCCAATTCCCCCTAGGAGGCCTCCAAAGCAACAATATCGCCGGCGGACGACACTCGTGCACCAATCTCGACCACTCTTCACTCGGGTGTCTCTTCTCCAAATCAACATGCAAACTCACCACCCGTCGATACCCGAATTCCTCGTATAGCCACCGTCCCATCGGACTCCCTTCAATGAAACTCTCATACCCCAACTCATCGATCCGTTCATGACCCCATTGCATGAGCAGTCGGCCTACACCGCGTCGGCGGTAATCGGGGTGCACACCCATGGCGTTGACACCTATATCCCCATCGTGATCGGATTAGCAAATACCATCGCGCATATATATATATATATATATTCGGTAAAGAAAACGAAAGAAAGAAGTATAGCATACCAGCATGCTTTCTCTTAAACCAGGACATTCGATAGAAAAACACCTGAGACAGGAACGCACTCGTGTATTCCGCTCGTTCAGAGCCCTCAGGATACCAAGTACACGGGATCGTCTGCGGGCCATGCGGGAAAGGATTGTCATGGAAGATGAGCCATTCGCACCCGCCGGCAACGCGGCCGGTGTGGAGATCGAGCACGTAGATAAAATGCGACGCCGGGTTCTTGATGTGCGCGGCCCAACGAATTTCGGTGTCGAGGGCTTTGTCAGCTTCTCTGTCCGCGGCCGTGTGGCCTGTTACGGGGTGGACGGCTGTAAAGATAGGGCTGTGTGGTCACAATTATCATAGTTAGGGCTGGTTTTAAAAAGCGTGACTTGGGGCGGGGCTCGAGGAAGGTATAGCAGGAAGGGAGAAAGCTAAGTACTTATAGGGCTGAAAGTTGGCAGTCCAGAGGACGTCAACTAGACGGGCATATTCTTCTTTGGTTTGGATTTCTCGGACTTCGAACTGGGGGTTGGCGTTGGAGTAGGTCATCTTCGATAGTAAGGTTAGGGGAGAAGTAAGAGCTTGACAGAAGAGAACTAGCTAGTATGACGGCGTTTTAAGGCTTCCTTTCGGCTTTTATACTTCGGATGAAAGTCCCCGAGTTCGGTGCACTAGGATTATTGTTGTCATTTGGGGGCCAGAAATTGGTAGGCCACTGAACTTGCTTCGATTATGATGGCCAGCTGTATTATGGATCCACCAAGTATGAAAAGCCTGGGACTTCCGATTGGACGCCTTGTGGGCAACAAATACATAGCTAAGCGTTTCCATACTGCATCCGGGAAATCTTACACTCACAACAGGGCTACGAGCTACGGATTGATCCGGAACTATTACCCAGATATGCCCTCAGCAAAGGCTTATCTGCCAAAAGGAGCGTTCATTGCAGCCGTTTTCTATCTGAGAGTAGTAAAAGCCTTCTTACGAGGTTGTATTTAAATGCATGCCTGCTGCCTAGTACTGGGATGGCAAATTTACAATAGATATTCAAGGCCGGAACGCTAGCGTAGAAGATGCATGTGTGTACCCAGTAAAGACCCCCTCTATAGCGTCTATACATATATTACCTAGAGCGATCCCGTATACACCTCCCAATTACCGGCATACTATGTACAAATTCCAAAGCTCTAGGAACGATCCGCTGTCCATGGATGATCAAAGGAACCACAGCAATCAACCACATGAGGTATACAAGTCCAACAGCGAGAGTAATGCGCAGTTTTTCCAGGATCGGCAACATGAATCTGGCCACGACAGGCTCATCAGAACTATCGAGACTTTCTTCGGCTGAGCGCTGCTCGAATGCGTTCGCCATCTGCCAAGCGACGCGGTTGTTGATCTTCTCCCACGTTGTATCTTCTGCGTATCTCCGAGCAGAGGTTGACAGGGTAGACCGCAAGTGGCTATCAACAGAGACTTCTCGTACTAGATCAACAAAGTTATTTATGTCGTTTGAAGGAACTAGATATCCCGTCTTCTGATGCTGTACAATATCCGACGGGCCTCCTTGATCTCTGGCAATTACAGGTAACCCACTGGCCATGGCCTCCAGTACTACTAGCCCGAAGGTTTCGGTAATGGAGCAATGAAGGAAGATATCGCCCGAGGCATATGTGCGAGCCAGAGACTGTCCGGTTAAGAACCCGGTGAATATGACATGTTCTCTGACTGCGTCGAAAAGACGATGGACTCGGGTTTCCACGACCGGATTGCGGTTTCCTCCGACAATCAGTAGCTTGAATGGGACCTTTTGTTCAGCAAGCTTGACTGTCGCTTGTGCTAGGAACTCGAATCCTTTCTCTGGAGCAAGGCGACACACGCAGATGAGAACGATCTCTCCATTCGGGGCGATTTCCTTTCGATAGGCATTGTCACAATACGCGGGGTTAAATAGGGATGTATCAACGCCACGTCCCAATCTAATGGTGCGCTCGACAGGAGCTCCAGCATCTTTCAGGTAGTTCAGCACAGCCGAACAAGGATAGAAGATGGTGTGTACAGATGGATGGCTGAACAGGAACCCTTGCACGGTGGCCAACAGCCAAACTGCGAATCTGTCAAGAGGTGCCGGGAAGATAATTTCACTGTAGGCTGAGAGATCTGTTTGGTAGTTGAGTAACACCGTAGGGGGTTTCCGAAGTTGACGGGTCTGCAGCAGGACCTGGAAGCCTAGAGAGGCTGGGCTGGCGACGTAAATGACATCTGGCTGGAAGGTTTGTTTGTAGACAGTGTCCAAGCGAAACGGATAAACTATCGTCAGGTCTGGATTGTATGGCAGAGGATAACCCGGTATCCGTGAATCCGCGGCATCCTGTGCCTGGCAGCGGAAGCCTTGATAATGCGGTGCGACTACAGCCAGATCGACACCGTTGCGCCGGAGATACTCCACCAAGCTCAACGTCGTCCGACTAACACCATTAACGGGTCCCAGCGACTCTGTAGTCAGCAGAACACGCCGTCCCTTGAGAATCTTAGGAAAATCATCTGGTTTGGAAGCAAACGACGCCATGGTGCACTGCCGGAATGCAGCGAATTAGAAGTGGCAACACCATGGTTTAATAAGACCATTTATCTTGCATGAGATCGCGTTCATGGCAGATGACATGAAAACGTGAATAGCACATGATGGCTAGTTGATTTGACGATCTCCTGCGGGATGGAGGGCTCATTCTTTAGAGATGGACACAAGCTTCGTGTAGGAGGGCTTCGTGCGGGCACGTGGGGTGGCCGGTATCCATTAACCTTCACCAGTGACATTCCGTCTTCACTTCCCCGTGCATCAACTCTTCAAGCTCTTTGGGGTTCCCGACAACTATCCATGGTGCTCATCTGGTTCTTTAGCTCTTATCTTGCTTCAGCACGCTCCGGAAACGCTCGTAGGAGGCATTCGCAGGACCAGTAGCCTGCCGGAAACATGTAGCGATTAACCATGCTAATTTGCATCGGCCACCGGGTGACCAGGAAGGGTCAGGTGTGCGATAGTAGACTGTATAAACGCTTGGGTCCCTGTTAATAATCTCACTGAAGAAGGCGCATGCCCGCAAACTGGATCACAATCTCGAAAATGGTCGTGGAAAAGGAGACTCACCCGATGGACATTCCCTCTTCGCCACTGGGCACCTCGGAGGGGAGTCTGTATGAGGACTCAACGCCCCCTACGACTCCGGCTTCGAGTCCTTTATTCGGTGCCTCAAGAGGAGATGAACTTGTCTCGCTAAGCTTTCCGTCTTCGTCGGCTACTTATAATCTCAGCTCCGAGCAGAGAGTTCACGACATTCCCAGGGTGGTCAAGAACGTCTGCGTCGTAGGTGCGGGGTATGTAGGTACGTCCTCACTGTTCCATGACGGTCCCCTCAAGATGCTATATTATACATGACATTAACTGTTCATAGGTGGGCCGACCGCTGCAGTCCTCGCGCTCCATAACCCGTCCGTCGCAGTTGAAGTCGTGGACCGAGACCCTCGTCGCATTCAGAGATGGAAGTCACCTCATCTTCCAGTTCATGAACCAGGTTTGGGCAATATTGTCCGCGTAGCGAGGGACGGCGCAGATTTTGCGACTTCGAGTGCTTCCATTGCAGCCATCTTAGGGGACGTGAAGCGGAAGCCCAACCTATTCTTTACATGCGACTCAGCTAGTAGCATTGCTCGCGCTGACATGATCTTCCTTGCGGTGAACACACCCACCAAGACCTTTGGGTTAGGCGCTGGAAGAGCTACTGATATGACAGCTGTCGATGAGGCTGTACGAGAGATTGCGCTCCATGCAAAACCTGGCGCGGTCATCGTGGAGAAGAGTACGGTGCCGTGTGGCACTGCTCAACGGATCCGACAAATGGTATTCATTACCCCTTGCTCTTCATTTCCTTTGCGATCAGTATTGTTCTGGGGGCTTTCAAAAATTTGTCGTAGACCCTGATTCAAGGATACTAACTTCACTATAGTTCGCCACCCTCCGACCAGAAGTCCCCTTTGAGGTTCTCTCCAATCCAGAATTTCTATCCGAAGGCTCAGCCATCAACAACCTCGTCAAACCTGACCGTGTCCTCATCGGATCCTCAGGAACACCAGCAGGCCGTCGTGCAGCAAACAGGCTCACAAGCCTCTATTCCACCTGGGTACCAACATCACGTATCCTCGAAATCAACGCCTGGTCCTCGGAGCTATCCAAGCTAGTAGCCAACGCCATGCTCGCCCAGCGCATCAGCAGCATCAACTCCATAAGTGCCATCTGCGAGAAGACCGGCGCCGAGGTCGACCAAGTAGCCAAAGCAGTCGGCATGGACACACGTATTGGACCCCAATTTCTCAAGGCAGGACTGGGATTCGGCGGATCGTGCTTCCGCAAGGATATCGCCAGCTTGACATATCTGGCTGAGACCCTGGGACTGGAAGACATCGCGCACTATTGGAATCAAGTCAATGTCATGAACGTAATGCAGCGGAACCGGTTCGCCAGAAAGGTGATTGATCGATTCGAGGGCAATTTGCATGGTCGTAAGATCGCCTTGCTTGGTTTTGCGTTTAAGAAGGATACGGGAGATACGCGTGAGTCCTTGACAGCGGACGTGGTCCGGCTATTGATGGAGGAGCGGCCGATGGAGATCGCTATATACGACCCTTACTGTCAGGAAGAGGATATTCTCCGCGAGCTAGAGGTGGTCTTGGCTAATCACTCGGAGAGGGATAGCGTCGTGAAGGTTCTTGCAGATCCTTATCTGGCTTGTTCTCAGGCACATGCAGTCCTGGTCTTGACGGATTGTGATCAGTTCCGGAATGTTCCTGCTAACTCTCGACGTCGTTCGTTGTTGACCTATCAGCCAGCTGCTGCTAGAGCGGACCAGGAGGTATATGATAGTCTAGCCGAGGTGATTATGGCTCCGGTCAAGGCAGAAGAGGAGACCTGGACATTCAATGGAATATCTTACCGTCTTGCCCCACAAGAGGCTTGTGCTGCTGATTGCGCATCCTGTCGCTCAACATCCACCCGACCTGCAACTGCCGAGCCGCTGGAGTGGGCGCGCATTGCTTACAACTTAAAAGAGCCCAAATGGGTGCTTGATGGCCGGTGTTTCCTGGATGTACGGGAGATGGAGAAAGTAGGCATTCAACTGGATATGGTTGGACGGCGGCCTGGTGCATCACAATCGAATGATACCACTAGCGTAGGTATATGATCTGGACACTGAGAAGATCTAATTAGATTGATACCCTACTTGTGTTTATATTGAAATTCGAATATACAGAATCAAGCACATTATCAATTAAGCACTACAGCACGATCATAAAGATAAGTATGAACATACAAAAATATCATCATCACCATATCAATCATGCAACAGAATCCCATGGAAGTATAAAAGAAGCTCACAAAGAAGCCTGGAACTTCCCATCAACCTCCTCCACCTTCTTCACAGCCCTCTGGTAACCCTCCTCGGCCTGGATCTTCTCCACATACTTGGCCAGATGCGGATACTTCTCCTTCAGCGGCAATCTCAACGACGCCGCAATAAGCGGGAAACTCATCATAATATCAGCAGCGGTCAACTGCTGTCCGCAGAGATACGGTCCACCACCAGGGGCAGTCTTCAGACGTTCCTCGAGGAAATCAAAGTTCCCAAAGATATTCCTAGAAAGGAAAGCCTCTTCAACCTTTGACGCAACAAACCTCGGGATGGGCTTAATGAAGAATGGAACAGGGGCATCCTTCATGCCTATATCATTCCATACCATCAGTTACCAACCACACAAGCATCAAACAAAAGAAAAAAAAGAAGAAAGAAAGAAAGGTTAAAACTCACGATCCATAACCAACTGAAACACCAAAAACGGCATCAGAGTACCCTCAGCATAGTGCATGAAATACCGGTAGCGCATCCATTCCTCCGTCTCGCCGCCGACGACGCCCTCCTTGCCCTCGGGATAGCGCTTGGGGATGAGCTTTTCGCCGCCGAAATGGTCGCACAGGTATTCGGTGATATTACCCGATTCGGCAAGCACGAGCGGTTTCTCTGACTGCTCGGTTTCAATGGTGATGACGGGCGATTTGCCCAGCGGATGAATCTTCTTCAGCTCCGGAGGAGCCAGCATCTCCGATGTGCGCTTGAAGGTCTTCAGGTTGTAGGTGAGGCCTAGTTCCTCGAAGAGCCAGACGATGCGCTGGGAGCGGGATTGCTCCAGCCTGTACGTTTTTCTCGTGTTAGTGTGCTTTCATGTACAAGGCATATATATATAAAAGGGGAAGGGAGAGACGGACCAGTAGAGGGTGATGTTAGCGCCTTTGTTTGCGTCCGTCATCTTGATGTATATCTATACTTTGATAGGAGCGCAAAAGAATATTGCTTTGAGTTGAGTCGATCAAGCGAGAAGCGATCGAGATATCAAATCGGAACTGATTTGCGGTATCGTATCCAATGTCACTGAGTACAGATTCTGATGTGGTAGATACGAACAGTAGACCAATATCAGGAAGCCAGGACTCTTATACCGAGCAGATCTAGACTGATCGACTGGAATAATCTCCTCATATTGCAGCGACCGAGCAAAAAGAGCGTATCTGCCTCGGCATCTCCGCCTGTGAAACTGCGTCATCGGCGGGAGTGGGTCTTTCAATCCAATCCCTAGAGGACCATTTTCGAGTTTTGGTGAATGAACATCTTCATTATCTGGACTTTTCCCGACAATCACCCGATAACTGCATGGGCTTGTACATTAGCTTCCTGGAGGATAAACATGAGATACCCTAATCAGGATAAAGAAGAAGTAAAGCATGACTGCATAACATTCAACCATGTCCAGCCAATCATATTCGTGCACAATACAGACTTACTAAGCAATGTAAAAAACCACGTGACATCACGGGGAACCTCACCTCACCCAATCGAAGCTCAGCCAATTCAAGACGAAAGATAGGTGATAACGCTGTCCATTCTACACAACCGCTACCATGGCCGGTCCTAGCAAGTGTGAGTTTATCTTCCCTGGTTGTAATTGATAGAGAAAACACTAATACGTTTCAATTCCAGCCATGGTCCTTGACCCGGCCCTCCAGAAATACTACGGTACATTTCCTTCCCTCGCTTTCTCCCCCGACACCCAATCCAACCAATCTTGACATGATATAACAATGGAATGCGACGGACTGCGATAGACTCTATGCTCTGTGGATGCGCTGTGCCGTCTAATGCTACAATTGGAAACATAAGAATGTCGAGAAAGACCACGATCAAGACTAATATTGTCGAACAGAGGTCAACGCAAACCGCTACAAGTACTTCCGCTGGACCCCGCGCCATGCCTGGTTCTCGTTCCTCTACATGGCTCTGATTCCCGGAACATTGGGCTACATTGCCTACAAGACTGAGGTGGGTTTGACTTTGGTTTCTTCGGCGAACTGGGGCTTGGATGGGTTTCGGACTGACGGGTTTTCCTTGTTTACAGGGCAAGTATGATTTCCGTGGGAAGCGGAGGGGAGATACCCTTGAGGAATTTTGATTTATCGTTGTTTTGCGGTCGATTGGTTTGAGAGTGGATGAAAATGAAGGGTTTGTCGAAGGATGACGACACTCATCACTAGATGTGTATTTATTACGGAATATACCGCTTCTTGTTTCTTTTCTCTTCTTGGTACTTGGTTAAATTGTAGATGAAGAGTGTGGGTTATGTGTTTGTGGTACTTCCAGTGTAGGTGGGCTGTGTGGTGTAGGATATGTGCGGATATATATATTTTTATACATAGCTGGGGTGAGATGTCCGATCACCAACATTCAAGTACTATTTTACCCTACGCATTCAGAATAGAAGAGCACCAAACCATAGATCAGACAACAACTATATTTTCAGTACCGGGTATCCCTCAGGATCACAACTCCAGAAACTAATACACTCCGAAATCATTAGATGCAAAAGAAAAAGAGATGTCAATTAATAAGGACCCCATCCTCTCCTCCCACGCCCTCCTCCTTCCGGTAGCCTCTCTCCCCGTCTCCAATCGCCTACAGGAATGCGGTCGCCGCCGCCGCCGCCTCGGCCTCCCCGACCTGGCCGGCCTGCGAACCCATTATCGCGGAATGCTCTCATGCCACCACCAACTGCCGATCCAATGGACCCCCTCCCAGAGCTGATCGGTGGTGCTACCGACCCGTCCTCCAGTGGCGGCAGAATCGCGCAATCTACATAGTCTCCGATCACGAATCGTACGTCTTGTAGTGTTTTGTCGGCGTCGTGGCCCTGTAGCCGTAGTGGTCCAGCCCGGGGGCCCGCAGGAGCGCCGTTCTCTTCGTCATTCTCATCGCGGTACGGGCTGTCCCTTGGTCCAATCACCACACTGCCTATGTCCTTGCTAAGGTACCGGCCTCGTACGTCGGGCCCCATCGTCGCTGCGGTCTTTGTGTCGGGGTAAATGAGGCGGAAGCATAGTCTTGTGCCTACGGGCGGGTCTGGTAGTAGCGACGGCAAGGCGGAGGTGAGTAACTGTGACAATTCGCGCAGCGAGCAGGACTGCCAGGTATAGATTTGAAGGTGGGCAGGGAGCGGCGGCGGGGGAGGGGAGCGCGCCCGAATGGCGTTGGGGCCGCTGACAGGACCGCCGTATGAAGCAGGCGACGACTGGGGAGCAAAGTCTGACAGGTGGTGGAAGTTGTTCACGCGGTAGAAAAGCTTCAGATGGAAGGGCGTTGTGGACTGACGGTCAATTTGGGGTTTTGGCGCATCTCGAGCGGCGGCCATGATGCCGTTTTGTCGGTGGGTTCGATGGACGGTACAATTGATCGTTCAAGGAGGGCTCCAAGAATATATGGAGAGAGATACTATTCTTGCGTAGGCGTCTATTTCGTCACAGCATCAATCGGGGACAACAATTGAGTGAATAGTAACGGAGGGATTGAAATGGTTTCAGCGGAAGTGTTGCGGATGAAATAAATGGAGAGAGCTTCTGGGTTTTGTCACCGAGTTTAAGCTCGACCGCCGAGGAGCTTTGCTTTAACTCTAGGCCGCCCTTGACTCTCGACCTCCGCCCAAAAACCAACTCTTGCCGCTTCCTCACCCCCCCCCAACCAACTGGCGCTGTTGTCAGTCACGGACCTCTGCTACGGTCTAATTTCCCTTTCCACAGTTTATTTAGAAAATTCTTGATTGGCCTTGGTCCATATCGGCAGTCAGCAACATGGATTTCGCGGCGTTAATGTCCAAGGAGATTTCCAAAGCCAAAGGCGGCGGATCATCGTCATCAGACAAAAAAGACACATCGAACCCCCCCGAGAAGAAGTACATTCGCCGCAGTGAATTAGAGGCTGCTCGAATTGCCGCCTACAATGAAGAGCAGGATCGGGCGCAACGCGAACGAGAAGAGCGCATGGCTCAGAAGCGCAAGCTGGACGAAGAGGAGGCCGAACGACGCCAGGAGCGAGAAGAGAAAAAGCGACGACTAGCGGAAGAGTCACGGAAAAAGAGAGAAGAAGAAGAAGCGGCTAAGGAGCGAGAGCGACGGAAACGGTTGGGATTGCCGGAGTTGCCCCCGGCCGGTGAAAAGGATGAGGACAAGGACAAGGATGAGGAGGAAGACATCCCGGACGAGGAATTGGTTACGAAGCTGCGTGAGATAGATGAACCGGCTCGGTTGTTCGGAGAGACACATCGCGGCCGTTTACGGCGGTATCGTCGACTCGTGCAGCGTTCGCTCACGCCCCAGCAGCAGTTGTCTGATGGGCCTATTCCCACGACGCTGGAACTGGTTCCCGAAAAGGAGATGAAGATTTCTACGACACTCCCTAAGGATACGGCAGGTCGCAAATATTTGTTCCGCCAGCTGGCTTCGTATTTCAACATGGTGTTAGGGGAGTGGGAGCTTGCATTGGCGAAGCGAGATATATCTGTCAAGCAAAGTCTCCAGGGACGACAAGCCTACAATGCAATGGTCCAGTCGAAAGAGAATATGAAGCCACTGTTCCGAAAGTTCGAGAAGGTGGATGTTGATGATAGCGTACTGGAGCATGTTGTCGAAATCGTCCATAATGCCCAGCTGCGGAGATACGTTGATGCAAATGATGCCTATCTACGATTGAGTATTGGAAAGGCGTACGTGTTGGCCCCTTCAACTGATTCTTATACCGTGAGATAACTAACGGCGTACAGAGCATGGCCCATTGGTGTAACCATGGTTGGTATCCACGAGCGATCAGCCCGAGAAAAGCTGCACCAGAGCGACCAGCAGGCCCATATTCTAAGTGACGAGATCACTCGCAAGTATCTGCAAAGCATTAAACGATGCTTGAGCTTTGCGCAAACCCGATGGCCGCCAGACGATCAGCTGCAGATCATGGGCTAGAATTATGAAGATATTCCCCCTGAGCTTGGTGACTAGTTAGTGTACAATAATGATGATGATGTTTATACCCGGTTGCACCTATCCATGGCTTTATTTTTGTGAACATATGCGGCCCGTGGGGCGTGTAAGAATGCTAAATTTAATCGATTTTATACAATATAAAGGTCTCGCACCTGCCTTCTAGATCTATGTGAGATGTGTATGTATAGTAAAGAGGTTAGAACACATGATATCGTCACCAGATTGCCGTTAGTGCTTTCCATATGCTTCCAAGCAAGCCCGACTTCTCGGGCATAGGGTACTCCGTCCGACAGCTATCAATCTTATCGAGCTGGACCCTGTGATTTCCGTTCCCGTAAACATCGTGGCCATCAATGCCTTGCATCAGCCCCGGGGATGATCCCTGTGATCGGGTAGAGACCACCGCCTTAGCCCTGGCCCTGTTTTCCCCAGTAAATGTACGGATCAGTTTGCCTGCTGTTTGAACACAGCTGCCATGTGCGAACCGAATGAGAGTGTCGCCCGTCAAACTGCCAACGATGAAGACATTATTCGCAATCTCCATGTTTTCAAATGCGTTCTGTCGCAGGGTCTGCCCAGAGACGATCGGGTTTATTTCGCCTTTCTCATCATGTTCCAAGATCTCAGAAAGGAGTCCACGGTCCAGGTAACCAAGGGAGCCTCGGCGACCAGTCGCATACACCATGCCGCGTACAGGTTGCGAGAAAGTGGTGCCATCGGTTCGGCGGAAGGTAATGGTAGCAAATTCCTTCTCCATATCCACGCCGATTATTTCAGTGTTTGGATATCCTTGATAAACCTCATCCCAAGCACGACTTTCGAGAAACGGGCTTGATGTCGTCCGCTTCACTCTGGTAGGTCGTTTATTTGTGGTTGGCGCTGCCGCAACAGCAGCTCGTTTCATCAAACGGTAGACCCCCGCGTACTCGGGGTAGGCTTGTTGGTGACAGCCTCGCAGGGGAGAGGGCCGATTTTCGGGATCCCATTTGAATACATGAATGACCTTCTGATCTTTTGGCGCTGAGATAATTACATCTGCAGCTGAAAACCCAGACCCAATAATGAGAAGAGGGATATCCGGGACGGGTTGCAACGAGAGGAGTGGCTGGAGCAGCGGACGAGGCTGTATCACCTCGGAAAATATACCGCTCGCCAAAACCACGTTCTTGCAATGAATATTGTGTGACTGAATGAAAAAGCCACTCTCTGTTCTGGAGATACCGGCTAGGGTTTCATTGCTCTTGAAAACATCCGCAATCCCAACTGCTTCCGGATACATCCGGAAATATTCCGCGGTCTCCTGTCTACTGGGTCGGGTGAACGCAGGGAGCTCTTTGCCGGTGACTTTCCGATAATGCTGTGCGAAGGAGTAACCCGGAAGAGATAACATAGATGCATAGCTCAAAGTCTGAATGTCCCAACTGGCAGGGACGAGATTTTCGGTCCATTGCCCACCAGGCCGTGGCGCATTTCCGACAACCAAATGAGGAACCGCTTTTTCAGGCACATATCGCCATTCGATATTTGAAATGCTACCCAGTTCTTCCACATCGATACTAGGGCGGAAAAGGGTGTCAAATAATACATTGACCGGAAGAGCTTGAGTGGAGTAGCTCAGTCGAGAAGCGGCAAAATGCTCCGTCAGAGCATCGACATCGGCATCCAGCAACGCCGGGTGATCTTTGAGTTTGGCATGAAGAAGAGGATCGGGATGTGGAGGATTGGGGGAATAATACGGGACGTGACCGTGCAGAATAAAGGACAGGATCATGGCCGAAGGCCCATTTCCTGTGGCGGTTACAGGTCAATCACGGCGCCCATTGGCAGAAAATAGCCTTCAAGGAGTATGGCGACATACCGATTATAATGGTGTCAGTGTCCATTGAAGGCGATCTGTGAGCCTCCAGCCGCCCAGTCAGCGCGGAGCATTCTCGACGGGACATGCGATAAGAGTGGCAGAGGCCCAGAAGGACAGTGCTTTCAATCGGTGGGTCTAGTCTAGATGATGATCACGGCACCACTACCTTCCTGTGAAGGACATGAAGCCATTAGGCCATCAAAAGGGGTTACATCTGAGATAGCAAAAAAATGCTGCAAGAAGTTGGCGTGAGAGGCGCACATTGAGCGGATCACAAAAGTAAAGCCGTTTCGCTGACAAAACTCTGGTCTAGCTTAGCAATCCTGACCCGATTATGGTCCGAACGGCGGCGTGGGGTGAACTATGGAAATTAAGCTTGGGTTCGAGTCGCCTAGACTGGTGGCAGTCGGCGGGACATCATCCTCGTATCAAAGTATGTATGTGTACGAATACATCATCAATTCCCCCACTTCCGAATCTTGATAGAGTTGCGATAAATCTCAGTCACCCAAGGTCAAGAAATGAACCTCTTTGCAACCAGGGGAGAGACAAGATACATCACCCATGGTAGCGTCATCGTTCGGTGAAATCATGGAGGGAATCCACCAGGGAAAACAATACCTAATTCTATCATAATCATGAAGGTCGGCGACCCTCCGGCTGCGGGGTAGCCAGACTAGGATATTTAGGGCTTAGGGTGAGAGGACGTGGCAACCCTGTACCCTACCTTCCTAAAGGGGGTTAAGGCTGACGCGCGTTGGACGGAAGAGTAGGCGGGTGAATGATCGTCACCAGAGGCAGAACGACATTGGAATCAGAGTAGAAAGTGAACAAGTGAAAGGGCTCGGGAATTAGAGGCAAGTTGCGCTGCCATGATTCCGTTATTCCGACTCTCGTTACGCCCGTTCTGATACCAGGAGTTGGCTCCGGCCTCCGGCGACCGCAACGATGTACCATCTGGCGAAGTCGTTGTATATGTACGCTACCAGCAAAGAGGGTAAGGAGAACATGTCGCGAGGCCATGCGCAGAGCCGCGTACTGACTATGTTACTACGAAGAGTACTCTGTCCTCCTTCTCGGGCTAGATAACGCTGGCAAAACTACGCTGCTCTCGCAGATCAAGGCCCTCTACCAACCCCGTCCCGAAGGCGCCCCTGCTCCGAACCCTGGCAAGACCGTGCCTACAGTCGGCCAAAATGTCGCAACCATTAACCTCCCGGAAATGTACCTGAAGATTTGGGATGTTGGGGGTCAACTAACTATGAGAAACCTATGGCAAAGCTATTACTCAAGCTGTCATGCGATCATCTTCGTCGTCGACAGCACCGACGTCGGTCAAGACCCAGATATCACCCGGCTCCCTTCGAACCGACAATCCAGCTCTGCATCGGGCCCTTCGGGGGGCAACTCCGATACGTTCACCGAACAGACAGTCGGCATAAATGCACCTGGGAGTGACTTTGGGCGGCTCGACGAGTGTCGCGAAGTGTTAGAATCCGTCTTAAAGAACTCAGATGTTGCGGGTGTACCGATCCTGGTCCTAGCAAACAAACAAGATCGAGAGGATTCGGTAGAAGTGGTTCGCATCAAGGAAGGGTTTGTGCGCAAGGTCTTCGAGGGAGAATCTGGAGGCGCCATGCGCGACAGTCGCGTCTTACCAGTCAGTGCGCTTCTGGGCTCGGGAGTCCAGGAAGCTGTGGAGTGGGTTCAAACCCGAGTCAAATGGAATAAGGAGGGAAGGCCGCCGGTTATGAGGTGATACGCCTCGCCAATGATGGGGAGTTCTACGTAAGACCGGGTTTGAGATTGTCCCTCGTACCTGGATGAATTCGTGAGACGGCCAGGAACAGGTGCCTCTAGATTTCGCTTGGTGCCCTTTGATATTAGATCTGATTGGATTGGGGGCTTGTTAATGGCGCAGGGAGGAATTGTTCACATGCAAAGATACCTTGGTTTAATTGTTTATTTATTTTACCTTCATGTTATAGATATGCTGTATGGAATGTACTTTTCAACGATATACCATGTTCCATTAAACCGATCATCTCTACCACGGGGCACCTGCACAAGCTACTGTCTCGGCCCAGTTTTGAAACATTTGATGAAGTCATTGGCCTAGTTATCAATGTCCGTCTAGACGTTCTAAATAATTACCTTTAATTCGGCACCATTATAGCTTTGCTGTGGTCGCGCGATCATCTCCACAGCTGAGCCCACCGTGTTAAACATAGCAACGTCATGTTTTGAAAACATACAGGGAAACAGGCAAGGCTGCCAGTATTTTTTGACGCCTCAGACCCGTTGGTGACAGAAAACAATCATGGATGTCGAATGGTGGTGAGTTAAGTATGAAGTCAACCTCCATCAGCCTTGACGTCATAGGGTTGTTGGCATGCAACGGCTAAGTTGTGTCTACCCATCTGAAGGGTTATAAAGAAGAGCGTATCGGCTGTAAAAGGTTTCCTCCTATAGCAGATCAAACAATCACTGCAAAATCTTTGCGTGTGTCCATTATCACGACTCCAATTATCCTATCACGCGATCTTCCAAGACCACATCCAGAAACCTTCATCATGAGCACTCTTGACAAGATCCACTCCGATAACAACCCTAAGCAGGGTTTCCGTCCTAGCGCCGGCAACTCCGAGCCTCTCACAGACAAGGGCGTATGTGCATCTTGAGTTCGATATCTTTAAAGGCCATTGGCTAACCCTTCAAAACAGCATCAACCCGGCCGCAAGGTCTCTCCCAAAGACTATGCCCCTGAATTCCACGCAGAGACATATCCTCCTGGAACTGCTCCCGCTAGCAACTCTTACACTCCCAACACCCAATCGGAGGTGGGCAGCCAGGCTCAGAACCCCAATGTTGAGCGATCTCACGGAAAGGAGTCCGTTAAAACGACTGCCGACCAGAGTTTGCAGGGTGCTACCTCTAAGGATGTGCACACCGGCCTAGGCCAGCCTGGAGGAGGCCAGACGAGCGCAGAGCTTCGCCATGATGGACAACAGCACCGGAAGAACCCTGGTGGTGGCCTTGAGGGTGTTGGAGCAAGCAAGGAGCCTCGCACCGAACGCCAGATCCCCGGCCTGCGCGGCCTTGAGCGTGATGAAGCGCAGAGAGGCCAGCGTGGGGACAAGGGTGCGTTGGCTGCTGAAGACAGGCAGCCCGAGTCTGCGGAGACGCTGGACGCGGAATGGAAGTATGAGCCTCAGACCCAGAGACAGAGATTCCAGTCTTAGGAACGACTACTTGATATAATGTCTTATATTATGTACTATAAGTTATGATGAGCACGGGTATCACGGTGTGAATTTGAGCAAGTCAAAAACATTAGAAATCATCTCATGTCGCGCAACGGAGTCGTAATAGAAGTTTTATTGCTTGGGTCAGGTCGTCGAGCTAATGCGACGTGGGCCACTTCGGGTTGAGTCAGTTATTTCCTTCTGTTTCAGCTTCTTTGGCCAGCTGCGAGCAATATCGATATTCGCGCGAGGGAACCACATCTCCAAAAAGACGTAGATTAAGACGTCAATGACCACGCAAAGGCAAAACAGCTTGCCTGCCCACACCCCGCAGCCATAGTAGCGTTTTAGCCGGTCAATAAGGGCAAAGCTCCGTACCCTATCACCACTCGCCTCCCAACCTTGACCGGGATAATAACCGTAGAACTCTTCAGGGCTTATGTCGCCCTGAATACCCTTGTAAACACGTTCTGTGCGCTGTGCCACATCGGTCCAGGAGTACATCATCTTCACCTGATCGTGAAATCGATCAGTCCTCACTTTGTTGGAGCGCAATGCGGCTATGGCTTTGCTAGTAGCCATAACAAGGTCATCTTCTTCCGGCTTGGCGAAAGTGGTCATATGCTGAGGGAGCACTTCTGGAATGCCACCAACCCGTGTACACACCACATAGAGGCCACAGCTAGCGGCTTCTACGAGGACTGTTCCGAAGGCTTCTGTTAAACTTGGGTGTAGATAGATGTGACCTCGGACCATGACATCTCGAACTTCTTCGTGACGAACGGGACCGAGCATCTCTACTTTATCTTGAAGTACGTTGCGTTCTAACATTTGCTCTAGATCGATGGCCTTGGGCCCAGACCCGGCGATGATGAATCGCACATTTGGATGGGACGAAAGAATTCTCGGAATCGTAGCGATCAACAGATCAGTTCCCTTGTTATAGAACAGGCGCGAGATCACGACGATAGTGATAATATCATTTGGCCCAATTTGTCTCGGCGGCTCTCCTTGCTCGAGAGGTCGGAAGTTTTCCGCGACAACCGCATTAGGGATTACGGAGACCATTAACGGGTCCAAGGATGCCCGAAGAACCGTATTCTCTTTACTATGCCGCGAAGTCAGCAGATGGTTCTCCGAATCCTGTTCCTGTGCCATTGGCATCAACTAGGATGACCGCCGGGTTGCGTGTCAACTCTAGTCCCCCCAACCGCTTGTTCTTACCATGTATGGCTGACACAGATGACATGGTCCACATCACTCAGCGTAAATTTAAGGAGTTTATTGGTAAGAATTGAGCCGGCATCAGCGAAGCCAAATAGCGAATGGTCGGTAAAGACTGTCCGTAGACCCATCGTCCGGGCATGCAGGATCGCTTCATGGCAGAAACTGCTCAAGCTTGCGTGTCCATGAACAATCTGAATCTGCTCGCGGATGACAATGTTGCGAAATATTGGAAAGAATGAAAAGACAGTGGGCATAGTGGACTCGCGGTATATGACGAGAAAAGGGACATGATACACTTTGAGGCCATTTGTAAGATATCGAACTCCCGTGCGACCCTTGTACGCATGGGTAATAATAATTACTTTATGACCACGGTCGATGAGCTTCTGAGGACCGATGAGCATCCATCCGGGCAAAGACACTAGGATATCTTACGGTCGATAGCTGGTAAATGTGACTTTCAATCCCACCTGGTTGTGGGAAGAAAAAGTCACTGACCATACTGTGCAGAAAGCTGTTAGATAAAGAAACACCTGGCGCAGACGACGCGACGCGACTCACGCAATGTTGTAAGGCATGTTGGCTCTTGTTCTAGCTTAGAAGCCCAGAAACTATCAATGGATCATAGTGCGCCGGTCTGTCCATGTCCGGAGTCTATTCGTCCCAGAGTAGCATGAGAATATATCCAGGGGTATAACCGTCATCTCTTGAGCATGTGGTTGATTGCGCCGGAGCGGATCGACCAATGTTATTTCCCGAATGGTCCACATCCTGGCGGCACCATGGGCGGTGTGGCTATTCTGCCGACGGAATAATCCCCGCTAGAAAGAAATATTTCGGAGAATCTCTTTCGTAAGACCGAAAAGAACTGTCGATCGACACCATTTTGCGCCGGTGGTGCGCTGACACGCTTGACAATGGCTGGTGACCACTCTGCGCATAATGTCTCTTCGAAGAAAAGTTCATCGACTCCCGTGAGTGCGAAAAAATCCCACAAGAGGAAGAGAGACCTGGATGGCTCCGTCGTCACTACCTCGACCCCGACCTCGACCAAGAAGCCGAAGAAAACTCAGAGCCCTTCGCCCACTCCCACGTCACTTAAAGAGAGTCGGAAAAAGAAGAGAAAATCCGAGTCTGCTGCCAGTGGTGCTGTTCAAGAAGAATCGTCCCAGGAAGAGAGTGCTGTCTCGCCGGTCGGCCGCAAAAAGGCTTCGTCAAGTAAACATGACGGCAAGGATAAAACAAAGAAGAAATCAAAGAAGGTTAAACGAGAAAGCTTACGAGGCAACAATGATTCATCTGAGGAATCTGCGGATATAGAAGAACCCAACAGCGATGAGGAACGCAACGTGAAAAAACACGCGAAATCGAAGGATATAGATGCCATGTCAGAGGAGGAAGATAGCGCAAAGCCGCAGACGAGCAAATTCTCTGGAATCTTGTCTAAATTTGCAAAGGCAATTAAAGCGACGGAATCGGCCAAGGCTAAATCTGGCGAAGAGGATGTCGAGAATGAGTCTACCGGACCTATAACCGCAGAACCTGTTATAGCCCAGGGCCTGGAGCCGTTGCCTCAGCCAGAAGCGGCCCCCGAGCAGGATGAGAAGCCAAGCTACTCCTCCCTTCCGTCGTGGCTGGCCAATCCCTTAAGGACTTCCGCTGAAGACAGAACCCCTTTTTCGAGCCTCGGGATCGAGGAGAATGTCTTACGCATTCTCGAAAGCAATGGGTACAAGGAAGCGTTTGCCGTGCAGTCTACTGTGATCCCGCTACTCTTGCAGGGATCTAAGCATCACCCAGGAGATATATGTATTTCTGCGGCTACTGGTTCTGGAAAGACATTGTCATACGTCCTACCCTTGGTTACAGCTCTAGAGCAAGTCCCTGCTCCTAGGCTAAGAGGCCTCATCGTCGTGCCTACAAGAGAACTAGTCAAACAAGCTCGGGAGGCCTGCGAGCTTTGCGCTGCTGGGTCCGGACTCCGTGTCGCCTCCGCTGTGGGAAATGTGGCCATCAAAGAAGAACAGCGTTCATTGATGCGCGTTGATGAAGTCTATGGCCCAGAGAACTTCAAACTGCGACAACAAGATAAGTTAACGGATAGTGATTGGTTGAATTTCAGCCTACAGGACTATATCTCAGATGCAGGGGATCAAAGTGAATCGTTGCCGGGCTATATTCGTAAGGCCGAGCCCAATGTTGATATTCTGATTTGTACCCCAGGTCGTCTCGTCGACCACATCCGGTATACCAAAGGCTTCACCCTGAAGCACCTTGAGTGGCTCGTCATTGATGAAGCGGATCGGCTGCTCAACGAAAGCTTCCAGGAATGGGTTGATGTTGTAATAAATTCTTTAGACGCAAGAAAGGGCGCGGAAACCTTTGGCTTTAGCGGAAAGTTCCTCGCCAATCTTGGGCTTCCTGTACAAACCAAGGACCCGAGAAAGGTTATCCTCAGTGCCACCATGACCAAGGATATCTCGAAGCTGAACTCTCTACGGCTTTCCAATCCTAAGCTTGTTATTGTTGGTTCATCTGAACAAGCCACATCTCAGGAGGATGAAAGTGGTATTCATGATCGCATTGGCGATCAGTACACTCTGCCGCCTAGACTGAAGGAGTACTCTCTCTCGGTTGGAGACGGATCACAGAAGCCACTTTATCTCCTGCGTCTGCTTCTGTCACACATAAAGGTGGATGTCAATAAGAACACAAAGCGTGCTTTGACAAACACGTCCGAATCAGATGATTCTAGTTCGGAGGATTCGACTTCTGAAGAATCTAGCTCTGAAGACTCGGACTCGGACTCGACTTCTGATTCAGAAAGCTCTGATTCTGACACCGACTCTGAGACTTCCAGCTCTGATGATTCGAGCTCGGAGGATTCGGAGTCTGACGCTTCAAGTGATGACAGCTCATCATCGAGTGATAGTTCCGATTCCGATGATAGTTCAGCATCGGAAGGTGAACCATCGGTGGACGTCAAAGCAGATAAGAGTCGCCCGCGAGCCTCTGTTTTGATCTTTACCAAGTCATCCGAATCCGCCTCGCGACTTTCGCGCTTGCTTGCCTTGCTTGATCCATCCTTGGCTAGGGAGATTGGAACGATCATCAAGTCGAATAAGTCATCCGCCTCCCGGAAAACGCTCACTGCTTACCGACAAGGGAAGATCTCGATCATCATTGCCACCGATCGGGCGTCTCGTGGTCTTGACTTGCAATCCTTGACTCATGTGGTCAACTATGATGTCCCCACAAGCATCACTACCTACGTGCACCGTGTCGGTCGTACCGCAAGAGCTAACAGGGAGGGTTCTGCCTGGACCCTTGTTGCTCATCGGGAAGGCCGGTGGTTCACGAAGGAAATCATCCAAACGTCTGACAATAGAATTACCAGGTCTACTAAAGTACAAAAGGTGCCCATGAAGCTTGACAATATGAAGGATGTCAAATCGAGGTACAGGCAAGCGCTGGATGCACTCGAGCAGGAGGTGAAGACAGGGGGAACGGGGAAGGCTTCAAGGACCGAAAAGTGAAACATCGCGCTGTAAAGTGCCATTAGTAAATACGATATCATATGCGCATACCCCTTTTGACTCCAGACATTCTTATCTCCTACGTGATAACAACGTCGACTATTGGAGTAAATTTCGATCTAAGTGTATAAAATCCCGTGCGTAGCGGACTCTCACAGACCAATATAACTATTATATGGATACAGCTACTTTAATGAAGTACTCCATCGGCTCCTTCTGTAGCATACCTACTAGTCGTAGCCCTAGATGGGTCTACAGTACTCCGCGCCCTACTCCGCGCGCCTTAGTACTCTGAGTCTCTGACCGGAAATTCGGGCCTCACTACCGATCCTTCACTTGTGATCGTAGTCTAGGGCCCACTTCTGTGTTGGTATGCGAACGACAAAGGCTTTCCCTGCAAATTATACCCCGTAATTCTCCGCTTTTCCCCACTGGAGTTAAATGTTAGCCAGTTTTCATGCTTAACGTGAGCGTACACCGTCGAAGCTAGGGCAAGTCTTTAACGGGGAGAACTCAAGGCTGACTGCTTGGCACTAGGGCTGGACAACATCGTCGTCGGGTAAAGTTCGGTAAAACTGACTCGGCTGTCTGATGAACCATGAATCATGACATCGGCTCGGTGTTTGTCCCCGCAAGTTACCCCGGGGAGGACAAAACGTGGAGAAGGCTAGTGGTACTAGTGGAATGAATTTTGACCGAATAGAGACCGTTTCAAGTATAGCATCTGGTGCCTCGAGTTGCTGTTTTGGCAAGTGTGAACTGTTCTGTTTGATAGAAGTATTGAGCAGCTACCTGCTGCATTTTCCGGACGTGACTTTTGACACTTTCTACTACTGTATGATACATTGTGCGTATGTTCCATTTCATTATGGCTGAGCCTACGAAACTTCGATTGTGCGAAAGTCGACCCCGAGTGTTCATCATCTCCGATATCTCGAACGAGCCCGACGACGATGAGTCTCTGGTCAGATATCTTCTCTATAGCAATGAATTTGACACCAGAGGAATAGTGGCGTGTACGTCATGCTGGCTGAGACAGAAGGTTTCCCCGGAGAGCATGGAGAAGATCGTACGGGCCTATGCCAAGGTAGTCGACAATCTCAACGCCCATGTTCATCCCAGCAACCCGTATCCCAGCCCCGAATATCTGCTTTCTATCATTAAGAGCGGTCCTCCACTTTACGGCCGTGCTGCCCTTGCACCCGACGTACCGCTCAGCTCCGGCGCGGAGCTTCTAGTGGAACAGCTCAAGGCTTCAGAGGAACCTCTCTGGGTGATTTCTTGGGGAGGCGCGAATGTCCTCGCGCAGGCGCTTCAGCATATACACCAAACGTGTTCCATGACCGAGAGTGCCCTGCTACGGTCGAGGTTGAGAGTATACACCATATCCGACCAAGATGACACAGGGATGTGGATTCGAGTCACATACCCGGACATCTTCTACATCTGCTCAGTACACGCGTGGAAGGAGTACGCCATGGCGGCGTGGATTGGCATATCCGGGGATGCACTTGTGCCATTCGATGAGGGGGGACCGGACGTCACGAAGGTGACGAAAGAGTGGCTTCGAGACCATATCCAGATCGGGCCCTTAGGGGAAGCGTACCCAACGTACTCTTTTATTATGGAGGGCGATACACCGACATTCTTATATCTCATTCAGAACGGGCTCGGTTCCCCAGAATATCCGGAATGGGGAAGCTGGGGTGGCCGTTACGCTCTCGGCGACATTGGAGGCGCCTCCAAGCATTACGCTGATGCCCGCGACACCGTGGTCGGCAAGGATGGAAAATCCCATACCAGCAACCAGGCGACTATCTGGCGCTGGAGGGATCATTTCCAAGATGACTTTGCGGCGCGTATGCAGTGGAGTTTGGGAAGCGATATATCAAAAGCCAATCACGCCCCTATTGCCATCGTGAATGAAAGCACTGCGGGGCCCGAGCCATTGCTTTTAGAGTCTGTTGCCGGCTCCGAAGTGCTTCTCGATGCATCGCAGAGTTACGATCCAGATGGTGATGAGCTGACATTCACCTGGTTCTTTTACAAAGAGGTGACGTCGGCACAACAAGATATCCAGTGGATAGTTCCAGACCTGCAATGGGATGTCCTTGAGGATGCTCAGAAGCCTAAAGGGAGTGTCATTCGCGTGAAGATTCCTTCACCGGCGGAGTGTGCGGTTGATCTCGTCCATGGCAAAGCCCTGGAGAAGGGCCAAGCTTTCCATCTGATTCTACAGCTGGAAGATAATGGAGTCCCCAGAATGACTACTTATAAGAGGGTCATACTGCAAACGACGAACCCTCAGCTGCTTGGCGGAACTGGGAAGGCCTTTTCCACATTCACTGAGGTTGTGGAGTCTCGTGGAGAGATATAACTTCGTGGATAAATCGATTACGGACAAGAGACTGCAAGTCAACGAATAGTAGTCTCGCTAGTTCCTTTGACGAATATGGGCTTCTCGACGATGTTGACTAATTATAATAGATATTTGTTACTTAGACATCAGCTATAGACTATGGATCAATTACACCGCTGTTTCTGCCACTCAAGGGCGATAATTCCCTCATAATGACACGTAGAGGTATGTCTATCACATCTAGAAAGCACATTGCGCATGAAAGACGACGTTGTTTCCATCTTTCTGGGTCCAAACAGCAACCTCGACAGTCAATGAACTCATTGTCCGACAACAGATCTCCAATACTCTAAAGGCTGTCGTAAACCTCGTTCACTAAACCAAAACCAGCGTGGCGAATCGCTTCGCAGAACCACACTCTCTTCTAGATCTCCTTTTTGAGCTTGGTGGCTTAAGGTAGTGGGTCCCTTTCCAACTGAAAGCTTTGAAACGACCCATCGATTCTAGAGACGGCAGTTGTAAGCGTCCGCCTCCCCCAGATTCTCCCCGGGAAATCTCCATAGTCTCACTGTTTTGATATAATACGGGTTGGCCTCTAGTGTTTACAGGGATTATCCTCAATCATCTCTGCTTGTCATCTTTTCAATTGCATAACCACCACCATGTCGGAGAAGGTTGAGGTCGAGAAGGACATTGTCAACCATATCGAAAGTATCCCGGGGAACAATGCAGCCTCCTCGACCAATGAGAATGACACTTGGAAGGAACTATGGCAGAACAGGAGGGTGTTGCTGTGGTGTATGTTTGAACCTCTTTGGCTCTATCCGAGTAGACCCGTCTAGGATGAGATCGAAGAGTCCCTAATATAGTATACAGGCCTTCTCATCTTCCTGCTTCCAGTCAACTTCGGTTACGAAAATGCCATGATCGGAAACCTGTTCGCTTCTAGTGCCTTTCAGCTAAGATTCGGTGTGGAGGTCAATGGCAGTTGGGCTGTTGCAGCTCGGGATCAACAGATCCTTAACGCAGCTCCCACAATCGGTCTCTTTGCTTCGGCGCTGGCCACCGGTTTCCTTTCAGACTTCCTTGGTAGAAAGAAAGTGGTCATCTTGGCCTGTATAATTTGCATCGGTGGTGTCATTCTCCAATACTTCAGTGAGACAGTGATGATGCTTTTCGGTGGGAAACTAGTTGCATGCTTTGGATTTGGTCTGGGACATTCTCTTGGCCCCGTCTGGGTGGCGGAATTGGCGCCCAACTCGATCCGTGGTATCTGTCTTGCTCTGATTGTTCGTACCCATTGATGCTGAATATCCGGTTAGTCGCTAACTTGTGTTAGAACACCATGATCGTGATAGGACAATGGTTGTCCTCTCTTTGCATCTACGCCACCTCATTCAGAGATAACGATTTAGCCTGGCGGATTCCCCTGATCACCCAAATCATCATGCCAGGTCTCCTATTAATCATCGGTCTCCCTCTGCTCCCCGAGTCACCAACATGGCTCTTAATGCGTGGCCGAGATGAAGAAGCCCACAAGGCTCTCAAAAGGTTCAACGGCCCGAGGTTCGACGCCGACAGCGCACTGCAGATTATGCGCAACGCTTTGGAGATGGAGAAGAGTGCAACCGAAGCGCAAAGCTCCGCCAGCTACCTAGACTGCTTCCGGGGGCCCAACCTTCGCCGAACAACTATCATCTGCATGGTATACCTTGCGCAGCAGTTCCTCGGTGTCAACTTTGTCTCTGGCTATCTGACCTACTACTTCGACCTCGCTGGAGTGGGCAACGCTCTGGCTGTCGCTCAAGGCGCCTACGCTATCCAACTTTTTGGTAACATGTGCTCATGGCCCTTGATTGAGCGAATTGGAAGACGTTCCATGCTTGTCTACGGCTCCATAATCATGACCGTTGGTCTCTTGATCATTGGCTGCATCAATATCAAGATCACCGAGGCCTCGCTCAAGGCTACAGTTGCTCTGATGTGTCTCTGGGGATGGTTGGTAAGTTAATCACTCACTCACTGCTAAATGTCCACCTCCAAAATACATAAAAAATAAGATCTGAGAATCAATATAGTACCAAGGGTCCCTCGGAGCCGTCGCCTACGCCGTCGGTGGTGAAACTCCCACGCCCCGTTTACGGCAAAAGACCTACGCTATCAATATTATGAGCGCAACCGCCGTTTCCTGTATGGTGAACCAGGTCCTCCCGTACCTGATTAATCCCGATAAAGCCAACCTGGGTGGCAAGATTGGGTTCATCTTCTTTGGCCCTTCTGTTCTGGTTTGCATTTATCTTTTCTTCTGTGTGCCTGAAATGCAAGGCCGTACTCCTGAGGAGCTGGAGGAGATGTTTACTGTTGGGGTCCCGGCAAGGAAGTTCCAGACTTATATATGTCAGGGTCAGAGGGTGGAGGAGACAAAGGCGGAATTAGCATAGAGATGAATGATGGTCATTTTTTGGTGTTGCCGCTGCTGTGTATAGTACCAATATACCCCGTGTATATGTTAAGATTTTGACAAGAAGACAATCAATTTGCCAGTTAAGGTTTCATTAACTAGCTGGAGTCAAACTACTGAACACCTATGTAGTGATATGAATTGAACAGTTGTTCCCAGTGTAGACTCCATCAACACAGGTAGAGTGTTAGGATTGAAATCGGTGAGAGAATGACTGGTATCTATGAATCCGTTGTTGTTTTACTACGCAGCGTCCTGAGAGGCCGACAACATCAGTAAATTAGACCTGTAGACTTCGTGTCTAAATCTGGATTGGCCATATTCCTCGGCGTCTCGGTATAATCCTTACCAAGCAGGATCTTGCGCGTCTTTAAGAGTGTTGGATGGAACGTGTTACACAATAATAGAGCACTATTGTACCGGAAGGTTCCTTGTTATATTGCATAAAGGATGAGACGTGATATACATCAGTCTAGCTATACATAGACCTAAACGCAGGGAAGGCCCAGCTTCAACCATTTCTTTCTCCCAGAGCCCATGGCATAAGAGGGCTACCAGTCGACTCTTTCTCTCCGACAGGGCCAGCAAGATAAATGGTGAGATCATTATCTTCCTTTTCTCTTATAGACGAAGAGTCAGCGTCCAAAGGGCCCTGGGCATTCTGCCTCCCAAGAAGAAACTGTGAACCCGCAAAGAACTTACGCCCACGAGACGTATCATTTGGATCTTCCCCTAATTGGCACCAGTCCAAGATATTTGAGTCTGCCAGCAGACTCGCGACCGCTGCAATGCTGGATGAACTTTTGGGTAGAATATGGTCCGTATTGACGAGGACAGAGCCTAAAATTCCCAAAATAAGTATAGATGCAAGTAGAGCATCTAGGATTCTTGTCGAGGTGGCGTCTTGCATCAGTCGGAGACGGTTGTTTGTAAGTGTGATATTTCCCGGAAATGAGACACCCAGAGAATCATTCAACAGACGAGCCATTCTATTGGGCTCTTGCGCCTTCATGATACTGTCTTGGAATTTGATAGCTTTGATAACATTCTCAACCTTGTCTATATCGCCCAGATATTCCCGGGGGATAGCCCACCTCCTGACACTAGTGTTTGAAAGAAAGAATCCAGATTATCTGCTGTTGAAGAGGTACCACTCAACGGTGAGTACGGTATGTACTGGCTTTTTACTTTGCTGGCCGAAGACACGTCCGGCACTGGGGGATGTTCGCCGGAGATATCAAAATCTGGAAGCTGAAAGCGAGTCCAGGTATTGACCATCTCAGCTGTCGGGGCGCATGTCATGGCCACTACGTTCGTGACTGAGCCGTTTCTAACCTCGCCCCAGAAGTAACTCACTGGCAGATTGGCACCGCTCCTATTGGCGTTATAACACGGACTTAAGATGGCTAGTCCATAGTATCCTTCAGTTTCGAGTTGGAGCAGATCACGGCTATCCTGGAGCCATCCTTGACCATTGCTCCACGGTGCGCAACCTATGCGAGGGGGGTCAATGTAGAGTACTTGAGATGTCTTGGGATTAACGGCGGTTTGTTCATCCGTAGCTTGTTGGAGGGTGTAGTTGACCTCAGAGCCTTTTTGTACAAGGCAAGTTGGTGCTGTTCTCAGGGCAGGGACCCAGAGATCCACGAAATAGTTTTCGGGGAGATTTGCTTTTATGGAAGAATTGATTGAGAGCTTAGTAAATACAAGAGTCTCGTAGGTCCAAAGAGGAAATGAAGTTCGGTTCCCCTGGATGATATATTGGGCAGTGATAACGTTAGAAGCATCTAGGTCGGGACTAACACTGGCCTTCCATATTGCAAAGCGGTCGAAGGTGTCTTCCCTCGCGAAGTTCGTTATAATAAATTGCGACACGTCTACCACAGAGAACAAACCGCTTGTTACAATCGATAAGAACGAGGTGATGAAGGCAGCCAGCGTCACAGCCAGGACAGCAAAGTGCCTGGTGTGGATGGAACTGAAGATAGTTGTCAGGCTTAAAGAATCTTGGAAGTTTACTGTCATACATTCTTGGAATACTGCACCAGAGGGCCGTTTCAGGGCTAATAGTAACAGCTGTGGCAGCTGAGTCCTCATTGCTCATGCAGGACAGAATCTCACAGGTTGAAAAGTATAGAGAATATTAATATGCTTAACCCAGTGAACTTTACAGGGGGCAGCTGTTGTAACATCAGAATGTGCTGGAGTTCATAAAATGAATTTGAGCAATAGTGTATCAGCTGCGAATCCAAGGGCTCATTCCGTTAGATACTATGGTAGGGCAGGAGTACTATGAGTGTGTCAAAGACCACTCTCAGACATGTTTATTGAATCGGTGGACGAGTGCGAAAACGAACTATATGCCAACATGTGGCCATACCAGTGATTAGGCTTTATATACTCTATTACCCTTATATCTGACTGGTGTTTGCTCAAGAAACCTTAGTTAACTTTCCATAGTTGCTTCCTTAGTTAAGCGGCCTGCCAAGCAGACTATACTTTTAAAGCATAACTTAATCGAGCCAAGCCTATGCATTTATTTGAATCATCAACCTTCTAGATTTATATCGCTACATGGCTTATGCTGAGGAAAGTCTAGATCAAGGAAATGGGATACCGGATTAAAATCATTTGTACATTAGGCGACTACTAGTCTTAAGCACAATAAAAGTTGACATAGCAGTCAGGCGTTCCGTCGCTGTCAATGTCGCATGAGTCGATCATTGGGAAGAAGTCGCTATTAGGACAAAGCGAGATGCAGCTTTTAGCACTTCCGCAAGGAGAATCGTCTATATTTCGGGGAGTCAGCAGCTGATTCTTGTTATAGAAGTTTTATCGGTGTAGTTGGCAACTTGCATTGTGCTGAAACAAGAGCGGTTAGGCCGATGAGAACAAGAGAACACCGAAGAAACATTTTTGGCTGTCGAAGGTTTAGTGGTGAGCATAGCGCCAGTGTTATACCAGGGAAGCTTACATATTAGGCTACTGAGTAAAGCTTCGAAGAAGGTACAGAGGTCGCTATTGAGATGCTTAGAACCCGTAAAGGGAGCGAAAATCGTACTTATATGGGCCAGATCTACAGCTATCGCGGTCTACAAGAGCGCATATATAACACAGTCTGCCAATAGCATGACCCTATGATGAGCAGACACAGGAACCTCTCAAGCGGGCCGGTTCTAGCTCAAGTACAACATTCCGGCGCAACGTTATGACGTCCCGGAGGGTCGGGCTCCAGAACCACGGTTGAATGGAAGACTATTTGATCTTGCCGTGGCGATAAGACTTTGGCAAACCCCCAGATAGGCGAATGGAGTTACGGTCGCCTTGTGGAAGATTTGGCGGTTATCCCATGTAGTCCTAGAGGTAACTTTATTACACTCTATGGTTTCCGCATGCATCCAATGATTTGTTAATGATGCAGTAATATTGGCTCTGTGTAATTGATGTCTTCTAGATTCTATCCGGTAACTCACTGTTCACTTGAACTTTGGTACATGAATTCAACGCTATCGTCAAAAGCAAGACATGAACGAACGTCACCGAGGATACTGATGTATCCTGTTCATGCGTTCCACTGATCTAAGTACTTATCATGACCATGTTTTACTTCGCTGAGTTGTCGAAGCTTGCCGAATATTATGGTTATAGGCTCTGTTAGCCGCTCCAGGGGGTCAAATTAATTAATGAATTCAATCCCATTTTGTAGCGTAACTATGAAAGCATCCTTGGATTTCATTTTCATTGACCCTTTATTATTATAATGGGCGGTGCACCCGTTGTCGTTTTGTCAGGCACTTTTAGGGTAAGTGGTTCTTCTACTCCGTAAACTGTGAGCAATATGCTTGTTATCAATTGTACTTCTCTCAAATAATGCACACAATATACCAGAAAGACCCGAGTGCTGAAAAGTAATATATTGAATAAGATATTATCTAAAATCAAAATTTTCTGAAGGGAGACTCCATAGTACAAATATGATGATAATTCTGCTGCATACGGTTTGGAAGATACATGACGTTCACACAATTATGTATGACGTTTATAATTGTTGCGGACTTTTCTTTTCCACACACATATCGTCCTGCTTCTCTGCCTTTGTCCCAGGGTTTCCAAAGCTTATTTAGAGGGGCTTTTAATCATGATCCAGATCTAAACCCACTGCTGTAAGCACTCTTAATGGCTCGGTGCTGGCCTATCGGTCGAGTATGCTGGCGATATGGCCAAGTTTAACCGCGCCGTTGGGCGATTGTCTATAAGAATGAACGTTAGTTCACTTGTAGACCCCATTCAATCGCTAATTTCTTATTTATTTAATACTCTTAATTATAGGGCATACGTCTTTTCACGGCTTACATCGTGCACCACCAGTTTTGTGACGAACTTTCAACTTTTTCTTCCCACTGGTATATCGGTATATTCCACCATATTGCTACTACACTACTGCTTTGTATAAGCTTTGACAGACTTCACATCTCATATATAGATAGACTGTGCATAGATGTTGGATCAGGAACGGTAGAGCTTCATCTACAGAATTTGGTCTGTATAGAATCAGATTGATTTCAATCAATCGGTCGTCCGTTTTATACATAAGCTTCAAAATTATAACAATATAAGCTGACGACGCTATTGCTCTATCCTGTTCCTCTATTGTCCTTCCTTTTTGATCTATTAGTAGAGCAAGCATGGTTCAGGCAAAGTCCTCAGTAGCCATGTATTAATTCGTGGCTTTGTGCTACTAATTTATCTATTCCAAAACTCTACCTGTAAATGTATTTCCTGAAGCCAGTAGTGTCCCCAGTTATATAATCACATAAAATACGGGTTTTTGAGATTCACAATGGCTATCAATCCATACTAAGCAGCAACCTAACTCTACTAGGTGTTCTTTATTCTGGGGTCAGTAGCTTTGACCCAGCCTTTCCTTGTCTGAGCAACCATGCATGATCAGTGGTTGTGGTCTAAGAAGTGGAAAACATCTACAAATATAATAAATAAGAGGAAAGGGAAATATTCAAAATGAGTTCTATAGCAGTTAGTGTCACGGGTAGGATTCCCGGGCCTTGAACCTTGAGCTCTACTATACATACCGTGCGTGGGGAGGGCCTGACAGTGTGGGTCTTATTGACCTACGTAGTTGCTAGAATGACCACCCAGAGCTCAATCTATTACAGTTAAGGTAGACCATAATATTCTATCTACCCTAACTCTCTTGATATCGGCTCTTAAGCAACTATCCCAAACGTGTAGGGTAATCGGAACGGAACCATGAACCTGGCTCACCCGACATCCGAACACCGAGTGTCCCAGGACCCACTGTCACGAACGCTATATTATTATTAAGCTATGCCGGTTCGGACCTGTGTGCGGATGGCTGGACGACGGAAAGCTTTACGGTGGTCCGAAACAATGTGTGCATACCCCTGACACACGATGATCCTTGAGGGATGCAACGGGATTGAACATAGTTTCGCATGCAGTTTGATTTTAACATGTCGCATTCTACTGCACAACGCCACATTTACCATGACAATGTACTGGTCAACTTTGATTAAACGCTATGAAGCTATTAGAGTCTATGGCTTCAAGGGTAGGCCCGGGATTTGCGCTGTGGAACCTTGACCGCACTGCATATTGCTATAGTTGGTGCCTATAGCTGGATTCTATGTGTACAACAGGACGGTCTGAAAACACGTAGCGCCCTTGTGAGGTAGTAATTTAGATACGTATGATTCGTGGATACTTCAGGGATTAGTGAGCCCTCCTTTGCCATGTACGTTCAAAAGCTCAAGGAAGCGATGCATAAGCCTTCTGAGCTTGGTTTTGGCTCTCGCCTACAGAGCTTCTACGGGTTTCATGAAGTGGGGAATGTCCATCTGCCTGCAGAGGCCTAAAGCGCCGGATGTAGCTCGGGATTCACACATCGGTCCGATGGTCGAGACCCATGGCTGACCTAAAATAAAGTGCCTCCTCAATATGCCGGCCTCATTAATACTAGATGATAGCTGGGACTCCATATATATTAAAGATTATATCTTCCCTCAATTCAATGCATTCAATCCAACACCCATCGGCCTTCCAATACCAGTGGTATCCAAAAGGAACGAATGACCCCACCTCAGGAGAGATTGTTTGTTCGATAACATAGACGTTTTACCGATAACATGTCTACGAGTGATTGCAAGGTTAGTGTCGAGGTTCCCAGTCATCCAGCCAAGATACCTGTGTAGTGCACTTTGGTGGACGTTATTCATTGAATCAACCAGGACGAGACTAGCCCCGTGCCGGAAACCCTACCAATTTACCGCCAGAAAGGACGTGGCCTTGGTGTCGCCTTCAGGAACATAACCGTTCAGGGTCGTTCAGGCAGTCAACGGACAGTTCTCGACCTTCCCCAGATCTTCGTCGAGATTATTAAGGCCCCATATCAGACAGTACGCCATAGGATTGGTAATAAGCCCGTTCCAAAACGCAATCTTATTCAAGATGTCTCCGGCGTTCTGTTTCCCGGGGAAACAATGATTGTCCTCGGACGGCCAGGCTCAGGGTGTACGACACTGTTGAAAGTAATCGCAAACAACCGCGACTCGTTTATGGCTGTCGATGGAGACGTACACTATGCCGGTATCCCAGCTCGGGAAATGACTGGTGCACTAAAGTCTGAGATTGTCTACAGCTCTGAGGAAGACCTGCACTTCCCAACCCTCCCGGTGAAAGATACCTTGGACTTTGCTTTGAAACTGCGACGGCCCAAAAGTTACCCAATGGAAGACGATCAGTTCTCGTCTGACTATACCAAACGATTGTTGGGCTCACTTGGGATGCTCCACACGTCGAATACTATCGTAGGAGACTCGTTCACTCGAGGCGTTTCAGGTGGAGAGCGCCGCCGTGTTTCCTTGGCAGAGTCTATGGCCGTCAATCCCGCTCTGGCATGCTGGGACAACCCGATTCGCGGCCTTGATAGTTCATCAGCGTTGGATTTCCTTGGATTGCTCAAAGAAATGTCCGAGATGACAGGAATGAATAATGTGGTTACTTTATACCAAGCATCAGAAGCCATGTACCAGAACTGTTTTGACAGAGTCATACTTATGTATGATGGTTTGATGATCTTCAGTGGAAAGACTGGAGAGGCAAAGCAGTACTTTCAAGACCTGGGATTCCATTGCCCGGATCGACAAACAACCCCAGACTTTCTAACGTCTATCACTTCCCCCGCCGAACGAACTATTCGAGAGGACTACTCCGGTCCTCTATATCTTGAAGCGAAGCCCCTCGAACAGGCTTTCAGACAAAGTCCGTATTATGCTCGGTTACAAGCGGAACTGACTCAATACCCAAATCAGATACAGTCAAATACAGAAGTCCAACGCCAGTTTCGACAAAGCGCATTGGAGATTCGCTCCAAGATGGCCACAAAGCGCGCTGTAGAGATTTCATCTCTCTGGAAGCAAGTCACAGAGGGGACTCGGAGATACTACAGACTATTCTGGGGTGACCGTAATACCTTTTATACCATCCTGGCTCTATGTATTGTGAACGCTGTCATCACTGGATCGGGATTCTACGCAGCTCCGAAGACTGCTTCAGGATCCTTTGAGAGAAGTGGAGCCCTTTTCTTCGCTCTTGCCTACTTTTGTTTGAACTCTTTGACGGAGGTAGTCAAGACGGTGAATGCACGATCTATTCTACTCAAGCAGCATAACCTGGGCCTAATAAGCCCTACTGCATATGCCATTATCCAGACGGTTGCTGATATCCCTGTCGCTCTTATCCAAACGGCTGTCTTTTCCTGCTGTTATTATTTTATTATTGGATTGAGTGAATCAGCATCTCAGTTCTTTATTTTTCTCTTACTTGTATTTGTGCACTACTGCGCCATTGGAAGTATGTTTCGGATGTTGGGCTCATGGGCCCCCAGCCTGAGTATATCACATCTTTTGGCCGGGTGTGCTCTACCAGTGGCTTGTCTCTACTCCGGATACGCTCCTCCAGTGCCGACAATGCATCGCTGGGGCTCATGGATTCGACGCATCTCACCTACTCCCTATGCCATGGAGGCACTGATGGGAAATGAATTCTATAATATCAATCTCCACTGCACAGACTCTCAATTGATCCCCTCGGGCCCGGGGTATGACGATATCCGCTACCAGGCATGTCCCATGGCAGGCGCACATCAGGGGTCAGCTTTAGTGGACGGTGCAACATACGCACAAGCAATGTATGGATTTTCACGGAAACACCTCTGGAGAAACTTTGGTATTGTTCTGGTGATGTGGTTCCTTTACACAGTCATCGGAGCGGTGGGACTTACCGTCATGACGCGGGATAGCAGCAGCGCTGCAGGCCATGTATACAAGCGGAATGCCCAGAATCCTCGGGATGAACAGTTGACTGTGGATCTGGTGAACGATGTCGAAAAGCAGCCAGTATCACCAACCGCGAGAGTTGATGGCTGGAAGCGGAATGAGGCAAGCACGTCCGAATTAACTATTACTAGTGTCGACGAGGCAGTGCAAGCCGAAAAGAAGGAAGACCTTTCACCTAGCAGCGTCACCTTCACGTTCAACAAACTTAATTATTACGTGAACGTGGGAGGTAAGGAGAAGCAATTGTTGTGCGAGATTTCCGGCTACGTCAAACCTGGACAGCTTACTGCTTTGATGGGTGCGTCGGGTGCTGGAAAGACCACACTGTTGGACAACCTCTCGCGTAGAAAGACCGACGGACGCGTGGAGGGCGAGATTCTGCTGAATGGTGCTCCCCTAAGTACGGCCTTTTCACGGTCTTGTGGTTTCTGCATGCAGCAGGACATTCATGAGCCCACCGCGACAGTCCGAGAGGCATTACAATTCTCGGCCTACCTACGTCAGCCGGCTCATATCTCCAAAGAAGAGAAGATGCAGTATGTTGAGCACGTTATCTCACTCCTCGAGCTTGAGGGTATTGCGGATGCATTGATTGGGACAGTCGGGGATGGTCATTTGAATGTGGAGGAACGGAAACGGGTCACAATTGGCGTTGAACTTGCAGCAAAGCCATCGGCGCTCTTATTCCTTGATGAGGTATGTTCATTGCTAAAACGATTCAGTTATCATGCTCACATATTGCAAAGCCCACATCTGGTCTCGATAGCCAGGCAGCGTATTCAATCGTTTCTTTCCTTCGGAGAATTGCTGCTGAGGGGATCCCAATCGTTTGTACGATCCACCAGCCTTCCGGTGTCCTTTTCGAGATGTTCGATCACGTTATTTTACTCGCTCCAGGTGGGCGGACAGTGTATTTCGGAGAAACAGGCAAGAATGCATCCGCCGTGGCCGCATACTTTGCGAGGCACGGTGCCGTGATGCGCGCAGAGGAGAATCCAGCAGAGTTCATCATTTCCACCATCGCCGCAAAAGGAGACGACAACATGGACTGGCCTGAGATTTGGAACAAGTCCCCTGAGTGCCATGCCTTGCACCAAGCGGTTCAAGTGTTAAATCAAAGTTCTCCCCTTAGTGATAACGCCATGACAGCCGCTAATGAACGACCATACGCATTGAGTCTTCCAGCGCAGATTGTGGCTCTTACCCAGCGCCACTGGATCGCCATCTGGAGGAATGGACAATATAACTTTAGCCGGCTATTCAAATCCATCTTCTTTGAGATGTTTGTCTCGTTCACCTTCTTCCACGTCAACAAGAGCAGTCCTGGATTGAAAAACCACATGCTGGGTATCTTGCTCTCAACCTGGGTTGTTCCTACAATCTCCGCCGATATGCAGGCCATCTGGTACGAGAAATGGTCGATATTCGAGGCGCGGGAACGCAATGGGATCTATGACTACAAGGCCCTCTTGTCGGCGTTGTTCCTCGTAGAGATTCCCTGGCAAATTATCATCTTCACGTTTATCTTCATTGTCTCCCACTGGACCCTTGGATTCGCCAGTACTCCCAGTATCGCTGGGTTTATCTACTTCATGTATCTCCTATTTGCTTTCTTCGGCCTTGGATTTACCTACCTCATGGCTGCTTTATTCCCGAACCCGACCATGGCCGGTTATGCAATGTCACTATTCTGGGTCATTCTTCTCATGTTCTCTGGAGCCGCTAATCCGCGCAGTGGGCTGAACGATTTCTATCGCCCCTGGCTATTCTGGGCTGACCCTATGACCTACTTCTTTGAACCGACTGTATCCACGGTGCTCCATGGGATCCAGGCCCAATGTGCTCCACAGGATATGGCTGTGTTCGATCCTCCTTCGGGCCAAAGCTGTATGGATTATGTAGCAGCATATTTGGATGGAAATCCAGGATACCTGGCTAACCCCAACGCCACACAGAACTGTAACTTCTGCCCGTATTCGACGGGAGATGACTTAGCCAGATCCCTCCATTTCTTCTACGGGAGTCGATGGCGGGACTGGGCCGTGTTTCTCGGATTTGGCTTGACCAATACTTTGCTCACTTTCCTGACAACCTGGATTATTCGCGTCAAGATTCGGCAGTGGGGAAAGTAAAGATCCACCCGGTGGGTGTTCTCGTGTGTCAAAAGGCTTGATCTTGTCGTCCTCAGCTGGCGAGGAAGACAAGATTCTAGATCTGTGCTTTTACTAGTTCTCGCAAGAATTTGAGTATGTACCTATAGAAGAACCAATTAGTTAGACTTGGAGAGATCAGTTACAGACCAAGATCGTCTTTAAATAGTAATTGTGTGGAGTGTTATTGAGCTAATAATTATACGCAACCTTGCTAGTCGTCTGTACAATTGTATGTACAAGTATGTACAGTTACAGTACAAACATGGACAGGCTCAGGCGGTGACGGACTGACGGACTGACTCTAAATTCAGGCTCGGATCCCTCGGAACGGAGCAGTGATCCGAAGCCGTTGTTTCTTCCGGTAGGCATGAGAAGCTTCTCCCCGCAACCTCACCGAGGCCACCTGATTCTCGAAGGTGTTATTGTTAGAATTAATTCGTTGTTGACACTATATTTCGGCAAGGAATGAGTGCCACTTTGATACCTGGCTCGCCCACGCAGCGAAATCTGCCGATATCCCGGATTTCTCGGGCCTGTGAAGCATGTCGTGCTCGGAAAGTCCGCTGTAACGGTGAAAGCCCCTGTGCCAGATGCCGTGGGACTAATCGCCATTGTGAGTACCGCTCGCCAAGGTCAGAGACACGATCGACCCGCAAACCATTGAGAGCCCATAATACGCCCCGTCCAGGACCATCAGGTGTGCTGCCGTCCACAGCCCCGGTCCGCCATGACCCGGTCCACTTCAAGAGACAACGAGAGTTGCGAGCGGGCATCGGAGTATCAAATGTCGACACTGGATCATTTCAATACTACGGTAAGCAAGATCTAGGTGCCCCCTTGCGTTGTTCATTCCGTTCTTCCTCGTTTCTGCTCTCGGTCATCTACATCCATCAATCAACTCACACCAGCCCAGGTCCTTCGTCCCACTTCTGCTTCATTCAACGCATGTACCAACGTATTCAGCAAAAGACTGATACATCCCTTCTGACCCCAACTAATTCTGTTCCCGATGGCGTCAGGAATTGGAACTTGGAGCGATTCATGTTCTCCGTCGGTGTGGACAGCAACCCTTCTCAATGTCCAGCGGAGTCGTACTTCCCCCGAGACTTAGGTGAATCGTTCATCGATTCCTACTTTCGTATCATTCATCCGCAGGCGCCCGTTCTTTTGTATGTGGATGTAGTAAAGTCGTGGAATAATCTCTGGAGCCCACCGTGGGAACGGCGTGATATCAAGGGAGACGAAATACTTTTTATGGTACTCGCTATTGGAGCACGAGTATGCAGCTTTGAGGGGAAACAAAATACTCGCTCATCGGAAGGCTGGGCACATCACTTTGTAGAAAAGGCAAAACGTCTGAATGACGCATTCGAAGATATTAGCATGGCCTCGACGCACTTCATGCTCCTCAAAGTAAGATTCTTTTCCTTCCCATGCCATTCTTGCTGTCCTTGCTTCCTTGGGACACTCTGCTGAACTGTCGTTGGTTCAGGCGATATACGCCTTCCAGGTCATGAGGCCCAACGAAGCGTATCTGTATCTTGGACATGCTGCTCGGATCGCGATGGCTCTTGGTATTAACCGATTGCAAGTCGTTGATGGAGTCAATGCTAAAGCACATCGCCTAAGGCTAACATTTTGGACTATATACGCCTACGAGCGCTCATGTGCTCTATATACCGGGCGTCCATCCGCATTTCGTGACGAGCTTAACGACATACCGTATGTGGAAGACTTTCCGGTGTCAGACACACTCGAAATGCCCCCCGCGAGCGTGACTCACTTGAAGCCGTCTACGGATTGTGGGTTTATTCGAGCGATAGCTAAACTTGCCGCGATCGCGGATCGAATACTCGTTGAAATTTACTCACCCACCCACATTCCCTCCTTTCCCAGTGCCATAAAAATCCACGATGATATAAGGCAGTACGAACTAGACTTAGAGACAATAACTCACGACCTCCCAGCACATTTACATTTTTTTGACGAGGACCTCCCCCTTGGGAACAGTTGGCAAGAGATCCAGAGGATGGCATTAGGAAATCAGTTTTATTTCACGCGCATGCTGATCTATAGACCCGCTTTGGTCTTTGCAACTTTCCTAAACTCGCAACACAAGGTCCAGGGACATGTCACACAGGATCCACAGTTGTGTGGCTCCATTCATGAGGCAATATCCTCGGCCCAGAGTATCGTTCAGCTCAACCACGATGTATATTTCCAACGCTATCCGGAGGCTAGGTTTGACGGTTCCTCGGCCAGCCTTCTAGTCTCTGCGTGCGTGACCCTCCTCTATGATGTGTTTGACCCAATGACGACGTCGGATAACGCAAGAAAGATATTTGCCAGTGTCGAGCGTGCGATCAAATGTCTCGATCAAATCAACCATATCGGTCCGACCAGTGGGAAGGCCCTTAGCCTAGATGTCATGAAAATCGCCAAGGACACCTTGCAGTCGACTCGAGAAGATAGTGCTTTAAGTGACGACCTATTGAGCTCATTCCCATGGCTACAGTACGTTTGTGAACGTTACCTTTCCCCTTCTCCGTCGGCTTGCTGTTGACATGCTTCTCATGATGATACTAAGTAACTTCACAGATATGGCAACTATGCCCCTCGCGAAAACGGTCTTGACTCGGGGCCCATAGCTGACACTCTTCCGCAAGGAGAGGAACCAGCAGTATCGGCGTATATTCCAAATGAGACTCCTGCGATAGCCACTTCGATTGATGCATATAATTCTGCCCAAGTCCCGGCGCCCGAGGTCCATTACATGTCCCATTGGCTGGAAGCTGGCTTTGATCCGGAAGACATCCCCCATTGCTTGTACTAGCATCTTCTTGAGTGTTTGTTGCCCTTCGTGCCCCCTTCACCTTCTGGCGGAGTATCTCTCTGGCCAATTCGGAAGGGATACGTTACCATCAGGACCCTAGAGCAGGGTACAGACATCATCGTCGACCATGCAGACCACCATTTTGAACGTGACTTTCATCAGATGGCACATAGATAACTTGTTTGATATTTTTATCTACGCCGGCGGATGTTGCACGGTCGATAAATAGACTTTATCATAATTCACCCGGCCATCCTCACCCAATTGGATTTAAAATCCTCATATGTTAGGGATATAAATATTACAATATATCGCAGCACACCTTACCACCCGTAAGCTCGATTTATCATACTTTCCAAAGACTTGATACAGGCAGTGGGAACGGGAAGTTCCTCTCCCATTTCCGAGATTCGGGCTCAAACTGTGGGGGAGGTCGTTAGGCTACTTCGGATGTAGGTGTTCGGACCGAGTGTACGTACAAATCCGAGGATTTCTCGATTACAAAATAGTTTGAGGACCTAGGTCGATTCGCTTACTAAATCACTTTAGAAGCTAAATTGATATTTGGTACTCCTCTTACAAATTTGCCCTCATAAATCTTCTCAGAAAAAAGCTTGTCGCCAGTTTACCGAAAGATCTTAATAATAGTACTAGATCTATCCCACCGGTATCCCACCGGTATCCCACCGGCATCCCACCGGCACAGCTACAACACATTAATGGTTTATCAGCCCTTTTAAACCGGGCAAATATAGCATATATATAATTTAGTTGCTCGTGTAGTACTAGAAATATATATCCCAAAACCGAATCATAAAGTTTTCTGGTTAAATTCACACAGCCATCTATCTATACTGCACGCCTTCACCAGATACTTGTCTCTCTCACTCCTCACATCACACCACATACCCATACCCAGAATCCACGCGAAAGATCATTTACTCACTCAAACATGCCCTTCGCCCCAACCACCGACAACCAGGAAATCTACTACGAGATCCAAGGCCAACCCGGGCCAGGACCTACCCTAGTCTTCGTCTCCGGCTACATGGGCATAACCAACATCTGGCAGCCATTAATCTCCAGCCTTCGCTCTCGCCACCAGTGCATCGCCTACGACAGACGAGGATACGGAAGATCCTCCAAGCCCGAATCACCGGACAGCTACACCATTCCCGGACACGCATCTGATCTGCACGCCGTCCTGCAAGCTGCGAATATTATCCAACCCGTCGTCCTCATCACACACTCAATGGGCGGAAACATCGCATCAGCATACTACCTCGCGCACCAAGATACCGTTGCTGGGATCATCTATACGGGGACCTACTATGACGGCAGGACCATCGATGGGAGGTTTCTGACCTATGATGCGATCACGGATGGCGTCGAGAGTCCGTCTCGGTCGATGGAGTTTTATTCCGCCATGGGATTGAGGGAAGATATCGCCCTTGAGGCGGCGAAGTGGGCCCCGCACGGTCGGAGGAATAATGCTAGGTCGTTGCTCCACTTCGACATGCAAGGTAATTATGCTCGCATAGCTGTCCCTACGCTTATTGTTCAGGGGGAATTTGACCTGCTGCCGTTGGAGCAGTGTGTTATGCCCATGGTAAGGGAGTTGCCGTCTTGTCGGTTGGAGGTTTTGGCCGGTGTGTATCATTTTCCGGCGACTGAGGCGCTAGAGAGGGTGGAAGGGTTGGTTGATGGGTTTGTGGGGAGTTTGTGAGTGTGTTTATAAACGGTCAGTGTACGAGAGGTAGACGCTGTGATTCGGTACATACATGGCAGACTCAACCTGCATACTAGACTTATTATTATGGTTAGTGAATTTCAGAGTGCCCAGTGATGTTTCATCCAGACCGCGAATGGACTCGCAGTTCTACCTCCTACAACTGCCCCTTTCCCAATGGTATTTGAGACTTGATTTGTTGGCCCAGCATGTATAGATCATGTAAATTTGGTATTGCTGAAGTACAAAACTCAGCTATTCAATCGACAACTAGTGGCCGATCACTGTGGCACCTTTGATAACGGCCTGGTAAGCTGCAGCACTTCCAAGGATTCCTAGTCCTGTGACAGTGATATCGAACTGTTCTATTTGCTCTTGAATATAAGCAGTGGCTAAAAATGAGCTAAACAGTCCCATGAGAAATGATCCCGAATTAGGACAGTGTTGTCATAATGATACCAGACAGGAGCGGCGTCCGGCCCGCTCACGTGGTCATCTCCAAAGTTGCAAGGATAAGAGGCCCATCTGGGGTCATAATAAGCAGCAAGGTTCCTGGTTATCATCGGTAGAAGGTCGATATCTCACCGGTAAAGAAACCGACAAACCTGGCAGCATCCCTGGGTAGGGCCGCAGGAACCGTGAACCGTGAACCGGTATTCTTGGACCTGATTGATACTAGGTAACTTCCAAGCCAGTTATGAACAACAGCGCAGTGATTGACACCGATCACAGGATCGTTGATCATACTTGATTTCAAGGGGACTGTCACCGGCAGCGGATAACCATATCCGGTTCCCGGGGGATATATAAACGTATCTAGTACAGGAGGAAGATGAAGTGGAGTATCTTATATACGCAAGTTCCTCTATTATCATAGTTTTGCGTATAAATCGCCCGTCTTCTTCTTATAGCCTTGTGTCCAGAAGCTTTGTCTTATACGGGATGGCCTCCGTATTGAAGAACTTCCTGGGTTTCGAAGCAGCCACAAATGACAGCAACGTATCCCCAGTGTCTCCGGCGAAGAGTCCAGTAAGAGCTCTCCCGGCAAGATGGTACACATCACCAGAGCTCTATGAGCTCGAACGACGGGCAATTTTCTCTAAAAAATGGTTACTCACCACGCACATACTACGATTGCCCAATACTGGTAGTTGGTCTCGATACAATAACGCGGGATACCCTTTCATTCTCGTCCGAGGCCAAGGCCAAGACATACATGCATTCCATGATATCTGGTCGGATGCGTTTAGCGACGAAATCGCGCAGACGCTAGTCTCCGCGGGCACCAAAATCAGATCTTTCCACGTCCACCAGGATGCGAATGGCTTTATCTGGATAAACATGGATGCTGGCAAGCAGCCTGAGATTTCGTGGGAGAAAGATTTCAAAGGCATCGACCAGCAGCCTCGATTCAAGGATTTCAACTTTGAAGACTATGCTTTTGACCATGTCTGGGAGATGGATGGCCCGTATAACTGGAAGATTCTTGCGGATAATTATAATGAGTAAAGTTTCCTGATATACTCTTCGGTGTCTTCTCTAATGGCGGGCCCACTACATTGCTAGCACCCAGGCCTGCTTTCAGCCCTCGAGAATATTTTCGAACTAACTGAGTTGGATAGGTGCTATCACTGTCAGACAGCGCATCCGGATGTGCCATCATTGGCCGATCTCGAAGCCTATGCGGTGGACACAGTGGACGGATCTATCATTCACTTTGCCAACGCCAAGCCAGATCAAGTCGAACGGGGCCTCAAAATTGCCAGTACCTACTATTTCCCCAATGCGTCAATGACAGTAGCGTCAGTGCTCATCAAACAACAACTTACTGAGTCATGTTGTTAACCAAGTGATATCCTAATAGGCCGCATTTCTTCTTCATGCAACGATTTGTTCCTACCTCACCCACCAGCTGCGAGATGCGCTACGAAGTGTACCGGAATAAAAGCTCCAGCGAGGAGGATTTCCAATTGATCAATGGGATGTTCAAGCGAATCATGGCGGAAGATAAATATCTCTGTACCGAGGCACAGAAGAACATCGGCGGGGGTGTCTTTGTCAGTGGTCTGCTGCACCCCAGAATGGAGAAAGGACCATTGTACTTCCAAGGCGTTGTGCGTGACCTTTTGTATGAGCATTTTGATCGTGAGAAGGATGGAGGAAAGCAGATTTGGCCAGCTCAACTCGATAACGTCTTACTCTTGAGCTAAGAGGCCATAAGAGCTCTGCCGGCGATTAGCTCAGGCTTCATGTGACCCATGTCTATCGATATCTATTCCTTTTGTTGAGACCTTTTTAACAGAGTAGTATTTTAAATTATAAGCTAGCAATTAGTATTCTGATAGCACTATACTTCAGACTGTTGTCCAAAAAGGATTTTATTGAGTTATACGCATTACAGTAGCAGAAGTTTGGAAGAGTGATCGGTTAGTGCACTTGGGGAGCCTGGGGAGGGGTGTAGCTACTGAGACAATCTAGGTGAATCACGAAATAGACAGACATCCATGGTCTGCTCCTGTTTCCAAACTCGTGAGGAATATATTCTCCAGATAAGGTAGTCTGACCCCGACCGGTCATGTGGTCGGCATTTCCCACCAAATCGGTTAGACCAGCTGGCCCAATGCGATACCAAGTTCAGGAAAGATTGTCATGACAGGGCTTCGCGACCTGCTCTGGGAAGGTCTAGAATCACTAGGGGCGGGGAATCTGCCAGTTTCAACGGCGATCCTATACCTAGGTTTCTGAAAAGTGATGTTGCTTTCCCTCCACAGCAAGAATGGTCAAATGGCGGATGAACAGCTTGAATGGCTAGTTGTACCATCAGACAATTGATGCGTAGGGAAGTCTACCCAATCTCTCGAAGTTGCGATAAGTCTTCTATTGGCTGCCAGGCACATGAATCAGAATCGCTGTGGCATGAATATATAAAAGTATTTTTAAAAATTGCCAAAATCCCACCAGGTAGAAAACCCCTCACCGACTGTAGGGTCTGGCTCGAAGCCGGCCGCAACGCCCATATCGCCAAATTGGGAAAGATGCGCCCATAGCCACGGAGCATTGAACATGAGACTATCCGCCGGTGGAACCAGAATGTCTCGCATAGGAGTGCCGTCACGAGAATCTTGTGTTGATACAGTGATCATATAGGGCGGTAGGCTGGCATTGTGCCCTACGGCAGGGTCAACCATTACTTGTGGCGGCGATGCTGTAACACTGATCTCAAGGGTCTGGCTTTGCTCCGTTTCCTCGCTACATGGGGTCGAAGCAAGGGAAGAGTGTAGTAAGGCGGCCGATTTGGAAGACACACCGTGAGAGGATGGGACATTAAACTGTAGGATACCCCACATCAGAGGGATGCTGAGATAGATTTTGGATGGTGCCCAGTCGTCGTCCAAGCGATCTGACCCAGATGCGATTTGTGTCATTTTGTCCAGTGATTGAAGCTGAGCTATTAGCATAGATATTGGTCTCTTCCAAAGTTAAGAGAAAACATACCAGGGCTTCACAGGCAGGGGAAAACCATGCAAAACTTTTCAAGAACGATTTACATTTCACAAAGTCTGTTTTGGACTTTTGTTTCAGTCGAGGATCGGCCGCGCAGCAAAAGTAGAGATGCACGGTAGCTGCGATTGCGGCCGAATGCCCATAAAAGGGATCAGCAAGCCGGATCTGCTTCTCCAGAATCATGTCAATCATACGAACAATCCACGTGGCATGTAGGAGGACTAGCTCGGAGGACTTCCTCCAGAAGGTGTTTGGAATTGCCAGATTAGGCTGATGCTGTGACGCCACGATGTAGAGAAATGGGTGATTTAACACAATCAAGCTCGCATGCCAGGTGAACTGTAATTTTATCCACGGTATCCAGTAGTCTCTGTTGAGACTGATCTCCTCGGCTCGACGCTCATAAAACTTTGCTGAATCGTATCGATGGCGCCAGGGGACCTGGTTTTCGATTTCTGTCATATCGGCAAGCACTTTGGCATACATTGAGTCGAGACGCCAGGGTTCTGTCATCTTATTATGAAAGCATTCAGAAACATATTCTCTGACTCTACTCCAAACCCATCCAAAATACGCTGCATAACTCCAGATTCCGATATCTGAGCTGGACGACCCAGCATCGCGGGGAAATGCTGAATCCGCACTCGTTGAAACATAGAATGAACGCCAAACCTCAGGCGCTGTGCCAAGAATACCTTCCGATTCACTGAAAAATTGCTCCAATGATTGAAGGCTCCAAAGAAGTCTCTTTTTGCGCTCGGCGGCAGGAGGGCTTTCGGCTACTGATGTCAACCCGCGATCGATCCTGGCAGACCGACAAAGCTGAAAGCCAAGACCAAGGTAGAATTGGCCCAGACACCAATCGCTATCTTTCTCAACATTAGCATCTGGAAATTGACAGGAGCGAGCAGATCCATACCTATAAAAGCTGAGTAAGAAAGTAAACAGAGACATTCAATGGTTTCGAGCTCTACTGTTCCATTTGCAATTCGAAGCATAATAGAGCATCTAGCACTATCGCCATAACCCGACTGGTCACGTTGTCGTGAAAACCGCGACGTAAGTTCCAGGATGCTATAGGCGACCTCTAAAGAAATTTGAGAGTAGTTCTCAATATCTTCGCGATCGAAGCACCATATAGGCTGTCTATGGAAGAGTTCGAAGTAAAGGTCGATCGCTTTGACGATGGTGGATTGAGGAATTTCCAAATTTGCTGGTTGGAATTCGACTGGGGGCACTTCGGTCCTGACATAGCTTGGACCAGGCTGTGATTGGTAACTGTTTGTTTGGTTAGAGTGACGCGTGGTCTCATTAGGCCTGTCATTTAGCGGCGCCTTAGAGGGGGCCTCGGATGGTTTGACGAAGGTTTTCGGCGCATCTTGATCGAGCTGCTGAGGAGAAACTCGCCGCTCGCCGCCATTTAAGATGAGGTCAATCTTTTTTTCCAAGTGTGCCAATCGGTCCTGCTGGCGAGTCAATGAGAAATTCCTTGCAACATGGGGTTTCTCCTTACAGATTGGTGCGCTGACGCTGCTATATAGGTACATGACTGTTTAAGCCGGACACAGTTTGAGCAGGCCGGCTTTTCACCAGGACATCGGGTCTTCTTCCTTCTGTTAGATGTGAGATTCCAACATCGGAGTGAGGAACAAAGGTTGTAGGTAGAAGGGTAAGACTGACCTACAATTGAGACAGGCATGTCGGGTACGCAGCCTCTCGCGATTGGGATCCGCTGGCATGCCGATCACGGATAGGCCAATAGGAGAAAACTGTAATTCCACGTCGCTTTTCCTAACGGAAGTCAAAATAAATGCACCTAGGACCGAGGGATTTGACTTTGAAGACCGCTGCTGTGGGGTGCTAAGTGGCGGGCTCTTCAAGAACGATGGACGTATCACGAAATACGACGTGAAGCTGCGGGAAACAAGGGCTACCAGAAGCTAGAGCCACTCAAGCACTATAGAGATGAAGCCAAAAGTGCACTGTGGGAGGGCATTGGGGCTTTTCCAGACTTCCCGTGCAAGTGCAGGATGTGGAATTGGGGTTGAGAGTGGGGAAATGAGGGGTAAACAAAATCAGTACGTTTTATCTTTGCTTATAAATATAATTTGGTCCCATATCATAACAAACCAGTATCCAAGTTGATAACAACCATGTCCTTGTCACCTTTTAAGGGCTGGGCCATCTGAACACATGAATTCGGCGACAACTTGAGATCCTCCGAAAAAAAGATGCATTCTATCTAGCCTGTTCGATATATATCAATTCTTACTCCTCTATGAGCAATATCTATACTAAGTGCGCGACAGCTTGATATTCTTACTGTACTTCCACAGCACTGTGATCTCTCAACCATGCATACTGGCCGGCTAGTAGCTGGGAATGTACCTATCAACGTATCCCGGCTGTTATATGTTTATTATAATATTCTATCATTGTTAGATACCAAGTTCTGTTAACTTATATGCGAGGTGATACAGTTCACGCTTTGGGGAAGACGGAGACTATGCTGATGATCCCCGCCAACGCCCGACGGTATGTCTTTTCTTTATACCAGGCACACTGGTATCAATTACCAAAGGAATGAAACGAAATGAATGAGTGCAACTTCAATTGAATGCACTTAAAATTGCAGGTCTATAACAGAGAACTCTTCGGAATCGTAATTTAGGGCCAGTCCTAGCGCACAGTAGATGTTAGATAAAAACATCCCATTAGACTACCTAAATGGCCCGGCCACTCAAAGTGTCTTTATAGTGCGATTCCTTGGTTGGTAGTAGGTATACCCCGTACTGGACAAGGTGCACAATGACAGGATTGGGCAAATATCTTCGACAGCTTGGCAGGGCAAACGGCTGGAAGCCCGTAGCTTTGGAGAACGACCTCGACGACCAAATGAGATATAAGTGCCCCAAACAATCAAGGCAGCCGAACAAAGAAGGTAAAGCTTTGATACCATTGCCCTAAATTTTGAATTTACAGATATGAGTCTGTGCCTCTGGGCTTACAAGTAGTCTTTGGGAATTTTTATTTTATTGAGGTGCCCGGCGCTCAGGTCTCGTTTCACCAACCTTACCATGTTAGAATAACATGGGGTCCTTAATATCCTAGCATTTCTACGCACCTGATCCTTGAGGCCTTGACCTAGATTATTTAGCTGCCTTGTTACGATGTCGCCGGGGAAAAGCTACTAGAATATTCTAGCCTTCTAGTTTAACACCGCAGTGGTTGCCCTCCTTTCGTAGGACACCAAAGTTTTGGTAACGTTCGGTGTAGTGTGGGATTGGGCCAATATTATATCTGGAGAATGACTACATAAACGAGTTAGTATTGTCCAGTGAATTTTAGAATAAACTCTAATGTTTTATTAATGAAACCTACTGCCAACTACTATGTTATATCTGAGATGAAGGCTCAGGACAGGGGTTGTCCCCGGGATAAGATATATTAGCCTCATATCCCCTCTTACAAGATAGTCTGAAGCAACGTTTTCCATTCTATTCAATTATCTCAACCTCTCGAAGTCATGAGAGCCTTAAACTTCCTACGGGCCTGGTTTGCCCAGAACACCTTGCTCAAAGCGACCATCTTTGGACTACTTTTTCAGCTCTGCTTTGCCCATTCATTTAGCGGGGGTGTACCTCCGGACAATTTATCCCCACGGGCCCATTTTGTCAATGGCCCAATGAAGTTCGATAGCTCCCTGGGAGAAGAGGCTGCGCAACATGTGATATGGTCGGAACATGGAAATACACAACGAGCCACTATCCAGGCATATGTGAGCCGAGGATTTCTACAGGCACAGAATACAATGCAAAATCCCACCCCGGAAGACGTTTGCTATACTCTCTCGAACTTGAAGCTTATCGGCGATAAATTCAGTACAACGAGGGTTGATTTTGCACGACACTCGTACACCCAAGTACGGGTCAGTATAGATCTTCCAACAAAACGCAGTGACGGCGAAGTACAGGCGGCAGTGATTATGAAGGCTAACAGCCTGCTGGTTGATATGCAAAATCAGCAAACTCAATGGGGTCAAGATTCTCGAAGGCCTAAAGCGAATTTTGAGAAGAATGGGCTTTATGTTCAAGTTATCAAGCACTATGGCAGTTAGTGAGGTGTGAGATGCCTCCTTGCTTTGGCTGTATTTGATTAAGCGCCCTGAGGTTCTTGGGATTCGGTGTCTATTCAGTGCTAAGGCTATATTTCAGATTTCGGTTCTACTTGTTTCATCCTTCATTTATAGCAACAGATTATTGTTCTCATTGCTATATACTGTACTATCTACTTTTCTGGGTTGCTTTTGTTATATAACTCTGGTTTATTACTCTGTTAGCCTTGATAACTCAGAATACTATGCTAACTCATAGGCAGTGCGCATAAGATATTTCTCCGATTCTTGATACTATAGGAATATAGGTTGAAGAACTTGGCTGTACGTTGCCTAAAGTGTTAAATCCAAACGTTTAACCGCCGCTTTGATTTCCCAGGTTAGCACGTAGATTATTGCAAACTCTTCTCCATTATCGTTATCTGCACACAGGGTCTGAGCTAAAACAAGGCCGATGGTAAAGCGGGATATCAATCTGCATGTTTCAAGTAAGGAGTAAATTTTAGTACATACATCCGAGGATGCCGTAATCTCATATGCTGCGGCTGGCGGCGACAAACCATCAGGATGTTGTATCATATGCCGACATGGTTTGACTCTCCACCAACATAGCCAAGGGAGAATCATGCTTGTCTTCCGAGCAACGCTTGTACTCCCATTAACTTCTAAATCTGGTCTAGTTCCAAAAGCTTTTATCTGATTTAACTAACGTTCAAATCCCGGGCTCGACTTGCCTTGCCCGAGAAAAGATGATGGTTTATTCTAACCACCCGAGCGCTCGGAGACTTTCAGTAGGCCGCATATTTTGTAAACTTGCAGAATAAACAGCCGACGGGCTTTCAGTTCTCCCGGAGGAGATTTTTTTCGGAGACTTTCGAAGGTTCTCTTCGTTGGTTCGGGTGGATAGGGCTCTGCAGAAGTTTGCAGTATCGAGTCTAGTGCGTACCCAGAAGGGCGGCTATATCCACTTTTCCGTGGATCAGAGTCCACGGGCTAACGTTCCTTCATTTCATTGTACTCCGTCTCCACTATGAAGAACAACACAGGTAAATAGTACCTATACTAAAATAGGGCTGCCGGCTTTTGCACTCTGAAGATGTGGAATCCAACGGTTTCCCAAAGTTATGGAACTCGATGAGTGTATATATATAAAGGATTTAGATACCTCGAACTATAGTAGACAGATTTTATACTTGCTTTCGTTTCTATATTAACTTTAACAGATACCCGTTTCTCAAGAAATAACTATTCAATAATTTTAACAATATGAGCGTCACATTTGATGTCTTCCGTGGCTCCCCTGAGGGCAAGATTGTTGCCGATAAGACTACGCGCACTCTGGAATACAACGAAGTGTTTATTGAGACCACACATTCTGGTCTTTGTGGAACAGACGAACACTACCTGAAGTCAGGCCAGGTGCTTGGACACGAGGGTATCGGTATCATCAAGGCTCTCGGACCCGGCGTTACCTCGGTGAAGGTCGGAGATCGTGTTGGATTTGGATACACACATAGCATCTGCACATCTTGTGATAACTGTGAGACTGGTAAGTTGTTCTTCAGTCCCCACCGTCTCAGCCGTCTAATATAACCTAGGCTGGGACCAATTTTGCCGCAATCAGAAGCAATATGGCTTCCATGACTTTGATAACGGTACCTTCAGTTACGGGGCCGTCTGGGACGTCAATTGCGTCTACCCCATCCCAGAGTCGGTCAGCTCAGTCGATGCAGCCCCTCTCATGTGTGCTGGCGCAACTGTCTGGACTGTCCTGACTGAGTTTGGTATTCGCTCAACCGACCGCGTTGCTATCATGGGCATTGGTGGCCTCGGTCACATTGCTATCAAGCTTGCCGTTGCATTGGGCTGTGAGGTGGTCGTTCTTTCTAGCTCTGAGTCCAAGCGAGCGGAGGCTATGGAGTATGGTGCCTCCGAGTATCATGTTTTCCGTTCCGGAGAGCCTATGAAGGATTTCAAGCCTGTGAAGCATCTGTTGCTGTGTGGAAGTGGTTCCGTTAGCTATCATTCGTAAGTTACCTTTCCAAAGCTTAGCTCAGACAGGATCTAGTTGGTTCTTGGAACCGTCTAGATCTGTTTCAAGGTCGTTGCTAACTCAGAGCAGTCTCATGCCTCTCATGGATACCAACGGTAGCATCTACCCCCTGACGGTCGCATTTGAGCCCTCTCCTGTTCCCATGCTGGATGTCCTCTTCAAAGGTGTCCGTATCCAGGGATCTCTGGTTGCTTCTCGGAAGGGTATTCGCACTCTTCTGGAGTTTGTGGCTAGGCATAAGATCGTGCCCACCGTCATGACATTCCCGTTGACCGTGGAGGGTATTGAGGAGGCCATGCAGGCTCTTAGGGATGGCAAGATGAGATATAGAGGGGTGCTTGTAAAGGGAAATTAATTACCGGGATACCTAAGATGTACTATAAACATGATGTGTGGTGGCAGTGTGAAGATGGACGCATATATATATATATACCGCTCGCTTTGATGAAAATATTTAGTAGTTCCGAAGGACCCACCGATGAAACCGGATACCGTAACATAGACGTGGTAGACAAGCCATTCACTCGATATTGCAAGATCAAATCATAGGCTATCATAACCTGGAAACATAATGCAACATCTGGCCTGAGCTAATGCGCCAAAGGGCTTGTTCTTGGCACGCTGAATGAAGAACCCTGATGCCAAGAAGAGATAGACTTCCTCTCGCCTAATTCTTTAAGACAGAGTGATTTTACTTGCGCCAAACAGATGGACTAGCTTGAGTACAAAGAGAATTAAGTGGAAACAATAACAGAAAGAGCGGGGACTATTTCCTAGCATATTATTGTCCCAACTTGGCAGAATGTAGTGCCTTCTTCTGCTCACAATTTGGCGTAGAATATAAGCGATAAACCTAACAGGTTTTTCCACGTCAGGGGCCTCTGGCGCAACGGTAGCGCGTTTGACTCCAGATCAAAAGGTTATCCGTTCAAATCGGGTGGGGCTCATCTGAATTTTTTTGAACCTTTATGCACAAGCCATGTATATAGCTCTATACTTATAGGGCCAGATATCTGCTTAGTCTCTCTGGCTTTCTATATAGGTAGTTTACCGGTAGTATTAAAGCGACTTGTAAAAGTTTGCTTAATATACAGTCCATATATGATACCTCCCCTAGGGAAATACTCTTTTAGACCCATATGGGAGACTATCGGAAAGCCGTTTGGCATCCTTACATTTCTAGGTTACAAGAAGTATTCTACTGGCAGAATGAACAAACACCGATCCCAATTATTTAAAGGGTTAAAAATTCGTATGGCCCGTTGCTGCTTGCCCGCTACTCAGTGCAGTCACTGCCGGTCAAGGGTAGCTATCTGGCCGCCTATGCCTTCTCCACTACACATTTATTTCGGAGTCCGTTTCATTTGAAGGAGATGATTACATGGCTCCATAGCTTATGTATAAGAGCATTGGAAGGCATTATTCCGATTTAATAGATGCGCTGGGCCATCTCTGTGAATGTTAATAAGTACTGGATGAGCAACTCACGTGATCGCAATGCCCTATGCTTACGTAGTCCGTACCCCGTGAGCCGATTAACCTCTTGAGGAGTAAAAATCTTCGGAGCTGATATAAGGTCGAAGAGCAGCTCTGAAACAGACCATGAGTGCATAATTTGGCTTTTACAATTAAAGTAAGCAAAGGACTATTCATTTCCTTGATACAAAAAGGGTCAATGTCTACATGGCCCCTACGATTAGAAGATTATGTTCATTCTGTCACCGACATGACAAGCGGTCGGACTGCCTTCGTGGTGGATTCTTTCGTTACTCATTTTCATTATGATCTTTCTAGATTGATATAACAGGAAGAAGGCCTTTAAACAAGCTATGGGCCTCTGGCGCAACGGTAGCGCGTTTGACTCCAGATCAAAAGGTTATCCGTTCAAATCGGGTGGGGCTCATATCTTTTTGTTTTTTGTTTCCTATATCTTTTTTCACATACCCTCAATACTCTTCATTGACCATCCTCACAGCAGCAATTGGGTTGTTGTTGCTGGGTGCCCATCAATGACTGAAAAGTGAAAAACAGGGAGTACCATACCGTAAGGCATAATCTATGCTGGGATAGCCGTGTATTATATGTACGTTCAATCCATTATGACAGCTTCTGAGGAATAGCTATGGGAGGCAAAGTAATGCAATAGCTGAGTCTATCACCGTTGGGAAAGTTCTCTCCAACCATGTGAGGAATTTTGAGAAAGCCAGGATAGATGCAGCTGTTTGATCTCATCTTTTGTATCCCTAATGATGTCGCAGAAAGTCAAATAGCTTCTATGTGTTCTACCTGGAAACCTATGTTTATTCTTATGATGCAAAGGCATGATTTCTTTTTGCGCTTGAAAATCTTAAAATGCAACACCCGATATAAGGAGGAAGCCTTGCAAAACCTTTCGGGAGGTTTTGTTTTCAGACCTATGGGGGAAAGAAATGACAAAAATATAAAAAGAAAATACAACAGCAGGGAGTCGCTGGCGGTCACCCACCCAAGTACTGACCTGCTGGCGTGTGGGACAGTGTGGTTTAAGTTACTACTGAGCGGACGGGAGGGGGCTATTCTTCACACCCTATGTTTGTGTGCACTGGGGGAGGCATAGAAGGGGAATGTAACCATAGAAGGGGAATGTGGCTATAGAAGGGAAGAGAAACATTGAAATGGGACAGGAATTCCAACTTTGATTTACTCATTTTTATTTCATTTTCATCTTTTTATTTTCATTCACATATGTCAAAGGTGAGCATTGATAGAAGTAGGCATAAACATCTTAAAAAGTCTAATATTGCAGTGCTAAGAATCATAGAGACCAAAAAAAAAATATAAATAAAAAAGAAAGAGAGACTATAAGGTTGTGAAAATACAATGGCGGGAAGCAATATAGGTGTGACCAGGGCAAGCTGAATCATAGATACAGAATTATGTGATCCTTTGGTTTTGTGGAATACTGGGCCCTGGGAATATCTCTTATAGAATAATAATAATAGTAGTATTTATAAAAGGAAGACTGCGCGAGACAGGAGCATAAACTGGGAGTGAATTAGGGTAAGAAAGGGGAATGGAGGAAAGCCTTTCACGTATACGGAAAAAGATAAAACTAACTGAATTCATATGTAAAGCTCAAATTGAATAATGCTTCCTGGCTTGGTTATTTATATACTAGTTATTTGGCAAATGGGAAGCATCGTCATGAAAAGGATTATAGCAGGCTCACCTGTCACAGGACGTCACCGACTCCTGGAACGGCAATAGGAACCACAAAAACGAGAAGTAAAACGAGGGTAATTTAAATGAGGTTGTAGATTAACACACCGAGGCTGAATGCCCATAAATCCCCCTCAGGATGCTAGCGTTCGGCAGTGCGTGTGGTTTCTTGCCCGCCCACTAGGTGCACGCCGGTCCCCTCTCGATCCACAAAACACAGAGTCATCTTTGGACGAACAGAACTAAGCTCAAGGAGCAGGACATAAATGATAGCCGAACAGGTAGGCCGTGTAGGCGGCCAAATAAGTACGCTAATACATGGGAACCACCTGGAACTCCCGGAGCAAAGCGCGATCTATGTACCAGTGAGTTCGCTGGTGAGTTACATTGTAGATAGTATGTCTTCAAATCCTCCCGTCTTTGTCTTGTGAGTTAGGCAATTTAGAATTAGTCACTGGCTCTGTAGAACTTAATCTTGAAGATATTACCAAAAACATACCATAATAAAATAAGTATATTAGGTATAGATACGACATTCCAAGTGACTTGCTGCCTGGGTGAGTCTGGGACATGGGCGAATGATACAGCAGTGATCCTGGTGACCCTTGGGCATTTGAGCCTGGCTTGGTGATCCTAGATACTCTGATCCTGGACGGTCTGATATAATAAAACACCTAAATTTAGGTGTAGGTAGGTGATCCGGGTGACTCAGGTGGCTCCAACGTCAATATTTTGGGCTATCCATCATTATGTCGCATTCCGTTTCAAGTTAGCTTAAATAATAGTAAATGATCTGATCGTACATACTTTCATGATGGTCCTTCCCACTGTAGGTTGTTCAGTACTGCCAACGCCGCTGCTGACAAGGCCCCATTCAGAAGAGGATAAGCGTACGTCCTCAACTTGGGACACAATAGAAAGGAAGCCACTCCTAATATATGAGCACAGCATGATCTGCTTTTCTCGGCGGGCAATTATGAGGGTTTACGTTTTGAATGACCGATGATAGCTGATGTATGTTGAATCTAATTGTTGACATGGTGAATTCGCTCCTGCATGTCCGTATAGTAGGAACAAGCAAGTTACACGCGTTCAATCTCTACGACATCCCCTTCCATTTGATCCTTAAGTTCCAACTTATCGTGATTCTCACCGATAGCCGCCGCCTCCCCATCGAAGATCAATGCCATATGCTCCAGGCTATACCCTTTAGTTTCAGGATAGAAGAAATAGGAAGTGAAGGCGTAGCAGGCGAGGACGGCAACAAAGACGAAATAGTATTTCCATCCGATGGCATCGAGGGCAATGGGGTTGACAAAAGTATTGAAGATCAGGGCACAGGTTGCAGAGATCCAGACGACAGAGAGACCACGCGATCGGAGAGCGAATGGCCAGATTTCACACGGATACGCAGTGAGCAGTGGGGATCTATCGAGCAAAGCAAGGTTAGGGGGTGATCTATAACGTACGTCCAAGCAATGAGAGAGCGAGATAGTGAACTTACAGTGCAATGTCGTAGCCAGCGAAGAAAATAAAGATGAAGGGAATGACTGCCGTTCCTATCGGTACAGAACCAGTCGTTGCAAAGGAACCGGACAGACCAGTAATTGTAATATAACCGACAAGCATTATACCGGCAGAGGTGAGGAAAAGAGCACGGCGACCTGCCCGTTCGACCAACGTTGCACCGATTGCAGCGAAGATCAGGTTCCAGATTTGTAAACAGGCAGATATAAGTAGCTGATCCTTTGTTTTTGAGATCCCAACGGAATCCAACACCAGAGCCAGATAGTAGGACACGACGCCATTTCCAGACCATTGGCTGAAAATACCTAGGGTGACTGTAATAAGAAGACGATGCCGATTCCCCGGTGTCTTGACCATGTCCTTGTAGCTGGAAGACGACGAGGCTTCTTTTTCGGCTGTGATGGCTGCATGGATCTCGGTGACCTCGGATGTTATCAAGGGCGCAGTGATATCGCCAGCGGCGTGCAACAGCGCAAGCTTCTCCCGGGCTTCTTCCACGCGGCCAGTTCCGATTAACCAACGAGGACTCTCGGGGGTCATGATGAATCCTGGAATTGCCGCAACAGGGAGGAGGATCTGCAAGAGCGTGGGCAGTCTCCATGACCACGAACTGCTGTAAGTTCTGGTAGCGAACGTCACCCAAGACGCAACAACAGAGCCGCCATAATACCCTACCATAAACAGAGCACTTGTAACGCTTCGATGAGCAGGGTACGCAATCTCGCCCAACAATAATGGCCCGGGGACGCTGACACAGCCAGAACCAAGACCGATGAAGACGCGTGATACTATAAATACGGTGTCATTAGGAGCAAAGGCCCCAAGGAGTGATCCCACCGCGAGAATCAAAACTCCTATCCATATAGTCGGTTTCCGTCCAAACTGGTTGCACGCCCATCCGGCCGCCATTGAGGAGAAGATTGCTCCTGCTGCGTATATAGCGTTTATGAAGCCGAGCCAGGTACTCGATGGCATTTGCATAAACTCTAGCCAACTATCCAGAGACTGAAGGCCATTCACCAGAGAGCCATCGAAACCGTTGGAGGAGGCTAGATAAATCAATACTTGGTCGATAATTGACGGAAAGCCCCTTACAGAAAAGCGTCATTGATATGAGGCAGAAATTGAGACGGCGTAACTTGGGATCTTTCCACCAGGGAAGCTCTGCAGGAACAGAGGCCACCGGTCCAGGATCGTCGTTCTGACAAGTCTCTACTGTCATTTCGAATGGAGGTCAATTTGCAGGAGTATAGGAAGCAGAACACTCTACGCTGATTGATAATTGAGATCTTATACCCTGCGTCCAGTCTGGACTCGGGGGTTTACCCGAAGTTCTTCCGGGTTGCAGTGCATCAAGCGATATCCCGTAATGCGGAGAAAGTGTGGGGAAGTTCCTCCCCGCGAAGATTTAACTCCACGTTAGCGGCACACCAATGAACCTGCAGGGCCAAGATTTTCTCCCCAATGTGCCGGCTGCCTGGTGTGGAGGACGGCACTTCCTGGTAAGGGGGTACCGAAGCAATGGTACCTTGCATGCCGCCAGGTGATGTATACAATGGAACAAGTATTGTCACCAATCATGCCCCAATGCCTTCCGAAAACCTGCCGCTTTAGCAGCGTGAGACAATTGAGCCAGTGTCAATTGAGGAAATAAAGACGAGCGCCTCAGTGTCCTGTTGCTTACATATACTCACGCAGTTCTGTAGACAATTCCACAGACAGGAAATACGTATGTACAGGAATGTATTTCCGAGGTCGGCTTGGAGGCAACCCTAAAGGCCCGGAAGGACGCTTTATCGGAGCTTGGCGGACAGGAACGAAGCCAGTGTGGCTGTAGCAAAGTCCCGCTGCTTTTCTCCACAGCTGAAAACACATTCTCACCGCATTGATAAGGTTTCATGCTGGTAGTGTGTGCCTTGATATATGACTTCCGGCCGGAATCTGTCCGTGGCTGGGATTAACTTGGATTATTGGACTTGCTGTCTCTCCGAAACACAGGCCAAAGAATGTGAACAGAGTTAGGGATGATATTCTTTCACCGTCAAATTTATTTCTGAACCTACAAGCACTTCTAGAGATTGGGATGAAGAAACACCCGGCTTATTGGGATCATGGCTGCATTTTATCCTGCCGATATTGTCCATCAAGATGACTTATCATGGCTTATAGGCCCGGGATTAAGCAAGTAAGTGGTAAAGCGCAACACTACAACTCCAAGTAGGAGACCTTAGCTCCCTTATATATAGGTCTTAAGGTTGATTAAGATACATTCAAATTCGGTGAACTTCGTTATAATAGCTCACAGCTTTGTACCCACGCGAGCATCCCGAGTCTTCTCTTCCAGCAGTTTGCAAAGCTCAGGTCCAAGTGTAATTATGGCCTGTCCGGTAATATCTGTCACGGACTTACCGGTCGACACCTGATAGTCACCAGCTTGTAATTCCCACTTGCCACTCTGTTCGCTGAAGTGTGCAAGCTGATAAATATCAAAAGCAATACTAGCAGTCTTGGTCTCGCCCGGCTCCAGATGGACCTTTGCAAAACCAACAAGTTCTTTGACCGGATTCTCGGGAACCACCTCCTTGCTGCCAGCGTAGACCTGAACAACATCATCCCCGGCATAAGAGCCAGTGTTTGTCACATCTATGCCCACTTGAACAGTACCGTCACTGGTAACGTCCACCTTATGGTTGGCATGCGCAAAAGTGGTGTAGGATAGACCATAGCCGAATGGGAAAAGAACTTTGCCACGGTTTTCTTCTGATCGGTCGTAGTGTCGATAGCCGACAAAGACACCTTCCGCGTACTGGACCTGGAGTTGGCGGTTGCCATCGTTCTCGGTATACTCACCTGGGAAATTGCCATGTGCGGGAGCATCCTCGACTCTGTGGGGGAAGGACATTGGCAGTCGGCCGGAAGGGTTGGCTGCTCCAACAAGGATATCGGCAATGGTATTGCCCGCTTCCTGGCCCGGGAACCAGGCCTGAACAACGGCCTTGACCTTGTCCAGCCAGGGCATAGCTATTGCGACTCCGGTGCTGTTGACGACAATGGTGTTGGGGTTTGCGGCGCCAACTGCTTCTACCAGCCGATCCTGGGAGCCATTGCTAGGAAGATGGAAGCTCTTTTGATCCTGGCCTTCCGTCTCCCAGTCAGGAGTATGGCCGGTGAAAATGATAGCAATGTCAGAGTTTTTAGCCACCTCGACTGCTTCCGAAAGCAAGTCTCGGTCATGCTCCTGCTCCGTCATGAATCCGAGGCGGAAGCCGATCAAACCGTCGAGCATAGCAAGTCCGCTTTTAGAGCTGGGCTTGACTGTTGTGACTTCAATGGTATAGGTCGTGCCGGCCTCGAAACTAAATTGAACCTCGGGCTCTTCCACGCCCCCCAGGAGGAACGCCATGGAGTCCGGGCAATTGTCCCTCTGATCATAGAGTAACTTCCCATCGATCATAACCTTCGAAGGTCCCAGCCCGGACATGCCGAAGTAGTGGTATCCACTGTGCGAGGGCGTGAAGCGGGCGGTAGCTCGAAGGCTTCCCCACTTCTCCTTAACGAAGATGGGTATATAAGTAGGCAGCGCACTATCGCTTGTCGAAGCCGGCTTGCCAGTGGGTTCCTCCTGGTCGAAGAATTCTAGCGTCCAGCCAGGCTTTCCGTCTAGGCTCACCACACCTTCGCCGAGTAAAGGCAGCTGACGGAAGGTGCTGGCACCTTTAGCAAAGTCAAACTCCACTGTGTCGCCCAATGCAGCCCGTAGACCTTCCTCTGGAGTGACGCGGTAGTGAGCATTAACACTGGCACTTCCACCGCCATGTATAAGACCTTCTCGCGCGAAGCCGAGTAAGGCGATCTTTTTATTGGCCAGCCGCTCCTTTTTCAAAGGCAGCACACCTTCATCGTTCTTGAGAAGGACGACGCCCTGACTACCCACGGAACGGATCAAACGTTGATGCTCTGGCAGATTGATGGCCTGTTCTTCTGGAATGGTCGGATCTTCAAAGCAGTTAAGCTTCGCCAAGAGCTCAAGAATCCTGCGCGCGTGGTCATCGATCGTCTTGTGCGATACGGCTCCAGACTCCACGGCAGTGACCACATCTTCCACCTTACGCCACCGCGGTGGCCCGGGCATCTCCAGATCCAAACCCGCGTTTAAGGAGTCAACGGTTGAATTAGTACCGCCCCAGTCACTCATGACTACGCCGTCCCAGCCCCATTGGCCCCGTAAAACGTCTTGCAGTAGGAATTTGTGTGAATCGGCGTGGGTGCCGTTGACAAGGTTATAAGCTGTCATGACGGCCAGAGGATTGGCCTCCTTGATGGCGATTTCGAATGGCTTCAAATAAATTTCTCGTAGAGCACGTTCTCCGACAATTTCGTTGACGGTAAAACGGCAGGTCTCCTGCTCATTGACTGCATAGTGCTTGATGGTAGCAGCAACCCCATTGTCTTGCAGACCGTGGATGTACTGCGCCGCCATTTTCCCAGCTAGGAACGGGTCCTCAGAAAATGACTCGAAATTGCGGCCTCCAAGGGGGTGGCGATGAGGGCAGACGGTGGGTGCCAACCTGGGTATTATCAGTACATCATGCTTACGCGCCACAACTTGCCGCCGTAGACCTCGCTTACAGAACTCTTGCTCCTTTTGATCGCGTCTCGTCTGCGAGTGCTCTTCCGATTTTTCTGACAGCTTGGCGATCCCATGTTGCAGCGAGCAGGCACGATGCAGGAAAGCATGCTGATGTTGTGCCCCCTTTGAAAGCGGCACCCCGTGCCCCGTTTGGTCCATCCGAGGTCTATATGAATGCACTGGTCAGTCCGGGTGGGGATCATTCATTGATACTGCGACTGAAGTGAGCAAACCTTTACAGAAGGAACACCCTTTTCTGGGAAATCCGCAGTCTGCCAGAAGTCCTTCCCGGCCAACAAAGTAATCTAGCGGCCCATTTGTGATCAGTAAATCCTCCTGTTTAGTCCGTAAGCAATGACAGGTAAATGTACCTTTTCTTCTAGGGTCAATGTCGCGAGAAGCTTCTCTATCTTCCCGGGTTCAATATTTTTGAATGCCATGATGGACGAACTGTTAAACGACCTAGAACAACTTGGGAGTTGATTTCAATCGGAGCTGGAAGTGCCACGAACGAAGCGCCCTTTTATATTCTGCCATCGGGAATGCCGACGTCGCTTCTCCTTGAACTCAGGAGCCAGGCTATTCCCCCACACGACGGATGTCCACGGCAGAACGTGGAGCTCCATGGGGTCAGTAATGATTGCGAGTTGTGATCGTATGCCAAGTCGCTTGGATGCGCCGGCTAATCTTCGGCAGTTGCCTTTCTTACCTTTTTAAGACTAGCCCACAGTCACCTGTGGTCTGTGGTATGCCAATACATGATGTCGCGCGTAATCTTCCTTAATCTGCCCAAACATTGGAATTCATAAACCGCGTCTTCATGATATTGGATTGTCCCGCTTCTCATATTTACATCTAATGGGGCCAGTACTGAACGGCTTCAGGAGGTTTCCCGGTGTCTCCTGGTGCTGCCCGACACAATAGGGCGGATTCAAGTTACCACTCCTTGTGCCTGTGATACTAAATATATAGTAGTCTATATCATATATGTTAGTGGGCTATTTATGACTTAGAGACTCGAGGCTCAATGAGGCTAGAAGGAGGACAATAAGGATAGTCGAATGGATAGCTCAGTACAAGCCCAGGATGAGTTAGGGTTCAGCTCCTCCCCGCGGGTTCCCCCGCCAAGGCGGCACTAAACCTAAAGGTAAGGCACCGCTTAGTATAAAAATCTTCAGAGCTTTTAATATAGTCTCTACTAATTCTCTGAGAGACATGGATTGAAATGGGACGGGAATGAGCAATTGGATCTAATCATCCCGATCTTATTCACACATGTCAAAGGGGAGCGCTTATAGAAATAGGTATAAGCAAACGGAGGAGTCTCGCTGCCTAACAAGAGAGTACTTAAAATCTTATAGACAAAGGGGATCCTTAAGTCTGTGACTCTGTGAGAATGAAATGTGTTAGTCACAAACCTCCTCGCTCCTTTAAAAAAACCTTAGATATATAGTTAATTTATACAGTAGATAGATACGTTACCTACCTTACAATAATAATTTATGAGCCGATACAAGCGTAAATAAACTCATTATGTGGGAATATACTGTAGTATATAGATTTAGCAATCATCACCTGCTAAAGCTGAGTTTGAATTCTCGGAGTCAAAGGGATAATTTTGTCCGTAAGACTAAAGGAATATAGCATGTGTAAGAGTCATATAGCACTAGAAGTGAAACTAGTCAGGGGACTTTGCCCACTTTTATGCCTTCCGCAATCGAGCAAGTCCATGGGCGACGTACTGCGCGAAACGGGTGGATCAAGGGCGAGAAACTGAAGTGGAGGAAGGCTTTTCATGCATTAGGGTATAAAAAGACACCAATACAATTAATACGTAAACAGCAATTTAAACATATGCATGATCTATTTATTCTCCTAAACTAGACTAGTATTGAGCACCAAGGTGCTAGTATCCGTTATTATAGGTGTGATACGTGGTGATTAACCAGCTGCTCAACTGCCCATGAAGCTGCCATCTGCCGCAATTTACGTCGATTGGTCTTACCAGTTGCAGTCACAGGAATCCTATCCAGAGCGATGTATGAAAATGGTATCATAGGCGTGACATTGCAAAGGTGTCGGAGGACCAGCCCCGATGTATCGCGCTGGGAGAACAGGACCTTCCACGACCAACTCACCCACAGCACCAAAATAAAAATACATTATATATACAGAAGACTAATACTAATCTTTAGCTATTTATACGTAGTGCATTAAGCTTCTAATATTTAGGTCAGCCCAGGTGATCGTTGGGGTGTACTTCTCTCAACTACCCATGTCTGATATTCCGGCAGCGGAAAGCCGCAGAGCTAACTGGCGGCAGTTTCATCGCGTGCTGTTATCTTCATTGAATTTCCAGACTCCCAAGTGAATTTGATGGGAATTTTTGCAGTGGGGCTTGGGGAAGTTTCAGTAAAGTAATCATCCCCACGACTACAACCGACAACTTGAAGCTGTTCTGGTAGTCCTAAACAAAGGAATGCATCGACGTGGAAGCGACTACAGCGCATAAACTCTCCTTGCTTGAGATAATTACTGCTATACAAAGGTTGTTCGCTTCAGGTCTTTACTCATGCCCTACAAGACCTGAGCTAAGTCTGGCTTGATAACATCGCCTGTGTCAATGGAGAGGGCGTATATCTCGTCTCTAATAACATGCAGTTGCCGGGATTGGCAAGAATTCCTCAATAAATTGATGGCCGATGCTAGATAACAGTGGCTAAGTGGGTTGTGAGGATTGCGTAACATTATGAAATGGTTGGCACACCTTTAGCTGGTGTGTACGCTGGGTGTTGTCCCGTACAGTTTCCACCTGCTCCGACAATGGCGAGCATTAGAATGCTATATTAGATCTGGGAGATGGATAGCATTACATCGTTGAAAGCATGAATTCCTGCACAACGTCCGAGTAGGCATCGCAAATAAATACTTAACCTGAAGAGTCTCGGGCTTCGGGGGAAAATTGCCCCGAAGCAAACGCAATTTCAGCATCATGAGCCAAAAGAGACGTGTCCGTGCAGTCTTATACGAAGAGGTTATTTAGAAGCCAAAAGCTTAGCAGTAACCCCTATATGGTTTTCGGCGGATAGCCTATCGCTGGAAAGTTAATCAACATCAGCGATCCATCTTCTCATGCACGAGTTGTGCTATTCATTGCGCATGCCGTGGAAGGAATTACATGGAAGTAAATGCAATTAGTCTTAATCCACGGTGAATAGAATGTGAGCCTCATAGAAATTCGCATTAAAAAGACTTTCGCTGAGAGGCCCGCTGACAAAGTGCTTCTAGACTTGAATGGAATACAGACTGACTCTGGGATGGGCTTAAACCCGGCAATATGGAATGATTCTTTTACCCGAGATTGAAATAGCTGGGAAATAAATTCTGGATACACAAGGCGTACTATTACTCCATGAGCTTTTTCATGGATAAGCTATGTCTGTGTAGGTGTTCAGGCTAAAGAAGAAAGACTAAACATCGCCAACTCAGCTGCCTGACCCGAAGATTGTCCGGCAATGGGAATATGTTTTATGTATAACTCCGCTTTCGAATGGCTTATCATGTCGGCATTGCTCAGATTCTCTGGCCCGACTCCGGGCCATGATTCATATCCGTGCAATTTAGCCTGAATGGATTGGGTGGTTATGCAGATATCGGAATATCCCCGCGTCGGACGAGATGATCGGCTGCGGGACTTTCTCGATTCGGGACTTCATCTGTGGGGTTGGAAGTAAAATGCTGGAGATGCTGGGGCAATGCCGACTTTTTACCCAGAGATAGGTGACAGTGACGTACACAGCTCAAGGAAGACAGCTAGCTCCCCTTGCCATTGAGAATGCAATTGCCCAAGGCTATAAATCGCAGCCCACTGCCGGGCTACAGGTGAAAAGTGCAGCTGCAGCATTGTACCGCCGACAATTGCCATCATGCCTGGTGCAGCATCTATCGTCGCAGTCCTGGCGGCCCTCTTGCCGACCGCTCTTGGTCAAGCAAACCAAAGCTACGTCGACTACAACACCGAAGCTAATCCAGACCTGTTCCCCGAATGTCTGGAGACCGGTGGCACATCCTTTCCAGACTGCGAAAGTGGTCCTCTGAGCAAGACTCTGGTCTGCGACACTTCGGCAAAACCCCATGATCGAGCTGCCGCCCTTGTCTCCCTTCTGACCTTCGAGGAGCTCGTAAACAACACCGCCAACACAGGTCATGGTGCCCCTAGAATCGGCCTGCCCGCATATCAGGTGTGGAATGAAGCTCTCCACGGTGTCGCCCACGCCGATTTCAGCGACGCCGGCGACTTCAGCTGGTCCACCTCCTTCCCGCAGCCAATCTCGACCATGGCTGCCCTCAACCGCACCCTAATTCACCAGATTGCCACCATCATCTCCACGCAAGGACGCGCCTTCATGAATGCCGGCCGCTTCGGACTGGACGTCTACTCCCCCAACATCAACACCTTCCGCCACCCCGTCTGGGGCCGCGGCCAGGAAACCCCCGGCGAAGACGCCTACTGCCTCGCCTCCACCTACGCATACGAATACATCACCGGCATCCAAGGCGGCGTCGATGCCAACCCACTCAAACTCATCGCAACCGCCAAACACTACGCCGGCTACGACATCGAGAACTGGGCCAACCACTCCCGGCTCGGCAACGACATGCAAATCACCCAGCAAGACCTGGCCGAATACTACACCCCACAATTCCTCGTCGCCTCCCGCGACGCCAAAGTCCACAGCGTCATGTGCTCCTATAACGCCGTCAACGGCGTCCCCAGCTGCTCCAACTCCTTCTTCCTGCAAACTCTCCTCCGCGACTCCTTCGACTTCGTCGAAGACGGCTACGTCTCCGGCGACTGCGGCGCAGTCTACAACGTCTTCAACCCCCACGGCTACGCTGCCAACGAGTCCACCGCAGCCGCAGACTCCATCCGCGCAGGAACCGACATCGACTGCGGCGTTTCCTACCCACGTCACTTCCAAGAATCCTTCCACGACCAAGAAGTCTCCCGACAAGACCTGGAACGAGGCGTCACCCGTCTCTACACCAACCTCATCCGCGCCGGCTACTTCGACTCCAAAACCAGCCCGTACCGCAACATATCCTGGTCCGACGTCCTATCCACAAACGCCCAGAACCTCACCTACGAAGCCGCCGCCCAAAGTATCGTCCTACTCAAGAACGACGGCATCCTCCCCCTCTCTACCACCACCACCTCATTAAATCGCACCACCACCACCATCGCCCTAATCGGACCCTGGGCCAACGCAACCACCCAAATGCAAGGCAACTACTACGGCCCAGCCCCCTACTTAATCAGCCCGCTGCAAGCCTTCCAACAATCCTCCTCCTCCGAAGGATACAAAGTCACCTACGCAATAGGCACAAATACAACCACCGACCCCACGCCCCACTCGCAATCCGACGCCCTCACCACCGCTCAAGAAGCCGACCTCATCATCTTCGCCGGCGGCATCGACAACACCCTCGAAACCGAAACCCAAGACCGCGCAAACATCACCTGGCCCGCCAACCAACTCTCCCTCATCACAAAACTAGCAGACCTAAACAAACCCCTCATCGTCCTCCAAATGGGCGCCGGCCAAGTCGACTCCTCCGCCCTGAAAGCAAACAAGAACGTCAACGCCCTCATCTGGGGCGGATACCCGGGTCAGTCGGGTGGGCTAGCCCTCAGGGATATTATCACGGGCGAACGCGCCCCGGCAGCTAGGCTCGTTACGACTCAGTACCCGGCTGACTATGCCGAGGTGTTCCCGGCTATTGATATGGGTCTGAGACCGAATGGGTCGAATCCGGGTCAGACGTATATGTGGTATACTGGGACGCCGGTTTATGAGTTCGGGCATGGGCTCTTTTATACTAGCTTTCGTGTTTCTGCTGCTGCGGGTGGGAATAAGAATCGCACGTCGTTCAATATTGAGGATGTTCTGGCCCGCCCGCATCCCGGGTATAAGTTGGTGGAGCAGATGCCGTTGTTTAATTTCACGGTGGATGTTACCAATACTGGAGACCGAGTGTCGGATTATACTGCTATGGCGTTTGTCAATACGACGACGGCTGGCCCGGCGCCGTATCCCAATGAGTGGCTGGTTGGGTTTGATCGGTTGAGTGCTGTGGAGCCTGGGTCGTCCAAGACGATGGTCATTCCGGTGACGGTGGATAGTCTGGCTCGTACTGATGAGTTGGGTAATCGTGTGTTGTATCCTGGTCGGTATGAGGTGGCGTTGAATAATGAGAGAGATGTGGTCTTGGGCTTTACGCTCACGGGGGAGAAGGCTGTGTTGTTCAAGTGGCCTAAGGAGGAGCAGTTGATTGCGCCGCAGTAGATCGGAGGGAAGAATTATTCGGATGTAATGATGTGACTTGCTAGAAGGTTACGAAGATAGAATACTGCTTTTATGATACTATGTTCATTCTATATGCAATTTCATGGTGATCTAAACGTGGCTGGCTCCAAATTTTGAAACACTCTTAAGACGTTATAACTGTGGTTTCCTCCGTTAAAGATTTTATAATGCATCATTGTTCTGTTTTTGTGGTAATTGTGCTTCTTCACGAAGTAGAAGGCTTTGTCTCAATCATTTGAACGAGCTCATCATACTCGCCTGTGTTGCGTAACATATCCCAGAAGACACCTTCCTTCTTGACGAGGTTGGCGGGCGTGTCATTCCTATGATTATCCGTTAGTATCAATCCAATTCTACAAGCCACTGGAAATTAGATGAACACAATGAGGAACAAAAACATACTCAACAATCTCCCCGTCAACCATAACAAGTACCCGATCATAATCCATAATAGTCCTCAGTCGATGCGCAATAGCGATGATGGTACAATCGGGGAACATCTCCCTCAGAACACGCTGCATATGCATGTCCGTTTCATGATCGACAGACGCCGTCGCCTCGTCCAACAGCACGACCTTGGATCGTCGACACATGGCCCGTGCAAGACTGAGCACTTGACGCTGGCCTTGGCTGAAGTTCTCGCCGTTAGCCGCCACAGGCGTATCCAGAGTGAGAGGGCGGGTCGTTTTGGCGGGATGGGCGTGGTCCGTCTGGTCGCTGCCGTCAGGGACGTGGATGGAGGTGCAAGCTCCCAGGGCAGAGGCAAGTTCTGTTTCGCTGGATTCGCCGAATGGGTCGAGATTCGAGTGAACATCCCCGGAGAAGAGGACTGGTTCTTGCGGGATCAAGGTTACGCTAGCGCGAAGCCGGTTCAGGAAGATCTTGGTGATGTCGACTCCGTCGATGGTTATCTGGCCCGACGCGATGTTCACGAATCGCAGTAAGGATAGTCCAAGGGTGCTCTTGCCACTTCCTGTGCGGCCGACGAGGCCAATACGCTCCCCTGGATTCGCGACGAAAGACACATTGCGTAGGACGTCTGGCCCTTCTTCCTGGTATCGCGCGGTGACGTTGTGAAACTCGACACGGCCGGATGTAGGCCAGCTGGCTGGGACGACTGAGGATTTTGCTTGGTCTTCACTCAGGTGCTCCTCTGGCTCGATATCCGCGTATTCACGCACCCGCTGGAAACAGTTCAGCTCGACCTCCAGCTCGTTCATTGTTCGTACTAAGTTCAGGATATTCTGGCTGAGGCCAATGGCGTTGGTCAATGAGAAGCCCACCAGCCCTGCTGGTCCGGACCAAAAATAGGCCACACAGCCCGCCGCGGCTGCAACGGACGCGGCACATAAATCTGAGCGGACGGATATCCAACGGTTGCAATTATATTGCGTTTCTGCGGAGCGGGCATGGACAGCCAGCTTCTCGGCGAGTAGCCGCTGGAATACCAGATCCATATCCTTGCGGGCACGAATCACGCACAGGCCGGACAGAGAATCAGTAAAATGTGAAAACACAGGAGAGTAGTTGATGGATGTCAGCCGCTTGATGGAGACTTGAGTGCGCGTGTACATCTCTCCGATGACGAACCCAATAGTGCATATAACAGCCGCCGGAAGAGCAAAGATAGGCATGATCGAGGCAACACTGGCAATGCGAAGCAAGAAACGCAACCCGTTCTCGATTGACATCCGCAGCCAATCTATCAAAACTGTGTCTAGAGACCGGGTATCGTTTCCAAACCGGTTAATCAGCCGTCCGATTGGATTCTGGTCGAACCAGGAAATGGGGGCGGATAGGACCGCGGTCACTAGCCGCCTGTGCATCTTCTTTGCAGCTATCCAACTTCCGTACTGATAGAGGAGATTGCCACTGAGCTGCAGCAACAGGAAGAGGATGATCGCTGCGGCGTAGACCCCTAAATAGTAGAGGGAATTTGGGTTCTCGTACTTTTCGTATGCACCCATCCAAATAGAGAGCCAGTAGGTGATCGCAAAGTAAGCAAATTGCACTGCGATTGTTACAGCCATTGCGAGCGGTGCGTAGCAAGGTCCACCGAATAAGAGAATGTATTGTAGGGCTTGAGAAAATGGTCAGGTGTGTTTTGGGAATATTGCGGGGAGTAACATACCTAAGGTGCGCGGCACACGCCCAGTCGCTGAGGTTTCCTTTGCTATGCGTCCTACCTGTGGACTTTGCTGCTCGTGTGCAGGGGCAATGGTGGTTGTAGGCTCTGAAGGAGCATCAAGGGATTCTTCTACTATTGGCGGGTTACCTAAGGACATGGAATCTGTATCGGTTGCGGGTGTACTGCAGCGCGTACGCTGCAGAAGGGCTTGGGGAAGGCTCCAAGGTGTTTCTACAGTAGATGCCTTGCCATGATCGAGCCGTACAAGCAGTTCGGCATCCTGCAGAGCGGCTGAGTAATGTGTGATAAGAACAACCGTTCTATCTGAGAGCAGGCCACTACGGAAGCACTTGTCGTAAACCAGCGTAGTGGTATGAGTGTCAAGTGCAGAGAAGATATCATCCAGTAGGAGTGTGGAGGATTGCGAATATAAAGCCCTCGCCAAGGATACTCGTTGTTTTTGGCCACCGGAAAGTGACGTACCCTTTTCGCCCACGATAGTAGCATCTCCAGCCGGCAGCTGTTGGAGGTCTTGAATCAAACCGCTCGCTTCGACAACTGCGTTGTAGCGGGCTTTGTCAAATGGGCTGAAGAAGGTGATGTTTTCCCGAATCGTGTCATTCTGGAGCCAGGGAGCTTGTGGTACATAAGCCACATCTCGTGGACAGGAGGCCGTTCCCGATTCGAGTACAGTTTCTCCCAGCAAAGAAAGTAATAAAGAAGTCTTTCCACTTCCAGTGGGGCCTGTCACTACGTTCAGGGCACGCGGCCTGAAGCGAACCGAAACATCATGTAATCTAAAAGCAGCAATAGGGGTTCGGCGAAATGTTGCATTCTTAAGCTCCAATGGCCCTTCGGGGTGTTGTTTGATTTCCCTTGCAGTATCGAAGAAGCGGTCGACTCGCCGCAGCGATTCTGCTCCTTGGGCAGAAGCTCTGCTGATGTTTGACAGCCAGACGAATTGGGAGCGCAAGGTCTCCATGATCGACAGGGATGTAAAGGCCGTTGCGGCTCGCAAGGTGTCATTTGTGAATAGCACAAAGACAGAAAACATGACTAGCAAGCTCACCATCGGTAACAGGTCGCCCGCCATTGAAATGGCAGCAGCATACACACTCCGCTTCCAGAGGCGGCGTTGTTCCACGCCTCGAGCTTCGTTGATAGATTTCATTGCAGCATGCTCCCACCCAAAGTATTTCAGAGTTCGTATGGAGTTCAAGTACTCGGATATTTTAGAGAGTCGAACATCTGTAGCTTGCATCACAGATCTCTGGATGCGTGAAACCCTACGGGAGGCTAAGGCAGGGAGAGGAGACAGACACAGAAGTGCAGAGACCCCAAACAGTGATGGCCACCCCAGCATTCGATAGAGGAAGATCACAGCAACTGTGGTGGCTATTGGGGCTGCAGTGGCCACGAAAAAGATGTCTCGCGAGTTGTATATGGCGTCCACATCATACGACATCAAACTGGTTATGTTAGCTTGGCTAGACTTTGGTGCTCCTTTCGCGGAATCTCTCATCTTTCGAGAGGACTTCGGGCGATCTTCTGTACTAGTTTCGACGATGGAATCATCGTACAGGTACGACCGCATTGCGGTCTGATAGATCTCCTGTACCAGCGACACATTGACTCGAACAAGAAGTCGAGTAGCCGTGAAGATGTATTGCTGATAACAGAGTGACCGCAACATTGGTCCGATAAATAACAGGGCCACCCACAGGGCTGGATGAAGGATGGCATCGTCTGGGTTTTCCAGGTACGCAAGCAGTCGCAGCATTGAATACGGTGCGACAAAGTCCAGAACTGCAGTGATTGACGACCAGCACATCATGCTCTTGATTTCAGTCTTAAGCAACCTACACAGGGTTCGAAATGTCTTTCCACCTTTGAGACGCTGCCTCTTTATTTTTTTTAGCCACTTGGAAGGTTCATCATACGAGGGTAAAGGAGGGAGGTCATCCATCGTTAGGTCCCTCCGGCAGCCCCGCAAGATCACATATGTCAGCCATTCGTATGAGCAATAGTATGAGAACAAAGAACAGGTCTCTTCAGGCGACACCTCTTCGACCGGGTACGTTTCTTCGTTTTCTGTATCAGGGACAAACCAACGACGTGGTCGGGGGGTTGCAGCTGCGACTATCAACACAGCCGTGAGACAGGCTATGACGCCACCCCTGATCCCACTTAGGCCAGACGTCGCCCCGACAATCAACAATGGAAGTAGGTCCTGGGTGCATGCTAACAGTAATATTGCAAGAGTAACTGCATTAACATGGCGATATAGGTGAGTCCGAGTCCGCTCATTCCTGAAGCAGAACTGCATCAGTGCCAATACTACCGCATAGCTCACCGCGGTCGGTTGTTTCCAGTTCTCTGCATGTTGAGCATCGATCCAGCCGAGACAACAAGCAGCTATTGCAGCAGCCAAATGCAAGAATGCAAAGGGTAACGAAACAATAATTGGCAGATCTTCATTTAGACGGTCTGCAGAAATCTGAGATTTTGATCTACCGGAACGAGTTGCATAACGCAGTCCCAACGCCAGAAGTAGTCCTACACATGATAACAAGACAGCTGCAAGATGCAAGTTACCTGTGGCCATGAAAGCTGAGATCCTCTGCGTTCGGTATTGCCAGAGGCGCCTGGAAATCAGTTAGCAATTTCCCAATAGAGATTAATTAATATGAACCGACCTCTTCACTAGACCGTCATCTGAATCATAGACACCACCCTCTTCCCTTCCGAGCTGCGATAGCGAGGGGCCGATGACCTGCTGAAAACCCATGAAGAAGTCCGACATCATGCGCGTTCGTAACGAGATGAGGACGACACAATCATGTAAGTGGCACACATTAACTCGCCTTGGCCTACAGTTGCAATTGACCCAGGTCGCGTCTTCGCGTTCTCAATCTCCCACCATTTAATTAGCGGTCCGGGGGACTTGTGGGGCCTGTCCTATCGGTCTTGAAGAATGATAAGAGGGGTGTCCATCCTACGCTAACTCCACACACAATAAAATGTGGTGTTTGAGCTGAATTATGAACAATCTGACTGGCCCATTAAAGATTCGACGGGGTGAGTCAGAAGCGAAGAACTTTTTGGAATCGGATCGCCGTCGGAGTTTCGGCCAACCTGCCCACATTCCGTGGTTCCGTTCCTTTGCTTATCCCTGGTTCAAGTGGAGTCAAAAAGTCCCATGGATATATTCAGGTAATACATTTTTCATATTGTATTATGATATGGAATGTTCTCCTCTCTATAGAAATGCCTAGGGTAAAATAGGGGGAAATCAAAATACTTAACAAGAAGCAAGGTGGAGCCAAACCCTTCCTATCTATACACCGTTATATCACCCATCCACAGGCGAACCACCATTGCGATACTGCCATAACCGGCTGAGATCTTTGACCTTCACCGGCCTTTCCTCGTGTTGACTTCCAAGTCCAAGTGGGATCGCAGGGGTTGTTCTGTTGGGATCCGACGGGCGCTTGTTGGTGACGAGCACCTCATTCCTCTCGTGTCTGACGTGTTTCGGTAGGATTTTCTCATACTCGACCGTTCTCGCCCCCATTTCCATAAACTCATTGGTGTCAAGGACCCTCCTGTCTGGTCCTAACGTGAACATCATGTCTAGATAGTGCTGGTTTAGCTGGTGACCCGAACCCGACCGTACAAAGATTCGACCCATATAGCGGTTTGGAACTCTGGCAAATTGCAGTACCCCCCAAACACATACAAAATCGAAAGCATTGACATAGTGCTCAATATGGAGAACACTCTTCCCCACTTGCACCGAGGCATCCTGATCTGATGTCGTTGAGCCTCTACCGGGCAGCTCCCGGGAGCCCGAAAGCGATTTGTACGGGTTATTGAAGTGGTTGGCAGCGTTGCCAAACGTATATACTTCGAGTTTGCGAAGGACGCTTTCAGGTAGTTCGTCCAGGAGCCAGTCGATGATGAGACTTCCCTCAATGCCACCTTGGCTGTGCAAGATCAGGACCACTTTCTCATATTTCGGATTCAACAGTGTCGCTTTGGTGATGGCATAACCATCTCTTGTATCCGGAGTTGCGAATGTAAAGTTCCTTTGGATCAAGCACTCGATTACATCGAATACGATGCCGTCCCTATAATGGCGTTATCATGTGCACGTTGCTCAGATCACTGCCATGAGGGGAGAGCGTACGTTGGATTATGTACGCCAATGACTTTCCTGCCAAAAGTATAGGCAAGCCGGTCGATGTTATTTTGCAACCAATGATGTCTATATTCCCACAGGTAAGAGACATAGACATCGATAGATCTGAATCGGAAAACAGTCTTAACTTACCCGACCGCGACTCCATTGATAAATATCCAACGTTCCCGTTCATGTTCCGGTCGCTCCTCGATCGGGACTGTTGATTCTATTACCTCGTCCGAATAATTGAATATAAGTGCGCAGATGACTCGGTTTATCCATACAAAGGCCACCACATATATGGAGATCCACAGTGCCGGCACCATCAACAAGAAACATCCCAGCACCGACAGTAAGAAAGCCACCTGGCATAACGCCAGACAAACATGGGCAATAAGATTGACAATATTCTCTTTCGACGGGTATAATTCATCGAGCTCACCCGAGGGGGTCATCGGGAGTAATATTCCCGGCAGACTCCATAGACTCTTGAGGACGAGGAGAATGTCGGCCCACAGCAACTCCAACGGCGACGCTGTATAGGGTAACGGCGGTTTTCGTCCATTTTTCCTCTTCATGAGGAACGTCATGATCATATCAGCTTTGTTTGGGGATCGCGGCGTGAGCTTACCGCAGTATAAACGAATCACCGAATTCTCCAAATTATTCCTATATTCATATTGTGAGCGAAACGGCAGAGGCACAAACAATCAGGAAAGAGCGACGAACTGTGTTTCTCTATTCTATAAGAATTAGTGTGCGAATGCCGATACTGCTGGCCATGACTTCCTTTCGCTTTAGTAGGTCTGTTCGTCCAGTAAAGTGGGTTGGACGTGCCCCATGATGGGGTACTACCTTCCTCGGCAAGATCCACATGATGCTACCTGTTCGTTACTTGGACTGGAATTGAGAATGTGCCCAGGCTGACCTGCATTTCGTGGCGGCTACAGCTGAGCTCTCATTGCCGCGGCAAACCGACACGACCTCGAATCGGATCAATCAGGAATTGTCCAAGTGATCGACATCCACTCATGTGATGCTACATGGTGCCCTAACTAGCAACTTAAATACTACTACTACTTCTACTACTAGGCATCTACATATTTCTTGTTGAGTCATCTATCTATATATATGTCACTAACATGCCCTATCCTAGTCTTTTTCACGGGCATTCAGACGGAACCATTTAATCACGACTACAGTACTCAGGTAAGACTAGGCCCGTGCACGGCATACCAGCAGGGAATAAGGACATGTCTGCCATAGTCACCTTGGTCTTTGAATATGATCTAGTTATCTTAAAATATGCCAGCTGAATCCTGATTGAGTTATAGCAATACAACTACAATACGTAATTCAAACAGAAACGTCACATTCTACGTCTGTCGTTGATACATTGGTAAGCAGAATAATATAGCCCTCCATCGAGGACCAGCGGTTAGAAAGTCGAGAAAAAAAGTGAAGAGACTTGATACTTTTATATTCTTAGATATAATATAAGAAGCTTGGGTACACTAAGTTGAGGGGGAGTACCAAAATTCGAATTAGGGCTACAGCCAGCCTGAAACGGGGGTAGTACAACAATCGAAACTCAGAAGCGCTGTTGGCTTCTTCTGCTTCTTTGTTAGAAACACGTCTAGGGATGCGTGATTCTAAGAAGTCTAAAAAGACTAAGCTATGCTCGATCACCGATCACAAGTGATCGAGCACCCTATATAGGCGCGCACTAATAGATTAGGTAGACAGGGTCTAACATCCTTTTCCTTTTTATCTGTCATAAAACTTACTCTGGCTTTGTTGCTCCATGTTTCTTGCTTAGGCGCGCGTGTATCCAATTGTTAACCACGCTGGCGATACTCAGCGACACCAAAAAGCCAATTGCCAGACCAAGATAGACTAGGCCAAGTCTCCCCTGTCGAAATAATATTGGTCATCGAAAACAACAGAGAAGGTCGAGAAGAGAAGATATGAGAAACCATATACGACAGCGTTGTACACAGCTGTGCCGGTGACAACCGGGCAGAATAAGAACATCGTGACAGGTCGAGTGATTGCTCGTTTAAGAACGGTGCGGACTGGTAGTTGACGTTGGCCTTATGCGTATAAAGCCTGGTTCCCTTTTTTATACGGAGTTTCTTCACCTTCCGTTCGAGGATGAGTGCATATGTCTGTGTGTATGTCAGGGCGCACATCACCCCCATAGTGCCGTTCTGTAATGATGTGTCAACCATCCAAGACTCATACGCCAGACGAGTACGTGATCAGTATCACCCACCACAATAAGCAGCAACCAGGATACCCATCGCCATCCCTTCACAGCAGCCAGGAAGCTACCAGCAACAGGGCCCACGGCTGGACCAAGAAGTAAGCCCACCGAATACATCGGCATGGCGAAACCTCTTCTATGGGTTAGCACAAGGTCTGAGATCGTTCCGCCGGCGTTGTTGACAGAACAAGCGGCAGTACACCCCTGAAGGAAGCGCAATACTACCAGTCCACCTCATTCGGATCGTGTTCATGTTCACTCTTCATGGCAGGTGAAGGGTTATTTTGTTCGACATCGTGTGTTTGAACGTCTTCATTCTCCTCGGCAGTCTTATAGTTTCCCGAAGAGAGTCCCGAATAACCTTGTGCCGATAGCTTCGTTAGCAGTCCGTTCCTGCAACTTATGGTAGGCAATTATGTACTTCATGTTCTATATTTCTCTTTTCATCAGTCATAGTGCCTCCCCGGTGATCAAGGAGATCCAAAATACTGGAACTTAGGCTTCCAACCATGTTTAAATACTCCCACTGCCTCTAAGGGTTGGTCAGCTATTCATCGGATATTCGACCTAGGGTATTTCCCTTTTAGGCAATGGATTTCCCAAAAGGAAATCTTACTTAAGCGTTTCTCACTTGTTTCTGATTTATTGAACAGATGCAAGTACCCTGCCCTAGTCATTGGTAGAATGCATACCCTAGTGCCATGTATGCCCATCTAGCGTTCTATAAAAGCACGGGGTAATAGACTAGAAGGACTAGATAGAGCCATAGTATATACCAAACCTTGAAAGGTCTCAATCAATCTTCAGTTGCTTAGCGCTCTTTCTATGCAAAGCACGTGCACTTGTCACCCTAACCTGAACTATGTAAATGGCTATATTTCTAGATATTTTAACTTGTTCTTCTTGGTTCTTTTTATAGATATATTAGCTTAACACACTGACAAAGGAAATACTAGTTAAAAATCTAGAGAACAAAACAAAATTACTTTAGAACTATTCGCTCATACAGCCGTCTTCTAGGTCGCCTGTAACCATATATAGATAGGTCACATAAAACCTCCCTTTCAGTAGCACAGAGCAGGCATTGCATGAAGTAAGCATTCCTCAGCTGATCCCAATTCTTTGCTTTTTCTACTTGATCCCTTACATAAATAGTCCCTCGCCCAGTACTCACTGTTCTCTTTCCACAACCCTTAAACTTAATTACTTCTACTGTAGAAGTTCTCTATAATCCGTCCTATATTTGTACTAACAGTAGTCAAGATGATATCAACCGTCTTTGGTTTCCTAGGTCAAGTAAGTGATCCATGACACCCCATTTTGATCACAATAGCGATTAACAACACAACCCACTCCAGAGGTATGTCCATTCCATCCAGGTCACATTTCGAACACGATAAACTCCTTACCCTAGCCATGAAACAGACCATCCAGACAGACTACTACCGATGACGCCCGCGCAACATGGCTCACCAACCTGATCAAAGAAGCCGACCAATGCACCAACGAACTGCACCCAGTGCTAAAAGAATTCCAACATCTCATCGAATCCAACCAACGCATCTACATGCTCTTCCAATCCATGTGGGGCCAAGCCCAGGAACAGGCTCCCAATCTGAACCGCAGCCATGAAGTCCAAGACTCTCAACAAATGCTCCAAGTCCTCAACTACATCATCACGCACGCGCCTCCCTACAATGACAACGACAATCTAACCGGATGCCCCATGGTCGGGCTATTCCAATACGCTATGCCGACTATTAGCGGCTACGCTGTGTTCATTGATCCGGAGGTCAACGCCATGCTCAAAAAGGTGCTGGATGTGTGGGGGCAGTTCCTCTCATCGTCTGAATCGGTCTCGGTGCTTGATACGTCATCCTCCGGCTGGTTCAGTGACGGCGCTATGCGCAAACTAGTCACCACGGCCAATGTCGGTGGCACAAGCTATGCGTTCGATGAGCTTTACATCGGCGACCGCAATGCCCCATACTACGGCTTCCCGTCTTGGGATGCGTTCTTTACGCGCCTGTTTCGGGAGAATATCCGGCCCGTTGACTCCCCGGATGACGATACTGTTATTGCCAATGCATGCGAATCCCAACCCTTTGCTATTGCCCGGAATGTGAAAGCTCGGGATAACTTTTGGATTAAAGGGCAGACATATTCCTTGGTTGATATGTTGGGGGCGGGGTTTCCGGATGCCTTTGTCGGTGGGACTATTTATCAAGGATACCTAGATACGTTTAGTTATCATCGGTGGCATGCTCCTGTTTCTGGGAAGGTTGTCAAGACGTATATGCTTGACGGGACTTATTTCTCGACTCCAAGGGCTATAGATAGGGATACTGTCGGTGTCAATAAAGGGGGGGAGATTGATTATCAAGTATATATATCGGCAATGGCAACGCGAGCGGTGGTCTTCATTCAGTCGGAAGATCCGGATATCGGCCTGGTGGGCTTTCTGGGGGTTGGTATGGTTGAGGTATCAACGTGTGAGATTACTGTGAAGGAGGGGGAATATGTCCAAAAGGGGGATCAGATTGGGTTGTTCCATTATGGGGGATCGTCTCATTGTGTCATCTTCCAGAGGGGGGTGAATGTTACGGGCTTTCCAGAAGTTGGAAGGAGGGAGAACGTGCCTGTTCGGGGGAAATTGGCCATTGTGAAGCGATAGAGGCATGATGCTGGTAGACTGTGCTTAACGATAATGGATATATGTGGTTTCTGTTTCTTGTACCGGGGGAAGTCAATATAGGACTAAGTCGGTCCAAAGGAAGAGAATATTGCTCGACGGATTAAACGGGGGCAGCACCTATTGCCTGATGAACGCAAGTCGCACAACAATATAAGTAGAAGAATACATGTATGTCTACATGAAAGCCCACCAACGGCGGACAATAATTGGATATTGCCAACACGACCACACAGTCAGTCGGGCGGGCACTATGAGCAAGAAGCACCTGTGCTAGTTCCCAACTAGGATCGAATAATGACCGGTAAGTCTAGGCTATTTTCTGCCATCGAGATAGGTCCATGAACAAGAATTCCTCATCCTCACCAGCCTTCAACTCCACATAGGGAGCAATGGGATCAGTCATGATAACAGAAGCATATTGTGCCACGACAAGCAATATTAGACACAGATGAGAGGTCCCTATGTCTAATATCCCGGGCAAGACTTATTGCCTTCATTTTGAATACATACAGGACATTTAAGCCTTCCTGATACGAAATACTAGTAAGTATGCCTCTTGTTTTGCCGGACGGGGTTTTGGATTACCCTTTTGGGACAACCTCAGGATATTCATTACCCAAACGGGCATGACTATCAAATCATCAACAGCTCTGGGTATAGACGAACTATTACCCGCTGTTGACGACTGCGTCTTGCCCCACAGGGCCCATTTCTCTCAATATGGAGATAGGTCTTCTGGCCATATCAAACTGGACCATTTAATACTCGATGAAGGCCATTTAAGCTCATCAAGGAAGACTTGTTGGCAGCATATTACGCAGCCAGCGCAACAGTTCTTGCTGTATCTTCACAGTTCAAGTCAGTCGTCAATACCCATCAGTCATCCCGCGTCAATGGAGACAGAAACTATTGGGACCTATTCTCCGTGACCTAAGGCAATCTTTACTTTCACCTCCAGCTTCAAAGGGTTCCGAGCACCCACCCAGCCTGACTAAGACAATAAACCAGCCGACGCTGGATATAGCAGCGCTGTCCATATTCAGTACCAAACACAGCATCATACCCGCTAGTATTTTCGACGCCCCATGGGCGCAGACCCTCAGCATCTACTACACCGGTTCAACCGACATAGCGTTCGAGTTTATCATTTCGGGCCGTGACCAAGAAGTTTCCAGCATTTTCGAGATTGTCAGCTCAGTCATGAATATCCCAGCCTACCACCTGCATGACGCTTCCACCAAGGACAGCGCGGAAGCACTTGCAACTCTAGCTCACCAAAATGTACGACCAGAGATTGCAGGATGGGTCGCGTAACGCGTGCAATCTTCGAGCAGTGCTCAAGAGTGATCTGAAGGCCAATTTACCGTTCACCACTGCATTAAATTTCCAACGCCGACCGTCAGACATGCAGACGGATATCGTGAGGGTTGATGACCGCTTAGAGCTTTCGAGGGATCCTTGGCACGTAAATCTGGCTCTTTCCTTACTCCCCTGTTAACATCGTTCTAAACTGGATTAGTTCGACCTCTTGGTGCGGGTCATACATATCATGGACGATAATATGGTTAGGCCTCCCGTCGAGTTCGATGCTCGGCTTTTTGATGGGAAGTCGGATGAAATGGGTGCAGATGTTTTCCGGAGAAAGGTCCAGGTTGCTGTTTCGTAGAGTGACACCGGAGCTTGCTGGATAGAAACTAAGAGTTCGAAGATAGAGCCCTGTACACAATAGAATATCTGACCCTAATTGCCTCCTTTATACCTGCTGCCAGATCCACAGAGCATACACTAAAAAGATTTGAGGCGACAGACACTTCAGGATAGAGTCAAGACAAGTTGGATGATATATCATTCAATCCATAACGGGAGATGATAGAAGCTTGTAAAGACCACCAGAATTTATAAATCAATCTCTTTGTCTATATCTCCGTCAGAACAAAGGATATATGAGAGACAATAAAACAGTTGAGCCATTCCCAGTCAGCATCGTTGAAAGAAACCATACACCCAATTTTAGACCAACAAAAGGCCTACAAGCATGCCATGGCATGGATCACAAAGCCTTTGTTTCTGGAATAAGACAAAACATAGCCTCAGTTTATAAAACAGTCATTGAGCCCCTACTTGTTTCATTTATCAGAACATGTTTTCTCGTCCTGTTTCAGCCACCCAGTCTGGTCCCCACATCCAAAAGTTGGTTCCCAAAAGTTGGTCCAAACAGATCCACACGGAAGCCTGCTGCAGATAACAGACATAACAGTTCCGGTTAGCGCTGGATAAACGCCATTTGTAATCTTTACGGTCGGTAATATGATACCTGAGTCCTCACTGGATAGTGCGTCTAGTCGCCGACAGGACGCGACGAAAGAAGCCAGAATATCGACCTTTCGGACCCTCCCAAGAACGTCCCGACAATCGAGGTAGAGATGAAATGCCTCCGGTCAGTGGCTGGTCTCAGCAAGGAGGAAATGAGACGGCTAACCCAGGTCCTGAGCATAGGATTTATCGACCCAGACGGTAACGAACCTAGAGACAAAGGGGAGATAATCAAGGCGATCAAGAAACTTCCCTCGGTCCTGCAGAGGCCCTGGCTGGATCACTGGATGGACCTCATAGGTCGAGCACCTGCCGTGGCCATGTGTGATTTGCACACGAAACTGAACCCCTATATTATCCAATACATGTTTGAGCTGCTGCGATGCGAGGTTATCACACATTTGGAGTGTCTCTATTGGTACCATAGTGTGCTCCATGATGCTCGCCTTGACGTCGTCGATATCAAAGTGCGCGATATTGTGTACAGCCTGGGAGATATACGCTATATGTGGACCCCCTCTCGACGGGCTATCCAAGGAAGCCCTGTCACGTACCAGCAGAATAAGTGCGCAGCGTGCATCCTAGCTCGGATTGTCAACGGGCGGAAATTCCTGCAGCATCTGCGTACCGCCCTCCTGAGTCGGACAGCAACCAGAAGGAATCACCGGGTACCAACATTCCTCCCGTTCGTGGAAGAAAGCATAGCCTGCCATGAAGGCTTCATTGATAAGATACACTGGCGCAGCAGCACACTGGCGACAACCATGAAGCGCCAGCGGAAACATGCCCACCGGGCTCGGATGACGTCTGACCCGATGGCTAGTCTCAAAGAAGACCTCTCAAGAACCGCAGAGGGGGCCGTAGTTCCCATCGGGATAGACCCGGAAGTTCTCGAGTCGTTTCAAAAGAGCCGACAAGAGGGCGGAAACCATGGCGAACGACGCACAATATCTGAGCAGATGCCCAAAAAGCAAGACAGTGACACCGACACCCTTGCAGGAATAGTCGGGTTGTACCACGAGCCTCACCCTCTGAACTGGATATCCACTCCCACATCCTGTGCAATGGAGAGTCAGTCCGATCTCTCTTCCGTCACTTACACCGACGAATCACCCACTCATGTGTCACCAACCTCCCTAACTTCCACACCAGATCCGTTGCAGGTTCTTTCACCGTCAACCCGCAAGCAAAAAGCACCGATGAAAGAACGTGTTGATGATAGCAATAACGGATATACGAGTAGGTACATCCCTCCTCGGAAAATGTCCAATTGGGAGCATGTGCTAGGTAAACCCAGTTCCTTGGACCTATTTTCCCACGGAGGTCAAAACCTTGGGTGGGAAGGATCGCAAGAGTATGGCGGATGTGAGCAGATAGCGGCCCAATACCGCAATCTACTCAGCCCAGCTCAGCCATACTACGAATCGGATCATGGTGAACTGTTCTCTGAGTCAGAACATGAAGACAACCCAATAGGAAACCGGGCGAGTCAAGATACCAACTGGAGCTTTTTTGTTTAGGTTCTAGGAATTCTTCCAAAGAAGTGCGGATATGATCACATCGGTCTGCACGCCGCCCAGATTTCAACTTTGCCTCGCTCTAAAGATATACAAACGGTGTTGATCAAGCATCTGTTGTGCATTCAAAACATAACCTAGTATATAATTCATAATACAATCGAAAGAAGAAAGAAGACGTTCTTAGAGAAGAGAAGCAAAGGGCTCAGGAGAAAGGCAAAAAGAAAAATAAAAATTGAAAAAAAAAAAAGGTAGCGATGGACATTGTTGTCCAAACCCATTGCGGTGTAAATCGTCCTGATTAAAATGAGTTTACCACTAATGAGAAGTCATTGTACAAGCCAACATATACTCATGATCCCGATATTAATACGAACAGTGATCCTGAAAGGTTCGGAGGCGTCCTGCCCCTCCGAAGCCCTTCATATGCAACAAAAAAGAGTCGAGAAAAAGATATTAAGATTAGAAAAAATATTCACCGAGAAGAGAATGCCTGCGACGAGCAAGGAAAGTAAACAAGGACACAGAAGAAGTCAAAGGTGAGAATTAGAGGACGCTGCTGGCTACCCCGTGCTTCGACCCCTTGAGGCCGTCAAAGGTCGCCGTCCTTTTGCGCAATCGTGACCGTGCCGTTGTATCTGCTGGCTCATCCGATGAGACTGTAGCGGAAGACGTTACGCCCTCCCCTTTAGCTCCAAGATCAAGAGCGTTGTCGTCGTCCAGCTTTCTCTGTGCGGCCTCACGACCTCGTTCGTAACGAAGTTTAACGTCACCCTTCCATTGAGTTTCGAGAAGCCGATCCCAGATGGTGAAGAACGGCTGGGAGAAATTCGTCTTGATACCCCAACTCTGGTGGTGAATGTCATGGTAGGCGGCATTGTTGGAAGTGAAATGCTGCAAGGGGTCCCAAGGGAACGCATAACCGCAGTGATCGTCCACCGTCTTAATAGTCGAACAGGTGAAAAACCACATGGCCTGGCGGTTAGTCATTCCAGCCGTCAAGAACGCAACACCGGTGCCGGCCGTGTCGAGGAGGAATCCCTCCACGGGATGGTTATACAAAGCACCGAACGCATATGGGACGTATAGGCGGTGATGACGCGAGTGAAAGGTGACTACCAAAACCGTTAGATTCAACATCGTCACCCATCGAGCGAGCGGTGGAGAAGATAGCTCTAGTACTTACCATAAAGCCAACGGTTCAAGTGCATTGCACGGTGGAGGAAATACTGCCAGGTGTCGACGACGCATACCCCCCAGACAAACTGCATCGTAGGAATGAAGTACCAATAGATGAAGCTCGCCATGGACAATTCCCAACCGGCGAACGCAGGAGCGATGGCTTCGACGCCATTTTCCAAAACCAACGTTTGGGTGAGTCCTGGATAGCGTCCACCGGCGAGAACGGCCCCCAGTATCGCATAGCCATTCGTCGACAAGGATTGCGCCCATCCCATCGAGTCAATACCGAACACCGCCAAGAAACGCGGGAGTGTCCTTTGCAGGAGACGGATACGCTGAGCCCAGACTGCCACATCGTATTCCTCTTTGCCGATGCATTCCACGGGATCGAAGTGCGACACAGCCATGCCGGCCATGGTTTGAATTATCTGTTGGAGAATGACATCCCTCACGACTTCCCAACGCGATACATGGTTCCGTTTGAGGACCTCTGCCGGGGTATGCAAACGATACTGGGGAAACAAGTCGTAGACATCGATAGAGTGATAGACCATAGACAAGGCCCAGTACGCGATAATCGGGAGAATCAGCGCCACGACGTTATCAGGAATCGGAGATAAAAGAGGTGGACGTGGTGTCAAGGTATACGCCGGAAGAGGCGGAAGGTCATAGACCACCGAAGCATTGACGGCCATGGTCAAGACGACAGCCACCCGATGTTCAAAAGGTATTTTTGCAGATATACAAGGGAAGGTGTCAACGATCAACACATGAGTTGATTTGAGGGGCTGACGGGTTACGCAATCTAAAAAGGACGAAGCCCAAAAAGAAAAAAGAAAGAAAGAAAGAAAGAAAGAAAGAAAGAAAAGAACTGGTAGTATACAAGAAGGGCCGCGGTTCCTGGATCCGGATCTTTCGCGATCCACAATTAGGGGAGGCGAACGGAGAATGCACGAACCGAGGGGCCGGAGATGCGTTCGGACGTTGGAGGTCCGACGATGGGATGAATCGCAGAATTGACTGGGATCAATTCGGAGCTGATCAAGACAGTCGGCGCAGGTAGAGAGAGCGTCACCGGTAGGCACGAGAGCGAGTCGGTCGATAGATATAAAAGGCAGTGAATGCGCGATGGGGAGACAAAAAGTTGAAGTGGCACCACGGGAAGTGCCAGGCGACCGATAATCTGATCAATAATACACGTCGGTTTTGTATCGGTCATATGCTTCTGGGATTCCGTTTGTATATGGGTCATTGTGGTATTACGGCGGTAATCCCATGGACGGAGGGTGGTCTGCATGGTTGGCCGATCACCCCTGATGGATTGCATTGGGCAGCCTGGCCACTCAGGCAGAAGGTCCAAACTTATGTAAGATTGGACGTTTCCGGGTATGAAAATAGTGAAAAATAATACTAAGAAGAAGAATAGAACCAGCAAACAGGACTCCATTGAGATCGTTTACCCCTCCATGGACCTCTAATATTACTGTGTTTGTTGTCTAGAAAATTTCCAATTTCCTCTTTCCTCTTAAATTGAATAGAACTTTTCCTTCAATTATTTTTATTTTACTCACTGTCAGGTTCAGCAAACTTGATCGGGCCAGACAAGTCGACCAGTCCCAATCTGGTATTAGCGTCTGCTTGCCCCTCGAAACCAACCAGCAAAAGGATTTAAAAAAAAAAAAAAAAAAAAAAAAAAAAAAAAATATTAACCCCACCAAAAAGGTTGGTCAAGAAAAACGGGTGGCACTAAAACTTCACATATAATTCCCCTCTTTCTTCCTTCTCTCTTCTTTCCTCTTGTCTAGCCGTGTGCCATCTCCTAATCTTCTCTTCATTTTCTTCCTTTCCTTGTTACTTAGGTTGATTCCTATACATCTGTCAAAATGATTATCTACAAGGTACGATCTTTTCTTCCCAGATGGTCGGAAGTACCCCCACTTTTCCATAATTTTCCAATGTCAACGCAGATGACAACAATGCATGAAGACATGTAACCCACTGCGTTAAGCCCACATCAGGTTCTACATAAAAAAAGATACTAACGAGCTATGCTTTCGATAGGACGTCTTCTCTGACGACGAGCTCGTCTCCGACAACTTCAAGCTCCAGGTGGTCGACAAGGTCCTCTGGGAGTGCGACATCAAGAAGGTCACGAAAGCGAGCGACGACATCAAGCTCGAGGGTGCCAACCCCTCCGCTGAGGATGCTGAGGATAACGGCGATGACGAGTCCGCCGCGGAGCAAATTTACGACATTGTGGACCAGTTCCGTCTCCAAGCGTGCGCGGGGTTTGATAAGAAGTCCTACATGGGCGCTTTGAAGGGTAAGCCTACAATATCATCCTTGGACATGTTGGAGCATGAACGTTAATATCCTCTCTAGGTTACATGAAGAAGGTCAAAGCCCATCTCAAGGAGAAGGGTGCCTCCGAGGACGAGATTGCACAGTTCGAGGAAGATGCCAAAGTCGCCGCCAAGAGAATTCTTGGCAACTACAAGAACTACGAGGTCTTCATCGGTGAATCCTTTGATAGTGACGCTATGTATGTTCAACCCTCTCTTGTTTAGGATCTTCTCATTGAGCACCCGCTAACATACCCACAGGCTAGTCCTCATTGACTACCGCGAGGACGGCATGACCCCCTACGCCACTTTCTGGAAGGACGGCCTTAAGGAGTACAAGGTCTAGATTTATTCTACAACTTGCTGTGAATAATGTCCTGAATGAAAGGTATTGGAGAACGTCGATATCCTCATTTTAACAGAACAAGTGGGAGTGTTACAACCATTCGCGGAACCCCTGGGGCTCACACCCTAGCCTTCTACTATAGCTCCCTCTATATCGCTTATTCGGTATCCTGCTTGATATCAGTCACGCCTCATGAATCCCAAAGCTGTTATGTCTCTTTCTACATTATCATGCGCCCTATACTAGGATATCAAACCCTATATATCACCCGCTTTTGTCCGCCATTGCATCCAGAATCTGGACGGATAAACAAAATATCAGTCTCACGGCCTGTTCTTCAGGACTACTGGTTTCCAACTCCCTTCTACCTTGAGTATACGTTCTACTCTGAGTATGCGTAGTATGTCGTAAACAAGAGTGTGGTTTCGTTCATGAAAACTATGTACAAAAAGGACTAGGCATATGTACCGTAGAATACAGCCAATTGAAGAAAGAGAAAACGCCTCTAAATTCCCAAAGCAGGCTTGGTCTAAACAAACGGATCATCAACAGTATCCAACCCAATCGGGCCCAGGAATACTCCCGAAGCCTGTTTCACTTCCCCCCAAACTAGCAGACCGATTATCGCCACCAACTCTACCACCGCCAAGATCCCCAAACTCGAATCCCGCCACGGGGTCCAGTTCCATGAGCTCGTCAGCGACGGGGAGGTGCTGGCCGAAGACGGCGTCCCATTGGTCCCAGTCGAAGTTCAGGTTCGGGTCCATCAACGAGGGAGGCGTTGGGCCGGCGGCCATGGACTGTGCGCTAGGCGAAGCCAGGTCCATGAAGGACAAGGGAGGGGGTGGAGTTGAGGCAAAAGGCAGGGCGGTGCTGAGAGGTGGGATGCGGTCAGGAGAAGGCATGACGGAAGCAGGGGGAGGAGGCGTTTCGACCGCCGGATTGGCTTTGGCTGCTGGTGATTGGGGGATCTGGGGAGTCGGTAAATTTGGGGGAGTGTCTGGGACGGAGGTTGGGGCAGAGGTTTGGGGTAACTGGTATCGAAGGGGACTGGGTCGTATAGTGGAGACGGGGTTGGGGAGCATATGCGAGCGTGTCATGTTGTAGAACATCTTCGAGAAGTCGGCGAGTTGCTGTCGCGATGTCATTGTGGAAATCGATGGAGTCGGGGCTGTAGAGCCGCTGTTGGCATAATAGGGATTGGAGGCACAGGGATATTCGTCAGGTCCTGATGCTGCACCGGCTTGGATCTGTGCTTGCTCGGTCCATAGCTTATGTGGATCCAGACCAGCTTTCTGCCACGCTTTCTGCCGTAGTCTGCGAATCATATCCCATGCTTCGCGGCCGCCATCTTTCAGCGGCCGTTGGGCTGAGATGCCGTCCTCGCCGCCGACAACACCTCCATCTGGTCCGGTAAGTGAAAAGATCTTGTCGATGAATGCCCTCGACTTAGGGGCCTCGGGGCTATAAGGTCGTTCGTAAAGATCGATGAGCATGATCATAGCGGCATGCATTGGCTGATGGTTACCCGGCCAGCTCCATTGGAAAGGTTGAAAGTCAGGGTCGGTGGCAAGGGATATGAATTTCTCCATGAAACCGTGACAGTGGCGGAGAGCACTGTTTCGGAGTCAGAACAGAATAGCCCTATTTCTCAAAAGCCTCATTTCATCATACCTGTGTCTTGCCGCTGGCCAAATACGGCTCTTAGCGTTCTTAAGGAACGGCTGGTAGGCAACACAGAATGCCTTGCAATAAATTAAAAACAGTTCCTTAAGTGTCAGTGTTAGGGACACTCACCTTATCAATAAATAGAGAGAGCAATATCCTGGCCCATTTGTGAAAAGACACCAGAACAGGAGAGTGATATTGTTCCGTACAACGGCCGGGTCCTTCTCCAGGAAGTTCCATGTCGCTAGTTCTCATCTCTACCGGAGAGACTGAAAACGAAAGCGATGCGTTATTAGCACCAGAAGACAGCTGATAGTTTTCAATTTCTGGTATTCGGTTGATTATGGAATTGAGTTTGAGTTGCAGATCGAGGAGGATTGACCTGAGCTCCTCCATATCCCTTCGCGTGACGGGTTTCGTGCCCAGTTGAATCTTCAATATCCGACGGACGGCGCCTATGATTGTCCACATTAATGCTACCCATTATAACGCCATAGGTAGGGTGACTTACGAGCCATGACATATTTCCCTCGAGCTGATAAGTAATACACGTTGACCATAGATGGTCCACCGCATAGAGTTGGATCATCAGGATTATCAGGTGACCGCATACCAGATGCCACCAGTTCCTCGTATTTTTCGGCCTCGGGTGTCCCTAGGAGTGTGTCTTTGACTTCGCTGGCGTCACGGACATCCCAGTAGTTCTCATCGCTGACCAAGGGGGGCAGCCCACTAGACATAGCAACAACGCCATCCATATGCACGATATGCCACCATATTCGCCGCCGATACTCGGCTTCATATGGTTTAATCCCAAATTTAGCAGGATCTCGATGCAGGCCCATCGTCTGGGCTACTCTCATGGCCAGACTAATGAACAAACTGCTGGTCAATGGCTCTTCTTCCTTTGAAAGAATCGTTTGCACCAGGAGGTACGCCGCCAAACCCTGCAGCGAAGGGCTGCGCGGAAACGATATCTTCGTCAACCACCGCGTGACCTCCTCGTTGAAAGTTTTGGAGAGTGCAGATCGCGAAGCGACATTGAATTCGGCCTTGATGGTCCGGATCGAGATTGTAACCGAGCCACCGTACCAAATAGCGTAGAGAAGAGGAATAAACGAAGGGTCCGGGCAAGGATCTCCCGAATAGCTGCTGTAATCGTACCAGTCCCAGAAGGAGTTGTATAGCTTTAAGATTGTTGGGGGGTGAATCACTGGACTGATAGCATGAATACCGGACATAAATCCTTTGTACAGTATATGACTCTGTCGTTTCGTCGGCACATGATCAAGCATCTCTGGTTCAACATGCTTCTCTTTCACTGATGGAGAATCACCCGTAGGGAAAAGCACCGACCTCTGGAATTCTTCACCACCAGATACTCGATCCCGTGCGACTCCACCAGGGCTATCATTCGAGGCTTTCCACGGACTACCTGCTGCTTTCGCCATAGTATCCGTCATATTATCATCAGCAGAGCTTTCGTTAGCCGTAGCATCCTGATGTGAGCGATTTTGATACTTGAGCAACTGATTGAGCTCATTGATCTGCGACTGTCAGCTTGTATAATACGTATTACTAAGTTATAGCTTGAACCATACCTCATGTGATATGTAAGCCCAGTAGGTTGTCCCAACATATCTAACAATCAATCAGCTCCACCTGTTCGCAAGTGAGGCGCGTGTGACGTACCTCGACCTACCCCCATCCTCCAAGCTCAGATGACCCAGATTCAAACTACCAACCGGATCCACCAAGTCAGTAGCAAGGCCAGCGGGAATTGGAAACTCATCACTCGAATCCGTACGACGGGGACTATCTGAACGAGACGCGCCCGCGCTCTTCACAGGCGCGCCATTCCCTGGTCGAGCTTCACCCTTCCCAACTTCAAGGTTGACATTTTGAGCCAGCAAAAGCCGTTGTTCCGCATCCAAAGGTCCATTGGACTTGCTGAGCCGCTCAATCATCGACGTGAGTTTATCCAACCGCGCTTCGATCGCCTGCGACCCGTACTTCTGCTCGGGAGACCCAGCCTGCCTCAGATGCCCGTAAAGCGAACCAATATCGTCGATATCCTCATCCAGCGGTCGTGAAGATTCCCTCCGTCGCTTGATACCGTGTCCACCTGTTGTTTGACCGTTGCGCCACCCGGTGTCTTTCTGCGGCGCAGCATCGAAAATGCATTGGGTTCCGTTCTTCACACAATTTCCGCACACAGGATGCACCTAATAGCCGTTCAGCACATTTTGTCTCGCTATAAATCCTATCAAGAAGGGCAGCGTACCTTGTCGCATTTCACCTTCCGTCTCCGACAAGTATGGCAGCTGTAGCTGGCGCGATTTCGGGTAATTTGACGAGCTCCGGCCTTTGCCGTCGAAGACCGCGACGCAGTCGACCGTGGGGTAGATACTAGCGCGGAGGTATTATTTAACTGGGACTGGGCTGTCGCACCCGCATTCGAAAGCCCATGGCCGGGCGAAGTGCTCGTTGGGCTCGTGTCCATAATCCCTTAATTGCAGTGGCGGGGTTCTTCAAGCGTCAACGGGACCGCACAGTGGATTCATCGGGAACGGCGCAAGCGTGACGACGAGTCAAATCATAGGCGCCACGGAGTAGACAGGGTCGAAGTCAATACTGTAGCATTAAACTGTCTAAAATCGAGTGTTTTGTAAGGATGATGGTGGCCGAGGCTGGTTTTATGTCTGGGGTAAAGTCCGCGTTATCGGCGACGATCGTTTTGGATTCCGATGGCCAATCAAATGAGGCTTATACGGAATTCGGCGATGGCCAGACCATGACTTTAAATGTTGACTGACTCAAAGCACGACATTGAGGGGTCTTTAGGTAATTCAATTCTATAAGAGTCTATTTGTTTACAGCGACATCCCACGGTAGAACCTAAATAGCGTCGCTTATTGCCTGCATGGCATGAGCCACATATCTGGCATATCAAACGGGTATGTATGAAGAGTGTTTCAGCATCTCACACTGCAACTGTTGACTCTGTACCGCGTTAATATCAGACAGACGGTGGTCGGCTGAAAGCGCTTCACAATACCACTTTTGATTTCAACTTGGTATCAGAGAAGAGCATTGAAGTCCTCTATAGGTGTAAACAAACGCCTTACGCCCGTACAATGCAGCCAAAAAACGTGTACACAATATGGACAGGTAGACAATCGTAATAACTCCATATGACAGGCAACCTTAGGCCTTTCCCTTCTTCTTGTCCTTCTTTTTCTTCTCCTTCTCGCCACTACCTCCGGAGGGTTCTCCTCCCATCATCCCAGCCAGCCCGGGCATTCCAGGGATCTGAGGCATTCCCGGCATAC